AATTCAAAATACATTCAAGAATCATGCAAGATAATCAAGTGGAATTTATTCATTTTTACCTTACGTAAAAATGATATATCACATTAACAAAAGTAATCACATGATCATATTAAAAGACACAGTAAAAGCATCTGATTAGATTCAACATCCTTTAATGCTTAAAAACAATTAACAAAAAGGGTATAGAACATACCATAACAAAATAAAGATCATATATGTCAAACTCACAGTTGACATCATTGTCAATGATAAAAAAGCTGAAAGCTTTTCTTTTAACATGAGAAACAAGATATCACTCTGACCACAACTATTTAATTAGTCTTTAAAATTCTACCCAAACCAATGATACAAGGCATCCAATAAATAAAATTATCACTATATGCAGAAGATAGCAAACAGAAAATCACAAGGATTCTAATAAAGAAATTCAGCAAAAGTGGCAGGTTTTAAAATTAATGTACAAAAATATGCTGTATTTCTATAAGCAAATAATAAGCTAACAAAAAGAAAAATCAGGAAAATAATCTGATTTACTACTGCATCAAAAAATAAAGTACCTTGGGATAAATTAACCAAGAAGGTGAAAGACCTGTACACTGAAAACTCTTAAGAGATTCTTTGAAGACATAAATGCAAAGAAATGTAAAAAGATATCCTATGTTCATGGATTGGAAGATTAAAGATTTTTCAAATGGACATATTAACTACAGTGATTTATGGACTGAAAACACCAGTCAAAATCAAAATCAACAAAAAATTATGAACCAGAGACACTTTTTGGGGGGTGGGGGGCAGGAGGGGAGGGATTGGGGTCAGAATGGGGGGTTTGCAATTGTATGGGGGAATATAAAAATAAAATTTATTATTTAAAAAAAAAGATGAAAATGCATACATTGTACAAAAATGAAAAATGATGTAAAAAAAATTTAGATTTGCATTTTCCTTAGTAGAGAAAGGCAAGGGGGAGAGACATATATATATATGTATATATATCTTTTGAATATCCATGGTGCACAATATATCTTTCACCTTGTTAGGGCAAAAATTCGAAACATTTAGAATAAATTGATATAACTAATCAAAAAAAAAAATCCTAACAGCATTCTTCATAGAAGTGGAACGAACAATTATAAAATTTTTGGGGGAAAAAAGGGCAAAACTGCAGGCAAACTATAGATCTGAGGCATCCAACAGAGGAGGGAGCGGGGTCAAAATAGGAGGGGAAGAACACAAAGGACTATAGTGATGGTTCATGAGTGATGTGGTGGTGGGAGATTTATGGGTACTACACCTGAGATGAGAAATCAAATATTGTACAAAAATTAGTAACAATGTAAGAAAATTAAAAAAAAAACTACAATAGAATAAAAAAATTCTAAAATTATATGGAACCACAAAAGACTGAGCAACCAATTCAATACTGAGGGGTAAGAAGCAAATAGAGGTATTATGTTCTCTGGCTTCAAACTATGCTACAAAGTGATAATCATAATCAAAACAAATTGGTGTTGATGTGAGGGGAAAACACACTGACCAACTGAATAAAATCAGAGCCTAGAAATAAACCCATACATATTGGATAGTTAATCTATAACAAAGGAGTCACAGCCATACAATGGAGAAAACAAAGTCCCTTCCACAAATGTTATTGATAAACATGGACAATCAAATACAAAAAGAAAAAAAATCATTACTTAACTCCATACACAAAAATTAATTAATGGCTTAAAAATTTAGATTTAAGACATGAAACCGGGGGCCTCCCCAGTGGCACAGCAGGTTGAGTGCAGCACTGTGAAGCTGTGCGCAGCCTTTGCAGCATGGCCAGGGAGATTCCCACATGGCGCAGCAGACCTCTCCTGTCTCACCCACTGCTTCCTTCAGCAGTGTATTTTGGTCCTTCTGCCTTTTCTGCTCCCGGCTCTCTCTCTGGTGAATCCCCTCACCCTCCCATGCCTCTGACCTGTACCCCAGTTCTTGTACAAAAATAAAAAAGACATGAAACCATAAAATGCATACAAGAAAACCAGGCAAAACACTTCACAGTGAGGAAAACAAAAGTGAAAATAAACAAATGAGACTACACCACACTAAAAGGCTTTTGTACAGGAAATAAACCACCACAAAAACAAAAAGGCTTTGGACTGGGAGGTTTACAGGCTGAAGATATTAATATTTGCACATCACATGTCCAATAAGGAGTTAATGCCCAAACTATATAAAGAACTAATACAACTTAACAGTAAAAGTAACAACCCAATCAAAAAAACTGGTAAGAGACCAATAGATAGTTCTCCAAAGAAGACATACAGATGGCAGAAAGCCATGGAAAAATATGGTAAACATCACTTATAAGGGACATTCAAATTGAAACCACAATGAGATAGAAAATCACCAGTTTTGAGAATGGCCTACATAAAAAAGTCTGGAAATAACTAGTGTTGGTGAGGTTATGTTTCATTCATTGTTGGTGGGAATGTAAACTGTTGCAAGGTCTATAGAAAATGGCATGGAGAGTCCTTAAAGACTTGAAAATGGAAATACTGTATGATCCAGAATACAACTTCTAGGTATTTATCTTACAAGATGAAAACACAAATGTGACAAAAGGTATGCACTCCTATGTTCTCTGCAGCATTATTCACACTAGCTGAGGCATGAAATCAACTTAAATGCCCATCACTGGGAAAATGTATAAAGAAATTGTGGTATACAATGGAATACTACTCAGCATTGAAAAAGGATACATTCATGCCATTTACAGCAACATGAACAGAGCTAGAAAGGATAATGACAATCAAAATTAAGCAGAAGGAAAAATGAAAAATATCATATGGTTTCACTTATAGGTGGAATATAGGGAAACCAACCAAAGGATCAGGAAAAATATAAAACTCACAGGCAAACCATAGAACTGAGGCACACAGCAGGGGAGAAGGAGTGAAAGGGTCAAAACAGGGGAGGGGAGAGCACAAGGGACTATGGTGACAGTTCACAGGTGCTGTGGTAGTGGGAGAATTATGGGGACTACACCTGAGGAGAGAATTCAAATATTTAATCAAAATGAACAATGTTGTAAGAAAATAAAAACAAAATAAAGAGAAACTGTGATATATATACTCATGGAATAACTACCCAGGTATTAAAAAGCTGAAATTGTGTCCTTTATGAATACATGAATGGAACTTGAGGTGATTATGATAAGTGAAATGTCAGAAGGTGAATGACAATAACTGGGTCACTCATTTGTGAAATATAAATAACCAAAGAAAATAAACTGATCAAATACAACAAAAATAACTGAAAACCATGACAGTTACTATGTGGAGGAAACTGAAGGGGCAGAAGGGTTAATATGATAGTTCAGTGGCACTGGAGCTTTAGTGGTTAAATGAAGTTATGTGTACATAATGAGATATGAAGTTGTATCCCTGAAATTACAGTAATGTTAATGATTGACAAACCTTAAAATACATCAATAGCAATATGCCTTTAACATCAGTGCTTAAGTGATTTCTTTGGGGACTCCAAATACAAAGAAAAGGAAATAAGAGGAACTACATCAAACTAAAAGGCAAACTGTACAACAAAAAAACTAACACCAAAGTGAACACACATAAAACTCAGTGCAAAAGATATTTGCAATAAATGTGTCCAAAAAAAGGTTAGTATGCAAAACATGTAAAAGTCACACAACTCAACAAGGGGAAAAGAAACAAACTGATTAAAAAATGGGCAAATGATAAAAATAGACACTTATCCATAGAAGCCATACATACAAACAGGCACATGGAAATAACTTCATCTCTTATTATTGGGAAATGAAAATTAAAACAGTAAGATATCACCTTAAACCTCTGAGAATGGATATTATCCAAAAGACAAGAAAGAAGTGTCAGAAACTATGTGGAGAGAATGGATCACTATTGGTGGGATTGAAAAATGGTGAAGCCACTATTGAAAAGAAGTATGGAGATGCCTTAAAATATCAAAAACAAATTTCATATGATCCAGTTATCCCACTTCTGGGTATATACCCAGAGAATAAAAATACTAAATTGTACAGATATATGCACCCCTATGATCATTGCAAAATTATTTACAATAGCTAAGAACTGGAAACAACAACAATGTATCCATGGACAGAAGACTAAAGAAGTTATTGTATATATGTACCTGTACAAACACACACACACATACGTACACACACACACACACACACACACATACACACACACACACTGAATGCTATCCATCTATTAAAAAAAAAAAGATGAAACTCTGCCATTTGCAATATTATGGATGGACCTACAGGGTGGTATGCTTAGTGAAATTAACCATATGTGGAAAGACAAATATTGTATTATTTCTCTTATATATGGTATATAGAGAAATCAAACAAATGAGTGATCAAAATGAAACAAAATAAACTTTAAGACTAATACCAAATAAGTGGTTCCTAGAATTAAAGGGTCATGTTGGGCAGGAAAATGAGGTAAAAGGGGTCAATTATATTGGGAAGAACAGAAATGGACTTATGGTGTTGAACTTAATGTAATACATACTGATGTGATATTCAGACATTCACACTGGAAACTCTACCGTTACAATGCAATATTACTTCAATAAAAAATAAACAGAAGCAAATTATATATTTACATATTTTATAAAAATATCAGTAATATATATTCAATTGTATAAATTACAATTAAAGTGGTCTTAAAATAAATTATAGGAATAAAGCAAATGTTTTGGATGAAACTGATAGTGTTTAATGTTATTGTGGTACTTTTTTTAAATAAATATATTAAGCTAGAACTATTTAGACACATTTAAGATTTATTTAAGGTAAGTCTAGAATCTCGTGTGCCATAAAATAAACCTTTTTAAATAAAATCTTCTGGGTATGTAATATTAAATAACCTTTAATATTCTTTTTTTTTGCAGAACCAGTAGCAATATATTTTTTTTCAAATAGGTAGATTTTCTTTTAAGAGTACCTGAGAACTGATCATGCGCTGGGATGAGCGAGCAATATTGGCAGGCAGACCAAAGAAACTAGGTTTGTCATCCTCTGGAAGTTTTTCAATGACAGCACGATAGTCCTAAACATAAAGAAGTAATGAAGAGTTTCTCAATAAAGATTAAACTTGTTACCACTGAAATCACAATGAATGGATGCTGTGAATTATTATTCACATTTTACATGTAAATCTTACTCTTAGTTTGTATAAAATTAACTCAGTTTTCTATGGGAAATGTACCTTGTTACCACTACTTATTCATACTAAAATTATTTGATACTATATTTTTTATCCCAACTACCCACATTCAAAAGATTGCTGAAGTGATTAAAATAAACTTATTTGAGTGACTATGCCTACAATGTATAAAACATTATGTTAGCTATTTTCAAGTAAGTCTTGGTAATTACTTTTCTTAATCTACCAAAGACTAATCTTCAAATTGCAGTTCTGCTAATGTCAGCATAAATATTTCAGCAATGTTTTTTAAAAAGTTATAGAAACCCCACAAACCTATAAATACATTCTGGTATATAAGCACTGCTTTGTAAATTGTTTTATTATTATGCCATTCCACAGAGAGTTTTCAGTCTGCGGGTGAGATGCGATAAAATACATTGCTAATCCATTCATTGATCCCAGGAATTCCTGTAAGAATTGCAGAGTCTTGATTTGTCATGCACGTATCTGAATAGTTATTCACTCATGACTTAGATGGAAAACTAAGTATAGCTATTGAGGATTTATTCTGTTAGAGTCCCCCAAAACAGGAATTGCTTGTTTTGATGAAGAGAGAAGTTATTCTGAGTCAGTTATCAATACTGGTATTGCTGGAGAGATACAGTTTCTGCCTCCCCCATCATCCTTTCTCATTTGTCACATGATTTATCTTACATGTGGTATATAGAGCAAACCCTTAAGTATTTCCAACAAAACAACCAGACTTCAGGAAGTCCAGAATCTATTAAAAAATGTCAAATTTTGGAAAGACATGTTTTCTTTGGAAAATTTTCCTCTCCTATAACTTGGCATTTATAAACTTCCTCAAGGTGTTTCTCTTGATGTATATGTGTACACATGTCTATGTATATGTGAATATACATGAATGCATGTTGCCAAGTATGCACGCAGTTATATGTGTTTAAGTCCAGGTGTGTGTGTTCCATTCTCCTGGGAAGCTTGGTTTCCTCCTTCCGCCTAACTCAATTACAAAGCTCAACACTGATTCTCAATCATCCCATAAATTTAAACCTATGTATACACTTTGTTCATTTCAAAATGACTGTGAAATTTCCTCATTTGGATTGACTGGAAGTTTTCTCTATACTCAGGATATACACTGGTATGTCTCCCTTTTTTTTTTTAAAGATTTATTTATTTATGCATATAAGAGCTAGTATGCAGGCCAGAGATGCAGAGAGTGAAGGGATTCGCCAGAGACAGAGTAGAGAGCAGAACAGGTGGATTAACTGAAAGACATTGCTGAGGGGAGCAGCAGGTGAGACAGGAGTGTGTCTCTTAAATAATAGACAGCTACCTCTCTAAACAGATTAATCCTCACTTGAACACAAAGGAATATATACATGAAGTGCCAAACCAGGCAAAACTGATCTAGGCTGTTATAAGTTGAAATAATGTACCCTTTGTGGGAAAGGTAGCAACTAGGAGTTCTGGAGAGACATGAATGTAGTTTTTTGATCCCAGTATTGGTTACACACACATTCAATATATAAAATACACTGAACAGGAGAGTTATGATATATACATTTCTGTGTGAATTTCATTTTTCAATTTAAACCTCATATCTTCACTTGCCTGTTCATTTATAAAGAGGGAACTCCATAGATACACCAGAGATCCACTTCTGGAACTGGGTTATCACTGAATACTCTCCTGCCTCTGAGGAAGGAGCATGTACTCCCATTCCAGACCTTCACAAATCTGACATTTTCTAAATTTTCCTTGGTTACTCCCTTCAAGATTTACCCAGTCTTTATATCCTATGCCAGTCAATTAATCTCTGTGTTAAACACCCAAAACTTTAAGACATCTAACTAGAGTTTAGAGAATCAGGCCATGTGTCCATAATAATGAATGATCATTAGTTGTGCATTTGGAAAGAAATAACATACCTGAGAATACAAGAAATGATTCAAGTAAGTGGTAATGAATTGAAAATGATTACAGTTACCTACCAAAATGCTGCAAGATTTTGGTAGAGTTATTGAATATGGAAAAACACTTTTCTTGTTCCTTTGGTTTATTACATCAATTATTGAAGAATTAAAGAACTGTTTCAGGTATGACTGAAGAACTCTAAGGTCAAAATAGTTATCTACACGTCCTCCATAAATAGCACTTTCCAGTAAACCATGTAGAAATTCCCACTGAATATCTTTGGTACCTGTAATTGAAAACACTTGTTAGTTTCACTTCTAAGATATTAGTAATAATCTTTAAACTATTCTAATATTTTCTAAAATATCAATTAAATTCCTGGCTCTAAATCTAAATGTATATTTAATTCAATCAAATTCCATAAAATACTTATCAACATTGACATTCTCATTATTACTGCTATAATCATATAATGGCTAATGTTGACAGATTATTTAAAAAGTAAAATTTCTCGCCAATAGAATCCAACAATACATCCATAAGATAATTCACCACGACCAAATAGGATTTATTCCAGGGACACAAGGATGGTTCAACATCTGAAAATCAATCAATGTAATCCAACACATCAACAAAAAGAAATATAAAAACCATATGATAATATCCATAGATGCTGAGAAAGCATTCAACAAAGTACAACACCCATTTATGGTAAAAGCCCTTGAAATTCTCCGGATACAAGGAACATACCTCAACATCATAAAGGCCATATATGACAAGCCCACAGCCAATATCATTCTCAATGGTGAAAAGCTGAAAGCATTCCCATTAAGATCTGGAACAAGACAAGGATGTCCACTCTCACCACTGCTTTTCAACATAATACTGGAAGTCCTAGCCAGAGCAATAAGACAAGAGAAAGACATACAAGGAATCCAAATAGGCAAGGAAGAAGTCAAACTATCACTATTTGCGGACGATATGATAATATACATAGAGAACCCCAAAAACTCCACAGAAAAACTAATTAAACTAATCAATCAGTTTAGTAAAGTGGCAGGATACAAAATCAATGCACAAAAATCAGTAATCTTCCTATACACAAACCATAAATCTGAAGAAGAAGAAATCAAGAAAACCATTCCTTTTATTATTGAAACAAAAAAATCAAATACTTGGGAATAAACCTAACAAAAGAAGTAAAGGACCTATACAAAGAAAACTATAAAACACTGTGAAAAGAAATAGAAGAGACAAAAAGAAATGGAAAGACATCCCCTGCTCATGGATTGGAAGAATGAGTATTATCAAAAGGGTCATCCTACCAAAAGCAATTTACAGATTCAATGCTATTCCAATTAAAATTTCAATGTCATTCTTCAAAGAAATAGAAAAAATATTGATGAAATTCATATGGAGCCACCAAAAAACCCAAATAGCCAAAACCCTCCTGAAAAAAGAAGGGGAATGGAGGCATCACTCTCCCAGATTTCAAACTATACTACAAGCCATAATAATCAAAACTGTATGATATTGGAACCAGAACAGATGCACAAACCAATGGAACTGAATAGAAAGCCAGCTCTATGGTCAACTAACCTTTGACAAAGAAGCAAAGAATATGCACTGGAGCAAAGAAAGGTTCAATAAATGGTGCTGGGAAAACTGGGTTGCTACATGCAAAAAAATGAAGCTTGACTACTACCTCACACCATGCACAAAAACCAACTCAAAATGGATTAAAGAACTAGACATAAGACCTGAAACCATAAAATATATAGAAGGACATATAGGTGAAAAACTACATGACATACACCTCAAAGACATCTTTACAGACACATCACCCAAAGCAGTGATAGTGAAGGCTACATCAAATTAAAGAGCTTCTGCACAGCAAAAGAGACAACCAAAACAAAGAGAAACCCCACTGACTGGAAGAAAATTTTTGCACACAACACTAATGATAAAGGACTGATGACAAAAATCTGCAAAGAGCTGATGAGACTCAACAAAAACAAAGAAAATAATCCAGTCAAAAAATGGGCAGAAGAGCTATAAAGAAATTTCTCTGAAGAGGAAATGCAAATGGCCAACAGGCATATGAAAAAATGTTCAACATCACTTGTAATCAAGGAAATGCAAATCAAAACTACAATGAGGTACCATCTTACACCAGTGAGAATGGCACACATTAAAAAAACTAGCAACAACAAATGTTGGCGAGGATGTGGAGAGAAAGGAACTCTCCTGCACTGCTGGTGGGAGTGCAAACTAATCCAACCACTATGGAAAGCTATCTACTAAAGATAGAGCTTCCAATTGATCCAGCAATTCCACTGCTAGGTATTTACCCAAATGACACAGAAACAGTAATTCCAAAGAGCACCTGCACCCCTACGTTTATAGCAGCACAATTTATAATAACTAAGCTTTGGAAACAACCCAAATGCCCAAAAATAGATGACTGGATCAAGAAGATGTGGTACTTATACACAATGGAATATTACTCAACATTCAAGAAAGATAAACACATGCAATTTGCAGCAACATGGATGGCGCTGGAAGGGATCATACTTAATGAAATAAGACAGAAAGAAAAAGAAAAATACCGGATGATCTCACTCATAACGGGAATCTAGAAAACCTAAATAAGGGACCAGACCAGGAAAAAGAATAAGTATAAGAAAGAAAAAAATCAAAATCAACAAACAACTATGAACCAGAGACACACTTTGGGGGTGGGGGGTGTCGGGGAAAGGAGGGATTTGGGTCAAAATCAGGGGGTTGCAATTGTATGGGAAATATAAAAATAAAAAAATATTGTTAAAAAATAAAAAGTAAATAAAAAGTAAAATTTCTCACGTTTCACATGCATAAAACTCACTTAAACTTCACAACAGAAAAGCATTAATATCATCCAATTAGACAGATGAAAAAAATTGATGCACAGTAAAGTTGAGTCACCAAATTCAATGTCACACAATCCCTGGGATAAAATATTCTGAAACCAGAACCATGTTCTAGTGCCTCCAAAACTTGAAATTCTTTAGCAACATATCTAAAACATAACTTTATACAATGATGAAAACTCAATACATAAAGTGACTTGGTTAATAGGTAAACTGTAAAACACCTTTATACATTAGTCTTCTAAATATCATGATCTTTTTATTTTATTTTTTTTAAGATTTATTATTATTTTTTTAATTTATTTATACAAGCACTGGGTACAGTCAGAAGCACGGGAGGGTGAGAGAATTCACCAGAGCCAGAGTGGGGAGCAGAGCAGGCAGGACTGAAGTACACTGCTGAGGGGAGCAGCGGGCGGCAGGAGAGGTCTGCGCGCCATGTGGGACCCTCCTCCGGTGGCCGGGGAGCAGCCGGGGATCGAACAGGCGCCGCAGAGGCCGGGCAGCTTCGCAACCCAGCGCTCAACCGCTGCGCCATCAGGGGAGGCCCTAAATGTCATGATCTTTATAGTCAGTTCTGCATTTCTATTCTTGTAGGAGAGAAATACAGTATTTAAAAGCATAACTAGACTTTCATGTATTATTTCATTTTGTAACAGAGACATCTTTGTAAACACATTTCAGTGGTAATGTTAAAATTTAAGAATTAAACCTCAGGTCTGTGGTAAAAATAGGAAACAATTATATTTAAAGTAGCGTGATGATATCACTACTAGCATTACTAGCTTATATCTACTTTATTGCTATAAAATTCAGAGATAATTACGACTGGTGGCAGTAAACTACCTCCTGCAAAACAAGGGAACCAATAGTGTAGATGACTAAGTTGTTACTTGTTGATATCTTACTATCAAAGTGGCTAAGCAGCTATTACAAGGGGCTTCACCAAGTCTCGGTTTTCTAATTCTACCTTGATGTATACTAAATAATATTTTAGGAATGGACATGTCATTCATTAGTAGGTCACCACAACATAGAGACATTAATATATACAAGAAGACATTAGGTGATATATTTTACAGAATTTTTGTAAGAAAATCATATTTTCCATCATCTACCCATTTTTTTCAAAACAAGTTTTTTTTAGGATGAAATAAAATGAACACAACTGAAATTACAAAATAGCAATAGAAATATTGCTAGATCATTCAATATATTAAATGTACTAAATGTTAAATGCTTCATTGTGACTTTTCTCATTTATACTTCTAAAAAAAAAAAAATTAACCAGCTGAGTCAATGTCTACTATAATGCCTACTTTACAGATCAGGAAACTCAGGCTTAAAGTTTAAGAAACATATAGCATGTCTTAGAGCTACATAATCTCTGTACCAACTGTTCACTTCCTTTGGAACTTTGTTTTCTGAATTCAATTCTACAAAGACAGAGTTTCCTTAATATTGGAAAATTTTATAATCATAAGATTACACAGTTAGACTTTTACCATGAGAGTCAGTATCATCTGGAAGTACCTGCCTCTAATTCACAACATTTCAATGTATATAAAAATCATGTGATGCAATAAATTCCATCACACAGTTGAAACACAATGATAGACAAGCCATTCCAATTCTGTGTCTTGGTTTTCTCATATTAAAAGGGCACTTCTAATATCTGGTGATAATTGTGTCATAAAAATCTAGCAAATATTCAAAAACACTTTGGAAAATTCTAAGTTTCTACACAAACTAAATTATTAGTATACATCTTCCCCCAAAAAAATCTGTCAAAAAAATCAACATTAAAAACAATAGCCCATGGAAATCAGGAAAGTTATTCCTCTGCATGGAATGGGAAAATTTGGGGTCATGTGTGGGAAGGAATAGGGGAGGTGCTTACTGAGAATTCTTTTTATTAATTTGGAACTAATTATATAGGTTCAATTTATGAAAGTTTATTGACTTTTATATTATGTGCACTTCTCCGAGGTAGAAAAATTTTAAATAAACAAAAATTGGAATTCTCTTTGACATGAGTTAATAATGAACAAATGTAATATAGTTACATGTAGCCACCCAAAGACACAGCACCATTATTCATGATCATCTCAAACTGCCTACATGTCCATCAAGAGAAAAACTGAAAACTACCCAAATGTCCATCAAAATAAGTAAAATAATCACATAATAAAATAATCACACTGTATATAGCACTGAGGATAAATGTACTACATACAATACTATAAATGAATCTCTCAAATGTAACATTAACTCAGAGAATGTAAAGACTAATATAAAGAGCACATGAAGCATGATTTGTTTTACAAAAACAGGCAAAACTAATCTATATAGTTATGTGCCTGGTATTTACCAGAGAAGCAAAGCAAAGCCGGGGTGTGGAGGGGGGGTGGGGGGTGAGGAGGTGGGGGAAGTTGATGGATAGCAGTGATTGGATGGCAATATCAGATAGAGTGGAATCTGAGGTATTGGTGCTGTTCTGTTTATTGATTAAGGTGCTGGCTATGTGACTGTCTAGTTTGCAGACATTTCATTGAGGTGTAATCTTATCAGTGATTTTTGTATGTGTATTAGACTTTATTTCAAAGTTTTTATAACCTCATAAACATTTAAATTAAAATGGTACTTGACCCACTTCTTAGGTGTTACTCCTTATCCTTTTGCCAAAAACAAGTTATAGAATTACTGCTGATGTTATTAACTTGACAAAAATAGTCAAGTATCTACTACAGGTTAGGTCCTGCTACAGAACAGGACATACATAATAAACAGATCAAAGACTTTGCTTTAATGCAGATTACACTCTAATGGAAGAAATAAAATAAGAAAATAAAATCACAAATAAAAGAATATCAAATAATGTGCATTAAAACAGTATAGCAGAATAAGGGGATAAAGAATAATTAGATCACTTGAGATATGGTGGTAATGAAAACTTTCCTGAAGAGAATAGATTTAGCTGAAATGTGAATGATAAGAAGACAAGCAATTAAAGGTTTGGGAAAAAAGTATTTCAGAGAAAAAGAATAACATCTACCAAACCTCAGGAGGAACAAGTCAGACTTGTTGGAGAAACAGAAAGAGTGGAGGGAGCCCAATGGACTATGGTGGAGGACTATGCCTGCCTTGAGTAGGCTTTGGGGTGATAACATACATCTGAAGGGGTGTACTCCTATGCCCCCAAGCCATATACAGTGTTGTAAACCAACTAATGTTATGCCAATGAGAAAGAGAGAAGGTGGGGAGGAAGAGGCAGGAAAGAGAGGGAGAGGAGAGAGAGGAAGGGAAGAGGACAGGAAGGTAGACAGGTAGGCCAATGTGGCTGTAGGTTTGAAATGGGGATTATATGTTATTGGGCTTTTATATAAAATCATTTTCTTTACTGGGTAAAGAATGTTTGCTAAAATGGAAATAAAGCCAAGGAAGATACTATTGTTTGGACTACCAAGGCACTGATGAAGTTGAAACAAGTGAACAGAATCATAATGCTGTGGTACATGGAAGGGAAGGCATGACAATGCATGAGAGGTTTATGAGTGAGAAAAACAGAAGAATGCAGAGTGATTCATAGGTTTTAAATTTGGACAACTACATGAATGGTGATGCCATTTGTTGAAATGGGAAAAAAGGGTAGGGGGGTTGTTTGGGGCTGTCAGGTAGTAGGGAGACAAGAATCAAGAGTTCTGATTGGGAAATTTTTGAGATTCCTACCAATAGACTATCTTCCATCCATCACTACTGTAAACTCTGATGAACCTTTGCCTAGACCCTGGGCAATAAACTTTCAGGGATTGAAGTCTTTTTTTTTTTTTTTTAAGATTTATTTATTTATACAAGAACCAGGGTACAGGCCAGATGCGCGGGAACGTAAGGGGATTCACCAGAGACAGAGCGGTAAACAGAACAGGCAGACTGATGAAATACACTGCTGAGGGGAGCAGCGGGCGCGACAGGAGAGGTCTGTCATGTCATGTGGGACCCTCACCGGCCCCCAGGGATTGAACCGATGCTGCAGAAGCTGCTGCGGACAGTTTCACAGCACGGTGCTCAACCCCCTGTGCCACCAGGGGAGGCCCTCAGGGACTGAAGTCTTTCCACAAAGTGAAGACAAGGTTTTTCTAGCATCCTGCTTCCTGGGAGCTACAGATCAACCAGAAATCTACGGGGTTATATCCAAAAAGCACAGTCATAATAAAAGGACTCTCAGATAACATATCTATGGCAGAAAGCACATAAAACTCAATAAAATGAAAAAGTGTTTTTATGCTAGAAAGTTAAGTCACTCCTGGAGAAATCATGTTACTTATAACACTTCCAAAAAATGTTGTTAACTACTGAGACAAGAATTTCATGATTAGAACTTACCATTAAAAAGTCTATCAATAATGTTGTACCCAGCCCGAAGATCTGATAAGGAAAATTCATAAAACTTGGTCCAACCCTATCAAAAGAAATTTTTAAAATATTAAAAAACTATAAGCAATTTTCAAGCATGTATGTATGCATCATTATCTTTACAATCAAACAGGGCAATATATGCAAAAAAGACAACTTTGAGAATTTTATAACAGAAAATATCTCTAATTTAACAGAAAATTAGGAAAAAATGAATTTTGTGGACCTCCACAAAATGCAAAGGACTTTACAATACAATAGCTTTTTATCACGTAAGTTTTGGTAATATAGTTACGTAAAAAGTGAACAGATGGGTATAGCAAATTTTTGAACCTACATACTATGTACACACATTTACAGTTTTATAATTTTATACTTCAGAATTGTGAATTTTCTCCACAAACAGGAAAACAAATATTTCATAAAAAACTTTAAAGGCCCAAAGGCATACAGCATTGTTTTCTGCATATCTGATTCACAAAGCATTCATGACGGAACTAAATAAAACCATTGACCTACAACTAATACTTACAAACATTTGTATTAAAAGAATATTTATAGATATTTATATGTTGTAGAGAATATAAAATGATTAAAAATTTTAAAATTACTGATATGAATACTGTTAAGGAATATTGATACTTTCATTCATTCTTCATATTAAACACTTATTATATGTCAAACCCTGGGAATATAACAAAACATAAATAATCCCTGCCCTATTTCTATAGCTTTCACTAACATACAGGAGAGAAAGGAGGCATGGGATGGAGATAATCACTCAAATATCTGTTTAATTACAAACTGGAATACATTTGATGGAAACATAATTGATGTATATAAGAAAGAAATCTTGCCTAATCTAAGAAGAAAGGGAAAATCACCCTGGTAGAGTACAGGGGTTAAAAAAAAAAAAGAAGACTGAAGTAAATAGAGGCTAAGTAATTGGACAATAAAATTAAAGAATTTTTTTACTGGATTTTATTGGAGGGTGAAGATACCAAAAAGAGATGGAAGAATGACTTGTAAGCTTAAGGCTAATTCAAATGATGATGTTATTCACCCACAAATAGAACACCAAAGGTTACTTTGACATACAACTGAAATAGAGAGGGAGGCTAAAAAAGGGGAAGATAGGGAGAACAGTTGGAGAGCTATGTTGAGAAAGAGCTTGACAGATTCAAAGACCATAAAGAGGTCCAGTGTGACTGAGGTAGAGACAGCTATGGGAAAAGGAGGCTGAAGAAATAGAGGAATCTTTCCTTCTGGACCCAGTTAAGAAATCTGCATAATTTCCCTCAAATAAAACAAAGAGCCATGAGAGGTTTTAAGCAGAGCGGTGGGAAAAAAAACAACTTATATTACATATTAGGAAAATATTTCTGGACTCCACCCACAAAATGGAAGAATAGAGGGTCCAAAATCAACCTCTCTCCTAAAAACAACTAAAGAATGACGAACTGATACGAGCTCCTGGGAACACCCACACTTTGATCTGGCTGTTCCACAGGTCCTCTCCAGGGAGTTCAAGAGCTGAAGAAAGATCCCATTCTCCACAGTCATCTGCTGTGCTGGGAAAGTCATTCCAGTTGGCCTCCACAGACACCTCCAGGGCTTATCAAAATCCTACTCTGTGCAACAGAGACTCACAGAAACCCCCAGATTAACAGCCTGACCCCAACACCAGCAGTCAGTGCCCTGGGAGTAGACAAAGCCTGAAATGCAAACTTTTTTACAATTTTATTCCCCCAGCCGAAATTCAGAAGGACACAACAGCTTAAGGTGGAAGAGCATCCCACTCAGCCTTTTGGCACCTTACAACATGCACGGGCCACAATACGCTCTATAGCTCCTAGGAGAGCACAGAACTCTAAGTACAAACTGTTTTTTTTCCCCCCCCTGGTTCTTTCTCTCTCTCTCTTTTTTTCTTTTTCTTTCCCCTGAACTACAACTTTAAAGGAGCTAGCCATTCAACACAGACTCCAGGAAGAGCATCCCACCCAGCCTTACAATGTCCCCCAGGGGACCAGGCTAAAACAGCAGCCACCAGCTCCTCAGGAGCTGAGAGTTCTGAATTGCAAACAATTCTTTTTTTTTTCCCTTTCTTCTCCTTCTTCTCCTCTCTTTGTTTTCCTTCTTCTCCATCCTTTTTTCATATTTCTCCTTCCGTTCCTTTCCTTCCTTTCCTTCCTTCCTTCCTGTTTTCCCAAGTTGCAACCCAGAGGGAACTAACTGTTCAATATAGAAGTGCATCCCACTCAGCCTGCAGGCATCTCCCAGCAGACTGGGCCCCAACTTGGGCCTGGTGATATATTTTCCATATATATCAGAGACTTGGCTACCACAGGCTGAAGTTTTGGATTTCATTCCGTGTGGTAGGGGTTGGGCAGGCTGGGACTCCTGGGAAAAAAAAAAAAAATCACTGTTCTAATCAGCATCTGCCACAGTAGATGGGAATCAAGATAGATGCTGAGGGAAACCCCTTCCCTCAAGCGCCAGTGGTCCCTGATGCCCTGTATGCATGTCTGCCCCACCTAACCCCTACTGGCATCAGCTAACCAATAGATGCATGCCCAGTGGGGAGCTACAGGAACTGCCCTCATTCAACCCCAGTAGCCCCAGAAGGAGCACCCAGAAGTCCAATCTGCCACAAGTAGAAATCTAGTTGATGGGAGCTAAGGGGAAAGCCATGGGAGTCCCCAACCCTGCCTTGCCCACCAGCCACGGCAACCAAGGCACCAAGAAGATACATCCACACTCCAGTATGAGTGCCAAAAGTTCATGTCCACCAGCAGAATGGTGGTCCTATGTCTAGAACAAACAGGAAAACAAACATCCGGGAGAAAGAAAAATACAAATGGTCAAGCAAGCCCTCGGTGGAACAGTACACTGCAGAAAGAAAGTCAGCCTCTGGAACCCCAAAACACTGATTCAGAAGAATTTCTCTGCCTGAGAGATAAAGAATTCAGAATAACCATAATGAAGAAACTTAGAGCTGAGAGGAAATGTAGAAAACTTAAAGAGTGAAATGAGAAATAAAATCACCAAACAGAAGATTGAGATTGAATCCTTAAAAAAGAAAATAAAGATAACACAGGATGTTAAAAGATCAATGGAGGAGCTAAAAAATTATGAAAAAAGCCACAAAAATAGAATAGATTGAGTGGAAGAATGAATCAGTAATCTCAAAGATACTGATAGAAAAAGAATTGAAAAGGAAAGTGATAGAAAGGAAAAAGAATGAATAAACACTAAGAATTATCTGACACCATGAGAAAAGGAAATGAGAGTTAATAGGAATCCCAGAAGAAGAGAATAATAAGGCAACTGAAAATCTATTCAAGGAAATAATTGAAGAGAATTTACCAAATCTGAAACAGGAAATGAAAACACACAGAAGCTAGAAGGACACCAAACTATCATAATGAAAGGAAAACTACAGCAAGATGCATAATAGTAAAGCTTCTGAAAGTCCAAGACAAACAAAAAATAATGAAGACAACTAGGGGGAAGAAACAGAAAATATATAAAGAAAAACCAATTAGGCTGACATCAGACTTCTTTTAAGAAACACTACAGGCAAGAAGAGAATGAAGCAACATATTCAAAAAACTATAAAAGAAAAAAATGGCAACCAAGAATACTTTATCCTGCAAAGCTTTCCTTCTTCTATAATGGAAAAATAAGGAACTTCCCAAACAATCTTCAGAAATTCGCTTCTACTAAAAAAATTACAAGAAGCCTTAAAATCTAAAAAGAGTCACAGGAGGAACTGAACAATGTACTGAACAGTACACACAAGTTCACAATAGTACCACAAAACGATGAACAAAATGGCAATCACAGATTCCCATGTATTACCCTAAACATAAATGGACTAAACTCCCCAATAAAAATACAGTAGCATGGTGGATTAGAAAACAGAATCTAACTTTTTCTATTGTCTCCAGAAAACATACCTAACTGCTAAAGGTAAACACAGATTGAAAGAAAAGGGTTGGAAATCAATTCTACAAGCAAAAGGCCCCCCAAAGTAGACAGGAATAGTTATACATATATCAAGATAAACTAGGCTTTCAGCCAAGAGAAGTGACAAGAGACATAGATTGTCACGGTATAGTGATCAAGGGGACAATACACCAGAAAGACAACATTCATTAATACATACTCACCAAATGAAGTAACACCAAAATATATTACTTGGCTACTATCATCTCTGAAAACAGACATTAAATATGTATGTAGTAGTAGACTTTAATACCCCACTCTTACCACTGGATATATCAATGAGACAAAAAATAAACAAGGACACAACAGCCCTAAATAAAGATCTAGATCACCCTCCCTAAAAAACAAAAGCCCAGAACGGATGGTTTCACAAATGAGTTCCACCAAACATTCAAAGATGAACAGGTGCCTATACTACAATTACTCTTTCAAAAAATTGAGAATGAAGAAATACTACCAAATGCATTTTACAAAACCAACATTACACAATACCAAAAGCAAACAAAGACAGCATTAAAAATAAAAAAAAAAAAACCTAGAGGCCAATCTCCCTCACATAGATACAAAAATCCTCAATAAAATCCTAGCAAACTGAATCCAGCTATGTATCAAAAGGATAATACCATGACCAAATGGGTTTTACTCCAGGGACACAAGGATGGTTCAGCATCTGAAAAATTCATTAATGGAATTCAACACATCAACAAAAAGAAAAAAATATGATCATATCAATACATGCTGGGAGCATATGATAAAGTTCAATATCCACTTATAATGAAGGTCCTTGAAATTCTTGCAATAGAAAGAGCATACCTTAACAAAATAAAAGCCATATATGACAAACACAGAGCTAACATCATTTTTAAGATTTTTTTTTTTTATAGATTTAGTTTTTATTTATACAATAGCTGGGGTATAGGCCAGAGGCACGGGAGAGTGAGAAGATTCACCAGAGACAGAGTGGGGAGCAGAACAGGCAGACTAATAAAATACACTGCTGAGGGGAGCAGCCGGTGAAACAGGAGAGGTCTGCCCCGCCATGTGGGACCCTTGCTGGCTGGCCGAGATCCAGCCAGTACTTCAGAGGATGCGGACAGCTTCACAGTGCTGCATTCAACCACCTGCGCCACCAGGGGAGGCCCCTACGAAGCCAGTTTAATTAAAATGGCATGGTACTGAAACAAAAAGACCAATGGAATCAAATCAAATCGAATTAAAAACACAGAAATAAAGCCACACATATATGGCTAGTTTATGATGAAGGAGCAAAGAATAAGGAAAGATTCTTCAATAAGTGGTGCTGTGAAAACTGGATCACCAGAAACAAAAGAATGAAACCAGAACACCACCTCACATCATACACAAAAATCAACTCAAAATAGATGAAAGATTTAAATATAAGACCTGAAACCATAATATAAAAGAAAACACAGGCAAAATACTCCATGACAAACACCTCAGAAATATCTTTGAGGACTTATCTCCAGAAGCAAAGATAGTAATAGAAGGGATAAACAGCTGGGACTACATCAAATTAAAGAGCTTCTGTACAGCAAAAGACACAATAACCAAAACAAAGAGATACCCTACAGATTGGGAGAAAATTTTTGTACACAGTACTAATGATAAGGGTCTGATCACAAAGATCTACAAAGAGCTTGCACAACTCAAAAAAAACAAAGTAAATAAAGCAGTTAAAAAGAAATTTCTCCAAAGAGGAAATGCAAATGGCCAACAGGTACAAGAAAAATGTTCAACATCACCTATAATCAGGAAAATGAAAACAAAACCACAATGAGATACCACTTACACCAGTGAGAAAGGCCCATATTAAAAAAACTAGCAACAACAAATGTTGGCAAGGATGCAGAGAAAAGGAACTCTCCTACACTGCTGGTGGGAATGCAAACTGGTCCAACCTCTATGGAAAGCTGTGTGGAGGTTGCTCAATCTGCTAAAAATGGAGTTACCATATGATCCAGCAATTCCACTCCTAGGTGTCTACCAAAAGGACACAGAAACATTAATTCATCAGGACACCTGCACCCCTATGTTTATTGCAGCACTATTTACAATAAGTAAGATATGGAAACAACCCAAATGCCCAAAAATAGATGACTGGATCAAGAAGATGTGGTATATATACACAATGGAATATTAACCAGAAATCAAAAAAGATAAACTCATGCCATTTGCAGCAACATGGATGGAGCTGGAAGGGATTATGCTCAGTGAAATAAGCCAGAAAGAAAAAGAAAACTATCGGATGGTTTCACTTATAGGAGGAATGTAGAGGATCCAAATAAGGGATCAGGAAAAAAAAATTAATTATAATAAAAGTTAAAATCAAAATCAACATGCAAACCAGAGACATTCTGCAGTTGGGATGAAGGGAGTAGGATCAAAACAGGGGTGGGAAGAGCACAAGGGACTACGGTGATGGTGCACAGGTGAATGGGTGGTAGGAATTTCATGGGGAGTATAACTGAGATGAAAATGCATACATTGTACAAAAATGAAAAATGGGGGGCCTTCCTGGTAGTGTAAGGGGTTAAGAAGCAACCTATGAAGCTATCTGCAGCCACTACAACACAAATTCGATCCCTGGCTGGCCAGGGAGCATCCCACGTGGCACAGCACACCTCTCTTGACTGACCTGCTGCTCCCCTCAGCCGTGTATTTCAGTTGATCTGCCTGTTCTATTCCCCACTCTGTCTCTGGTTAATCATCTCACCCCCCACACCTCTGTCCTGTACCCCAGTTCTTGTCTGCATAAATAAATAAATCTTAAAAAATAATAAAAATAAAAAATGATGTAAAAAATATTAAAAAATAAAAATTAAAAAAAAATAAAGGGCCTCCCCTGGTGGTGTAGCCTTTGCAGCACTGGTTCAATCCCTGGCCACAGGCGAGGGTCCCACATGGTGCAACAGACCTCTCCTGCTGTGCCCGCTGCTCCCCTCAGCAGCGTATTTCATCAGTCTGCCTGTTCTGTTCTCCGCTCTGGTGAATTCTCTCACCCTCCCATGCTTCTGACTGTACCCACTGCTTGTATAAATAAATAAATAAATCTTTAAAAAAAAAAAATAAAGCAATTTTCTTACCACCATTAAAAAAAAAAAAAAAAACTGGCAACAACAAATGCTGACGAGGATTGGAGGAAAAAGAACTCTCTAACACTGCTGGTGGGAATGCAAACTGGTTCAGTCACCGTGGAAAGCTGTATAGAAGTTCCCCAAAACACTAAAAAGTAATCTACCAGATGATCTAATGATTCTACTCCTAGGAAGCTACCAAAAGGACACAAAAAACAATAATTTGAAAGGAAACCTGCACCCCTATGTTTATTGCAGCACTATTTACAATAGCTAAGATATGGAAACAATCTGAATAACCCCAGATGACTGGATCAACTAGATGTGGTATATATACACAATGGAATACTATTCAGCAATCAAAAAGACATGCCATTTGCAGCAACATGTGTGGAGCTAGAAGGGATTATGCTCAGTGAAATAAGTCAGAAGGAAAAGGAAAATATCGAATGGTTTTACTTTTAGGTGGAATGTAGGGAAAACAACCAAAAGGTCAGGGAAAATAAAAGAAAAACTTGCAGGCAAACTATAGATTTGAAGCATACAGCAGGGGTGGGAGAGAAGTCAAACAGGAGAGAAGAGCACAAAGAACTATGATGATGGCTCATGGGTGATACGGCAGTAGTAAATTTATGGGGACTACATGTGACAGGAGAAATCAAATATTGTACAAAAATGAACAACAATGTAAGAATATAAAAAAGTTGGAGCTGGAAGGGATCATGCTCAGGGAAATAAGCCAGAAAGAAAAAGAAAAATACCAGATGGTCTCACTCATAGCAGGAATTTAGAAAACCTAAATAAGGGACCAGGAAAAAGACAAATTATAATAAAGTGAAAATCAACAAGCAACTATAAACCAGAGACACACTACAGGGGGTGGAGGGAAGCAGGATCAAAACAAGGGGAGTGGGAATTGTATGGGAACTATAACCAAGATGAAAATGCATACATTGTGCAAAAATGAAAAATGATGTAAAAAATATAAAATTAAAAAAAAATGAAAAAATAATTTAAAAGAAAGAAAAATATTTCCACTGGAAAAGTGGAAAAAAAGAAATACATAGATTTGAAATGTATTTTTGGAAGCAGCAGTAAGACTCAATAATAGGAAGTTTGAGAAAGAAAAACACATAAGCACAACTCCTGGGTTTCTAACTTGAAGGAGGTAGGACTCAATGACTTTTAGTGAGAGGGAGACAGCAAAGAAAAATCAGGTACAGGGAATCCAGTCTCTGAACTTGAGATTTGAGCTACAAAATATAAAAATGTAAACTACTAATCATTGAGAGCTCATGATTTAATTTAAGAGACGTGAACTTCATAACTATAAATAGCGCAAGAGTAACAGAAAAGATTTACATAGATAAATTAATTAGCAATGAACCAAATTATTAAGTAACCCTCACCAAAACTACTAAATTCTAAAAATATTTAAAAACTGTAAAAAAGGTTAGAATACATCCAAGACATGTTTTTATTTACCTGTGGAATATAATTTCTTCTTTCTTGACATGCAGCATGAAACCATGCAAAACTAAAGAGAGCATGAGCTCGATGTATATTATCTTTTTTGCTAATTTGTTCAGGAGTCCAAGATTCATAAGTTCGCATTAAATTCTTTTTCAAACCTGGAGGTGACTAAAAAAAGAAAAAAATGAATAAAAACAAGTATATTGTTTAAAATCTTATAAAAATCATTCTTTAACATACTTTAGAATATATTTTACTGAGGAAAATCTTCACCATTACCAAGATTAGTTTAATGTAAAGCTAGTTTTAAACTCCTTATACCTGATAAATCCACTTAATTACAGATCCAAAATAACCTTTTAATTAAAAAAAATCTATATAGCAAAACATTTAAAGTTTTATAAGATTACTGAGATATTTTTACTAAAATTAATCATCATTTATAATACAAATATGGTATTGATTACCACAACACAGATGTTTAATTTTCCTATACCTGTTCTCCCAAGCTAAGTAAGTGCTATATGAATTTCCACGAGACCTTCACTATACTATTTACATGTCATGCTATTTTCATATAATCTTCCCTACACAGTAGTCTACTACAGATAATGTAGTTATTATCTAACATTCCAGGACTCATAAACACAAATTCAAACCAGAATACAAATCTGAATGCTTAGAAAAATGCAGCATTCTGTTTTTTTCTTAAATGCTTTTGACTTAGTGCATACCCAAATTTATACTCTAAAAATGAAAATTTTCATGTTTATCAAACATCTACAGAAAATTATCATAAAATAAGTGAAATTTTTTGAGTATTAGTCAATACAATGTAACATTAATAGGAAACTGAATAACACTTAAAAAATTTCTTTTAATGGCACTATGCAAAAGAGTAATAGGCACCAAATCATGTAGCTGGAGAAAGTATACAAGTATGAATTTACACAAACACAGATACACTAAACTGAAAATTTAGACTTAAAACAATTTCAATATTAATGCAAATAAATTTCAATTAAGTAACTGACATAAAGACAAATCAAAATCTAAGGAAAATAAGAAAAAAGCAAAAAATTCAGTCAACAGGAAAGAATAAAGAAAAGTAAGTTATTAAGTATGGCCAGTTATTTGGGATATATTTTTACTGACAACTCTGGCAACCAGTCAAAAGAAGAGAATCGATAATAAAATGCAGATTTAATAAATGTTAAAGATATATGTAAATATATATATGGACAATACATATAGTGTAATTGTTCTGAGCATCTCAATAAAATGCACTATTTTATGTTGACTTTAGAAATAGAAAACAAACACATTTACCAATGCTTTAAATGAAACAGAAATTTCCATAAAATATAATTTAATTATCTCCTAAAATGGGATCCTGGAAAAGGTCGTACTAACTTAAAACATTCAAGAAACAGTTTCCCTCATGAATTAATTCTTCATTTATTGAAATATGTACTTTTTTTTCCTATGTTCCACAAATTAAAAAGTATAAAAAAAGCAAGAGAGGGCCTCCCCTGGTGGCGCAGTGGTTGAGTGCTGGGCTGCGAAGCTGCCCACAGCCTCTGCAGCGCCCGGGAGGAGGGTCCCACATGGTGCGCAGAGCTCTCCTGCCACCCGCTGCTCCCCTCAGCAGTGTACTTCGGTCCCTCTGCCTGTTCTGTTCCCTGCTCTGGTGAATTCTCTCACCCTCCCGTGCTTCTGACTGTACCCAGTGCTTGTATAAATAAATAAATAAATCTTTAAAAAAAAAAAAAGGGCAAGAGAAAAAATAGCCCCTTCTCTCATGGCTCATATATTCCAGGTTCTAGTATACAGTTCAGTAGAAGAGTATATTGGGACAGTGGCAAGTGAAAAGTCTAGAAAGTTTCATTCTCACCAGACATGACAATGACATTCATTCAATTAACAAATTTTCATATTTTAAATTGTTTTTGCATTCCTGGATTAATGCTTTTCATTTTTTTCCCTTAAATAACTTCTTCAAATGAGAAATGAGATGTACTGATCTAAAATAATAGGTAGAAGGAATGATGTAAAGTAACAGGTAGTTATAAACACCAATAAGACATTTTTCTTGAGAAAAAATGATTGTGTAATTATATTAGACTATAAGAAAAAAATAAGGGAAAAGCTTTATGACATTAGATTTACAATAAACTTGTGGATATGGCATCAAAAGCACAGGCAACAAAAGCGAAAACAAAGTGGGACTATTCACATCATACAGGCAGCAAAGGAAAAAACACAGCAAAAAGACAACCTATGGAATTGGAGAACATATTAGCAAACTGTCCTTTCAAATAAGGGGGTAATATCCAGAGACTAACATCTTTGGAAGGAATGTATTTATCTCCTAAAACACAACAACAACAACAAAATACACTTAAAAATGGGCAAAGAACTTCAATAGGCATTTCTCCCAAGAAATTTATTTTGCTAGATAGCAAGCATATGAAAATGCTAAACATCACTGATCATTAAGGAACTTCAAATCAAAACCACAGTGAGATTTCAGCTCATACCATTAGGATGGTTACCATGAAAAGAAAAAAAGAATAGAAGTGTTGGCAAGGATGCAAAGAAACTGTGTGCTGTTGGTAGGAAGGTAAATGGTGTGCCACAGAGGAAAATAGTATGGAGGGTCCTCAAAAAGTTAAAAATAGTAATACCAGGCCTCCCCTGGTGGTGCAGCGGTGGAGCGCTGGGCTGCCAAGCTGCCTGTAGCCTCTGCAGTGCCGATTCCATCCCCCGCAGCCTGAGAGGGTCCCACATGGTGCGACAGACCTCTCCTGCTGCACCCTCTGCTCCCCTCAGCAGTGTATTTCTTGGTCAGCCTGCCTGTACTGTTTCCTGCTCTGGTGAATTCTCTCACCCTCCCGCGCTTCTGACTGTACCCAGTGCTTGTATAAATAAACAAATAAATCTTTAGGGAAAATAAATTAAATAAATAAATAAATAAATAAAAATAGTAATGCCATTGTGATCCACCAAACCTACTTGTGGAAATATATCCAAAAAATTAAAAATAGAATCTGGCCCATACCTTCATTATTCATAACAACCCAAGAGGTGGAATACCTAAATAATTTGGACTGACGAATGGACAAAGACATGGCATACACCTACAATGGCATGTTACTAAGCCTTAAAAAAAAAAATCCCGTCATGTACTACAACTTGGATGAAACTTAAGGATATAATGGCAAGTAAAACAAGACAATCACAAAAAGACAATGCATGATTCCACTTCTATAAAGTATCTGAAGTAGTAAACTCATAGAAACAGAAAGCAAAATGGTAGTTGCCAGGGTAGATGGAAAGGGAAATGGCATTTTCTTTTTAAAGGACAGTCTCAGTTTCGCAAAATGAAGTATCTATAGATATCTGTTGTACAATGAGATACATAATGTTAACACTACTAGAGTGTACATTTAAAAACAGGATGATAACAGCAAAAAAACAAGTAATCTCAAGTAAAATTTGGTTTTTTAAAAGATTTATTTATGCATACAAGAACTGGGGCACAGGTCAGAGGTGTGGGGGGGTGAGAGGATTCAGAGAAAGCGGGGAACAGAACAGGCAGATCTACTGAAATATACTGCTGAGGCACAGCAGACCTCTGTAAGTAAAATTTGAAAGGAAATTTTAAATGTATCTTTACAAATATACTATTACTTATGGATATTCTACCTCAACTAACTATAAAGGGTAGTTTTTGTGTGTATAATAGATGATTGTTTACAGAGCTTTAAAATGCATGTAGTGTAATTATACAACCAGTTAAGTTTTTAGTCTTCTTACCTCATAGGTTATCTTCAAACTTGACTGCAATAAAATAGGAGTGAAGTTCGGATGAACTTCTGCAGTAAGCCAAAGACGAAAGGTATCTTTAGGTTGAAGAGTGTTTAATTCCTAATTTATAAAAAAAAATAAAACAATAAAAATCTACTTAAATATGCACACAAATATCCACTCAAGCATTATTGATATTTTTTCTTAAAATCTTTCCTGATATAATTCTTAAAGTTCTGTTCATATTTTCTATAAATTACCATCTTCTCTATTACTAATTTAGTGTGATAGATAAAACTTGGAGCTAGGCAAAATGGGCTGGAATCCAATTCTTCCACTTATTTGCTGTATGACTTGGGCTCTATGACTTGCACCAGTGCTCGGCAATGATAGTAAGTGTTACTTATGTCACAGGACTGTACAAAACACTTCAAAAAGTGCTTGATACATAGTAAGTACATAACAGGTGTGAGTGGAAATGCCTATGACTAACTACCAGCCATCTTCAGGCTTGCACATTTTCAGTGCTTCAATTCAAGCTTTCACAAGAGTTACATAATGATATCAATTCCTTTATTCACAATTTTAGTGTTTCCTGTTGCCTATAATATGAATTTAAAACCTCAGTAAATTCATCTACCCATGCTGTATTCAGATTTTATTGCCTCTGTCTTTATTCATCTTTTTCTTTGTTATTCTCTTGTAGCCTGACAAGTTCTTAGTCATCTATAAAAATGCAAATTAAGTATCCTGTCTGAAAGGAATATCTTCTCTAACTCTTCACTACCATAATCCCAAGCAGAACTAATCACTGATGGCATTTTGTAATCCCTCTCCTATAATAGGCATCATACTACAACACAGTTATTAATGTGTTCTGTCTCTTCTAAACTTATTTCCTAGAGAACAGGTACAAATTTTGTATGTAACCACTGCTAAGGAAAATTTCAGGCTTTTTTCTGTATTCAGCAAGTGTTTGTAGAATGGTTGAATGAGTACTTCAAAAGAAATACTGGTAAGTCTGAGAGAAAGTAAAGTCTAAAAGTTATTTGAAAAAATATAATCTATACCTCATACTAATGCTCATTATTAATGTAAGATGTAGAGGTAAGATGACCAAAAAAGGCAAAACAATTGGTCATGAAAACATTGTGCTTGTGCTGTAAATTATTTAAATGCATACACACACACACACACACACACACACACATACATATATATCTAGACCTTATTTAAAATGTAAGATTTATATAAAACGTTTCCTTGGGTTAGCATATTTTTTAAAAAATGTTAGACAATATATTTTTGATACAGCTGGATTTAAAATAAATTATTAATGTGTATTGAAACAATTCATCCAAACTTCCCAAAATATATTAAAATATTTTTCAAAACTTTTATAATATAATCTACTTTATATGCTTGGAAAAGTTTTAATGAAGATTGCTTCCAAAGTAATAACTGAAATTATGGATGCCGTAGATTAATAGCTATCAATCTATTATTTTGGAACAGAAAGCAGGATTCAAGTATTCATAAGTCTTCTTAGTACGTTTTAAAACATAAGATTCATCAGAAATGAATTTTATATTTTTGCAAATTAGTGATTTATAGAAAACTGTAATAATGAAATTACACTAATACTCATACACACTTCAGTTCTCAATTCCTTTATCTTCTTTTGATTACAAGCAATGAATCATCATGGTCCAACAATGTCAATCATTAACTCATTCATCAAAGATTTCAGTTTTGTGTAAGGTGCTATAGTTGCCTTTGATTAGGACTACAGAAATTTTCAACACATCACAACTAGGCTAATGCCTCCCTCAATCCACTCTAATCCACCTCATTCTGTTCTGACTACTACTTCTGCCAGATTCATTAAATTAATCCATTATTAACTCCCCTGCTATGAAATTACCCTGACTATGTCCTGGGACAAGAATTCCAGGCTCATCTGCATGGTTCTCATGGCAGTAGGCAACCTAGCCCCCTTCTGGCCATTTAACTCCATGCCCCACACTGTCCAGCCTGGCCTTTCCCATACTTCATGCCCATCTTCATTTCTGAAATAGGCATGCACACCTCCACCATCATGCCCTCCACTCCCGCCCTGTTTAGTTTTCAGGAAATAGCATTCAGATAATGTTTCAGATGCTTACAACCATATCCATCTTTCCAGGTTTACATTTAAAACCCACCCATCAATTTCGCCTGTCTGAAGGCATCCAGTTAAATGTAATGATTGCTTCATTAATTTCCTTAGCACTTAGGAAGTTCTCCCTCTGCCTGCTCTGCATCTTTTTCCCCCTTACAGACATAACAGGAGCAGAAAGACAAAGTAATGCTGTGTCTACAATCCTTTGCACATTTTCCTGTTTTCCTACTGAAAAAAAAAAAAAAAAACCTCTAAAATTCCTTTCAATTCTGATAATTTTTTGCCTTCCCTTAAATGTCTTTAAAGAGGAGAGATTTCTATATAAGTCCTATTAAAAGGTTAATCTTGTTTTCTACAAATGTACATATTTAAGAATATTTGAGATTATAAATTATTTCTCATCAAGCACTATTTTTAAAAAAGTATCATAAATAATGCATGAAATTTTAATACTGATGTTCCATGGGCTTGACTGAATTGAGTATATTAGGTTATTTGCACAGTATTTATCTGTATCTACCTTTTCCAGAACTGGTAGCCAAGATACTACAAGATGTAAGTTCTTCAAACAGAGCCAATCTCCATTGCGGGCACATTCTTTTAGCATTTGAATTGCTATATCAGCTTGACCTTGACCCATGGCAACCTGCAAAATCAAAAACAAAAACCGAAATATCTGAAAACATGTTGCAACATAAGAGATACAGACTATATTGTCATACATATTAAATTAACTCAATTACTGTAATCAGGGTTCTAAATTTTTAATAAGAAATATCAGACTGTTCCCATTTGCAGCAATTTTTTGCTTTTGTCCTAATATCAATAACAGATTTTTAATCTTTTCCTATTATTAAAAATACTGTATTATTATAGGTTTACAAGTTAAAGAAGAGAATAAAGAAGTATTAAATACCTTTATTTCTCATACAAATATTTGCTACAGTTCTTGCCCAAAGATGGACCTTAAAAAAAGAACTAGTGCTTTTTGTTAACGATCATCTTGTTGAATTACTTGTAGCATGTAACATTAACTCTACCACTTACTTAGTATTTACTTCTCTGTTAATTTTGCAACACTGCACATTTTTAGCTCTTAAGCTACTAGTCCATTGAACTGTGTTTTCCTAACACTTCATTAACTAGCAAATCCAACATATTGATGTGCCTACAGACTCCACACTCTCATACTCAACCTCGACTCCTCTTTAGCTTCTCAGAGAGAAAGCAGGGAGAAGATAGAGAAGAAATAGAGAGAGAGGAAGGGTGGACAAGAAAGGCTGAGAGGTAATGAGAACCCTGATGTCTCACTGGAAAACCATTCCAATTATTCCAATCCCTATGGTCTATCTGCACGAGGACATACATGTAGTGAATAGGACACTTTATAAAATAGAAAAAATTCCAAGCATTAAAAGTATTCTAGAATAGCCAAAATAATCTAGATAATGAACTTGTTATGAGGCTTCTGTATTATTTAAATACTGGCTAAAATTCTATAACAGGTTTAGTCAAGAATCTAAAAGGACCACTTAACCACGTCTAAACTATGTTTTTTAAAGGTAATTTATCTGAAACTTACACAGCTGTATCTGTGTATATAATTTACAAATATACATGTGTATATAATATATACATATTTGAGTGAGTCCTATTTCAAATTTTATTCTGGGGACCTAATCAAACACTTTAAAGAGCACTGCTATTATAGATTCATTCAAGTCACGGTGATTTCTTCTTTCATAACAAATACAAGACAGCATTTCATTGGTTTTAGTTGACTTTCACAGGTATTGATTTTATTTTTCAATTAGACTACAAAGTCTTTGAGAAAGGGAACCATGTCTAATTCACTGCACACTGGAGCATGCAACAAACCAGGTACTAAATACTGACATATTGATTTTATTTTTAAGTTTTCAAGGTCTAACCTGGAACTAAGTATAAAGGACAGATGAAGTAAATACTGGGAGAATTACTTTAACACACATATTAGTTTGCCATTACTAGAATGCAGGAAAAAAATGAAGGCCTATACAACAGAAACAAAGAAAGATTAAGTTTTTACTGAGCTGAAACGCTAGGTAAAAATAGGTTACTCAAAATTTTCCATTAGACAAAAATTATATGAGAAGAATTTAAGAGTCATGAAACCTGAAAACATTCACTATTAAAAAAATGTTAAAAAAACATAACAGCAAAATGTCAAGATGATGATAGCTCACACCTCCTCCCACTAAAACACATTTAATTTTCCTGCATGTGTAGCATAACATTAAAAAATTAAATAACTGGAAAATTATCAATAAATCTGTGCAGGGCCTCCCCTGGTGGTGCAGCAGTTGAGCACTGGGCTGCGAAGCTGCCTGCAGCCTCTGCAGCGCCGGTTCCATCCCCAGCCACCCGCGAGGGTCCCACATGGCGCGACAGACCTCTCCTGCAGTGCCTGCTGCTCCCTTCAGCAGTGCATTTCGTCAGTATGCCTGTTCTGTTCCCCGCTCTGGCTCTGGTGAATTCTCTCACCCTCCTGCGCTTCTGACTGTACCCAGTGCTTGTATAAATAAATAAATAAATCTTTTAAAAAATAAATAAATCTGTGCATAAAGATTTTACTACATTAAACAATTTTGCAAGAGCAACACTCAAAACTCCACAGGTTTAACTACTATGAATGTAAATAGTTTAATTTACCAAAGTCACTGCAAAGAGAAAAACCTCTAGAAAAAGACTCCTCTTCCTGAAAACACCTCACTACTCTGATTGAATGAAATCCCCTACAGTCAAACAGTACAAACATGCCCTGCCAGGCCAACTCTGTTATTCTATCTTCTGCTTATCTGCCTCAAACACTCTTAATTTTCAATTTTGGGTTGCTATCAAGTATTTGCTTAGATTACTATTAATTATTTTCTTCCAAACAATTTTTTGTTTATTCATTTGTCAAAGACAGATATTAATTAGTGAATTTCAAACTTGCATGCAAACTGAATTGAAAAAGGTAATCTGAACAAATGAAACTTCCAAATTCACCCTAAGAAAAAGTAGCAATATATTAAATAAATTTCACTCAAAATTTTAGGTATTTCTTTCATTTCAGTTTTGCAGGTAATTACTGCTATGATTTATTATAAAAGTAACTGAGTAAAAAGGTTTTAGTTATCCTCAAAATATAAACAAATATATTCATTTCCTATTCTTTGTTGCTATGGTTTCTGTACCGTTTCTCTTTACTCAGGTAAATTGTTTTACAACACAGATCCTGCTATAACAAATTATCAAAGCTCTATGCCCTAAAATAAGACAAAATCATTATAAGATTTCTGGAGGTCATACGTCTTACTGGTCTAAAATCAAGGTGTCTGAATTTGAAAATAAAGGTAGTAACACAGAGTTGGATTATTTCTGGACATGCAGAAAGAATCTTGTAGATTCTTCTAGGTCTCAGCTCTAGAAGATACTCTCCTGTGTTCATGGACCTTCCTCCACCTTCAAAACCAGGAGCACAACACCTCCCCATCTCTGTCCTCTGCCTCCACTGTCACCTCCCCCCTTTTATAAGGACATAAGGAGCCAGTGATTATATCAGGCCCACTTGTAGGCTCTCTCCAGCTCAAGATGCTTAATTACAACTGCGAAGTTTCTTTTGCCAGGTAAAGTACCAAATTCACAGGTTCTGGGGATCAAAATGTGGACAGTTTTGGGGGGAGGGGGCATTATTTGGCCTAAAACAAGAAAAAATCGTGTCAGGTCCACTAACAGGATCAATTATGGCAGGAAAACACTAAGAACAAAGACAGCCATGTGATATGTACCGACCTGGTGATAACACTCTCCGCTTCTCTCGGCATTAGCTAGCTCTTGAAGTTCCTGAGAAGGATCAGCACCCGGGGAAATAATGATTAAGATGGGTTCAATTTCTAGTGTCTCTTTGTACAGACGTTTGAGATTTAGAGGAAGTGGGGACAACTCTTTCAGTCCTAAAGATACATAAATGAAGTTAAAAATAAAAATTAGCATGCATCAGGAAACATTGTCTATTAAAACTAACCACATGCTAGGTAATAGAGAATACCTTGGTGTACTATTATACCTTACATATACATATAAGGCTTTCTTACTAAAAATAACTGCCACTTATTGAATGCTTCAGGTGCCAGGATTGTTTTTCAGTGCTCTACATATCATCTAGGTGTGAAGGCCACAGTGCAGGATCTCTATGATTCGAGCAGACGGGTGAAGGAGGAGTCCTGGGCCTTCAGCGGCTTTTTCAGGCTTTTATTGTCATTTTACCACGTACATGACAGGCGGGGGTGCCAGGGGTCCAGGAGGCAGGTAAGCCTCCTGGGCCCCTGGTGAATCTTCACTCTGTCTGGGGTCTCCAGTGTTCTCTCCTGGTCTTGTTCTCTCTCTGTTGCTTCTCTTTCGTTCTGCTGCTTGCTTGTTCTCCTTCTGGTGTTTCTGGCGTCCCTGTGACACCACTCTTATAAGCCCTGCCTCAGCCCAGGTGAACCCACTACCTAGGCCCACACCGTACTCCAGGTGCCCGCCATCAGGCATGCATTCAAGACCGCAGGGATCCATCATCAATCCTAATAGCGGGAGGGCAGAAGTCTGAAAATTACTTACCCTACAACTAGGTATCTTAAATTTTTTTAATTATTATTTTTTAATTATCTATATTTTTACATCATTTTTCATTTTTGTATAATGTATGCATTTTCAACTTGCTTATAGTCCCCATACAATTCCCACCCCCTCTTGTTTTGATCCTATACTCTCCTCCCTGCCCCCAGTGTGTTTCTGGTTTACACTTGCTTGTTGATTTTGATTTTTACTTTATTATAATTAGTCTTGTTCCTGGTCCCTTATTTAGGTTTTCTAAATTCCTGCTATGAATGAGACCAACCCAAATGCCCAAAAATAGATGATAGGATCAAGAAGATGTGGTAGGGCCTCCCTGGTGGCACAGTGGTTGAGCGCTTGGGTTGCGAAGCTGCCCGAAGCCTCCGCGGCGCCGGTTCGATCCCTGGCTGCTCCTGAGCCACGGGAGGAGGGTCCCACATGGTGCACAGACCTCTCCTGCTGCCCTCTGCTCTCCTCAGCAGTGTACTTTGGTCCTTCTGCCTGCTCTGCTCCCCGCTCTGGCTCTGGTGAATTCTCTCACCCTCCCACGCTTCTGACTGTACCCAGTGCTTGTATAAATAAATAAATCTTTAAAAATAAATAAATAAATAAAAATAAAATACAACTAAAGTGCTTGAGGTGGGGTGATGAAAACTTTAAAAAAAAAAGAAAAAAAAAGAAGTGGTACATATACACAATGGAATATTACTCAGCAATCAAAAAAGACAAACTCATGCAATTTGCAACATCATGGATGGAGCTAGAAGGGATCATGCTCAGTGAAATAAGCCAGAAAGAAAAAGAAAAATACCAACCAGGTCTCTTAATTACCAACTTAACAGATGCAGAAATACACAATCAGCATTATTGCAGTCTTAATATGGTTCTCTTCCTACAAGAGAAGACTAAATACAATCATCCATCTATATAGCTTTCATTCATTTATATAACTTTAGTGACTCTCCTGTGCCATGCATATGAGGAATCAGATTTCCCCAGTAAAAAAATTCACTGTTATAATATAGGATAAAGTTATTTCTATATCAATTCATGAAAAGAGAAAAAAGTGTTACAAAATGAAAACAATACTTAGTTTGGAGACTGGAATATACAGCTGTCTGTATAATGTTTGCTTGTAGAGTGATACAAATCACTAAAATGCACTGTCTCAGTTTCCTCAAGTATAAAACAGGGATAAAACAATTCATATCTCATTTGTGGGTAAAAATAGGCTATGGTAGTGAAAATATATTCCGTTTATTCATCACCTACTCTACACTAAGCATTATTAGGGGTAGTTTATTTTACTTGTAAAGAAACTAATACCTAATACCAGGTGAAATCTACCCCAATAGCCACTTAAAACTGATGAGTTGCTTTTAGAGTCATATTTTGTGAATTTTATTTTTACATTTAAATTGCTAACATCCTGTTTTGAGCTCTAATTTATAAGAAGTCTTATGCACTTATTGCAATGAAATATAAAATGGTTTCATTCAATCCATCATACTAGGCCAATTAAATGTACTGTGCAATATGATAAAGTGTATCAAAAGTCTAAAAAATGTATGGCCTTTTAGTCATTTAAGAAATAATTTAGGACATGAAGGCAGAAGCATGTGAAAGGACTTTCATTCTAGTTGTAGATATTAGTTAAAAACTATGGGAAAGATGTTAAGTGATTGTTTGTTTGTTTGTTTTTAGTTATCCAGAAGCACAGGTTCACTATGAAAAACAAAGAAGGAAGAAGGACACTTGTACAGACACAAGTGGGCAGAAAGAGCTGCCCCGAAAGGGACGGGTTTGCCAAAGAGAGGCCTGCATAGAAAGACATTGTTTTTAACAACAGGAGTCTGAAAGAGCCACATAATGGAATTAAGGTTATATTTAACTTTAAATATAGAGGTAAAATGTAATTTACTGAAGAGCAATACTCAACAGGACAGGCAACGTGATTCCACATTGTAATGTACACACATTTATGACCCTAAAAAGAATAGCAAGGTATATATGCTAATGATGACTGGCTTAGTAGAAAGCAATACAGGTGTTTCCTTTTACTCTGATATCTACTTGGGGGCTTCTAATTAATGTTTGGGATTAAAATGTGATTTATATATATATATATATATAAATATTTCTGTATGAAATGACTACTGACTGAAATGTGTATTTTATTTAAAAAACATGTGCCAATATAGAAACTCTCTTCAAGAAGTTGAAATGCAGGTTACCATATCATTTTCTTACTTTAACGAATATAGTTAGTAAACTCCATGAGGAAAGTTGTGGTACTTGTTTTGTTTACCCTTTACCTCCAGAAAGCAGCATAAATTCAGTTATTACTTTAAAATGTTGAAATTCCACACCAATAAATCTATTCATGAACATAATTTGCACAATATTTTAAAGTACTGGAAGATTTTAGAGAAAAAGCATCATTTTATCATTTAACACAGGTGACATTCATGCTACTTGGAATTCCATATTAGCGATTCCACCTACAAAACTCTAAGTAAAATCCCTAATGTATTAAGTGAACTGAATCTATATACAACCATTGGTTTTATTAACACAAGTAATTTTAACTCATGATATTGTATCTGTCAGTGTGAGTTATTCAAATGTATCTGAAAAAATTAAAGAGTAAAAATGTTCATTGCATTGAGAATTATCATAGTGTATAACTACTTGTAAATCACTGGGATCGTCTATTTTAATAATGCACCTTTAAATTACATATATTTTTTTCAAAAAGACCTAAAAGTCAAAGAAATAACTTAAACTTTTATTAATTTTATTTTACTCAGATAAAATACCGAGGAAGTAACAATAAACAATTTATACTTTAAAATGGAAGACTATCACTGTTGCACTTTTTAGATACCTAGAGAGTACAGAAAGTAGCAAATTCATATCAAACCATTATAAGTGATAAGTATATTAAATTCATTTTTCCACATTCATCTCATCCTCAAAGAGACTAATAGGAATTAGGTGTACAAAATTACTCTTCCTTTATAAGAGAGAAAAGACAACTCTAAAAATGTACCACAAACATGGTTTAAAAGACGGAAAATGGACAATTACTAATATTCCTCAGCCAATTAAATGGGGAAATAATCTTTAGAAATAATACTCAACTTCTGAAACAAAAAAGTTCAACATTTTGTGGTAGGCAGAATTCTGGATAACTAATTCCTCTTTATTTGTGATTACACACTAAGCTATAATATAATGTAGTAACTACAGATAGTAATGTAACTATAGACTTTAAAATCTAATTATTCTGGATTACCCAAGTGGGCAATTTAATCACTTGAGCCCTCAAAAGCAGAAAAACTTCTCCAGCCAAGTCAAAGAGACACAGCAGAAAAGTGAAGCAGAGGTCAGAGACATGAGTGTCTTCTAAAATCAATAGCAAGGTATATCGGGAATCATAATCTTACAACTGCTGGAAATGAACTCTGGGGGGAACCTGGATGAGATTAGAAATGGATTCTTCCCCCAGTTTCCCAGTAAAAACCCAGATTGTCAACACCTGGATTTAGCCTTGTGCAATTTGGGGCAGAAGCCAAGTGTGGACATCAGACTTGTGACCTACAGAACTGTGACATAATTAATAGATGTTGTTTTCAGCTGCTAATGTATGGTAATTTGTTACAATAGTAATAGAAAATATGCATTTTGTTATGTCTTTCCTCTCCTCCTAGATCACACTTCACAAAACGGATTGATTGATGGAAGCAGGTCATGGAATAGGATGCTAGCATGGATAAGAGAAGTAGAGAACTAGGAAAAGTGCAAAGTGCAAAACCACCTTCACTGGAAAATTTTGAGAAGTTACTGGTTCCCGTAGCTACTGTAGCACCTTACAGGAACATGTCTCAATACACACAGCACAATATATCTTGCTCAGGATAGTAAATAGTTAAAGCTAAATCAGAATTACAGAAGTCAGCATATATCATCTGGTAACTACTACTTGTAATTAGCAGATTTTACTAGTACTTAAGGCTTGGATTGTAAGATTATACTAAAGTGACATACCTAAAAATTTTAAGGATTGCTTACTAGACTCCTCAAATTGAAACTACTTTCATACGCACATATTTGTTATTATTAAAGTCATTATTAAAGTCTGTAGATTGTAAAATATTGCTAAAACTTAATAAAAATATTTTCATATGAATGATGCTTGAGAAATTACCTTTGAAATCAAATATCTAAATTTTGATTCAAAAGCGATTAAGTCCTTATTATTCTCTACCAATCTAAACTTTTAATAGTCATAGAATAAAATATCCATTTTTACATAAAAACTGTAATAAAACCACTTGACCAAATTCAGTCATCTGTCATACACCAGTATAAATTTTGCTTAGAAACAGATGAGTATGATTTCAGCAGTATATTAAATGCTCAAAGCATCTAATATGTGAATATAATGAGCTTTCACTTAATGCCACTAAACCTTAAATGCCATTTAAGCTAGAGATGAAACAGCACCATAACAGAAATATTCCCAAGAGTTAATACAGAGTCAAACTACAAAGTCAGTAAGAAAGATCACATACAATGTGATAAAAATGGCATATTTTTAAAGACTGAATGCTGTCCTTTTAACCTTCCTAGAAACTGCTTCATTTTACTTGGATTGAAGTTTAAGAAATAATATATATTAATAATATATGTGTTAATATAAATATACATTAATAACATATAATAATATATAGATGATGAATACATAGATAAGCCAGAAATATATCATCATGTTAAGAACCATGTAGAGAATTAATCAGGTTGATATGTTGGTACTGATTAGATGATTCAGAAGGACTGTCCTAAAATTACAACACCCTAAATTAACATCAGAAAGACAGAGAGGAGACATCCATTAAGAGGCAAAACAGAGCTAATATTCCTCTGTCCTTGGGCATATAAGCTGCTTCTAAAACTCGACTAATGTAAATAGTACTGCAATGAATGCAGGAGCACATATTAAGATGTGGTTTATATACACAATGCGATACCTCAGCTATTTAAAAAAAAAAAAGATGAATTCTCGGCATTCTCAACAACAGGGATGGAACTAGAGGGTATTATATCAAGCAAAATAAAGTGAAGGAAAAAGACAAATATCAGATGGCTTGACTTCTATGTGGAACATAGGGAAATAAAACAAAGGATCAGATAAAACTAAACCAATAACAGAAACCTAGAAATTTGACTGTAAAACTAAGGTTACTACAGAAGGATAAAGAGGGAAAGGGGAGAGAGGAATAAATATACAATTATTTTCAAAAATACAAAACTAACAGCATGAAGTTACGAAGCTGTCTTGCCCATTGACACCTAGTGGTGAGCAAAAGGAGTACAAGATGAGGTCAGAGAAGTGGACAGTGGCCAGACAATGTGGACCTTTGTAAGCTTATATAAGAAATTTTCCAGAAGATTTTGCAGATTTCATGCAAAAAAGAAAGATGATTTCACTTATGTTTTTAAAAGGCTACACGTCTTCTGAAAAGAATAAAGAGGAAACAAAATCCAAGGTAAGGAGATAATTAGCAAGGTGGTCATTGCCTCCATGTTCTAGAAGCTTCTGAAGGCAATGAGACACAACTGCAAACAATATAAAATGTGTTTGCTCATGTGGCTTGTATTCTTGTTTAGAGACATATCATTAATAAGCAAATAACAATATTTTCATATGATGATAACAGTTACAAAGGAAAGTAAACAAGATAGAGGCAGATACGGAGAGGTGAGGAGTTAAGTATTTTTATCAAGTGCTCAGAGAAATCGTCACCAAAAAGGTGACATTTGAGCATAAAGGTGAGGGAGATGACTGGAGTAGAGCTCTCTTGCAAGAAGGACTGGCAAGTGGAAAGGTACTGAGATTGCAGAAATACATGTGGAGCACGAGAAGAACAAGAAAAAGGCTGTTATGGGGGAAAAGGTCTCAGCAAGGTGAGAATGGTAGGAGATGAGATCTGAGGGGAAGCAGAAAACCAAAAGATGTGAGACCCTGTACGACATTATAAGGAATCTGAAAGAAAAAAAAGTATTTTAATAAATAATTTTAAAAAATAGATGCTATCAGAAAAGTTTTAATAAAGGAATAGAACTAATTCAAAAGCTGCTAGGCTAAGAATAAACTGAAAGTGAAGAAGCCTGAATGGCAATAATTTTCTTCAAATGATAGTGGACTGAACAAAACAGAGGTGTGAAAAGTGACTGAATTCTGTACATATTCAGATGACAGAACCAAATTATAGCAGTAAGTGAGGTGGCAGATGATGACAACTTACTTTAGGCTGATAGTAATGCCACAAAATAAATTAATTAAATGAATTCAGAGTAAGTTTTTTTTAAGATTTATTTATTTTTATACAAGAGCAGGGGTACCGGACAGAGGTGCAGGAGGGTGAGAGGATTCACGAGAGACAGCAGGGAGCAGAACAGGCAGCAGACCAAAAACAGAGATTCCAGATATGTAGCTGCATATCAGGAAAGACCAAAGATTTGCAGTAAATGTCCAGAATCTAGGAGGAAGCAGGGGCGATTCCCCTCCAGTCTTCAGAGCGTGGTCTTGCCATCATCTCGATGTCAAAATTCTAGTCTCCAGAAATTAACACAATAAATCCTATTACTTTAAGCAACCGGTTTGTGGTGCTTAAGAAAGCCCTAGGAACCATAGCCAGCAGGTTAGAGTGAACATGGATATGCAATGGAATAACTTAATCTAAGGTTACAGGGTAGTTTTTATATTAGCACTTTCCACCAATGTCCCTCTAAACAGAGAATAAATTTGACTCCGTCAGGATAGCTGCGTGATCTTGTTTATCATCTTGAAATGGAGAAAAAAATAGCTCCTTGTAGGATTGCTGAGAATTAAAAGAGTTGATACATGTATAGAATTTAGACTAGAACTTGGCCCATAGTGAAGCTACTGAAAGTTATCTGTGATTATACCATTATGAACACTCAAGTTTAAATGAAAGAGTGCATTCATCAGGGTCTAGTTGATCACCTGAAACTAAAGGACATCGTCTCAAAATAATACTCTGATAGAGCCAACTATAACAACTTATATGTCAACAATAGAATGATTATTACAACTGTAAAGTTTTCAGTGATAGGCATGGAAGGTCCAATATATTTGTTCAATTTCATAAAACTGTGATAAGCTTAATTAAAAGAGAAATTCAAATTCAGAGAAAACAAACCTAACATACTAGGCTCGCTTGATAAAATTACAACTAATAAAGTTTTCATATAAAATTTCATCTATATTAATATGGAAAAATTAAATAGGAATGGAGGGTTTCTAAAAAAATTGTCAGCATACTATTTGAACTATGGCTGTTTTCACTTCCAGCATTACACTAAAACCTAGCAAAGACCACTTTTTTTGGGAGACTGTGCTTCATGTGAAATCCTCTTCAAAGCCTGAACATAGTTTTTTCCAAATTTGCTTCTGCAGTTGGAATAATTCAGTATAGTTCATTATTTCTAATGATAACTTTTAATTCTTCAGATAAGATTATCTGAAATGCATAAAAAATTTATTGCAGAATTTGCATATAACCTGAAAGACACACAAACTCTTTTTTACTTTAGATAAAACAAAAATAACTCATTTTTCAGGGCTTTTTCCCCTATGATTACTGTCTCTGTGAGTCCATTATACTTTAATTAGCTTAATCAAATTTTTGATTCCCTGCTTTGAAATTGCAGTTCGAACAAATGTCTAAATGTCTAAAATGCTTTCTTAAGAAAATATTTTTAAATCCTTAAAGGTCTTCACTAAATATATGATGCCAATTATAAAACAAACTTAAGACAACATTAAATATGGTCACATTCAACATAAAGACTTATATTTTAACAGAGTATAATAGAAAATTAAGGGCAAAAGCCCTTATAATTTTTCTAAACTAAGGACATAATAAAATATGTAAATTAAAAACAAATAATTCAGGTGAGTGGTCTCCCTCTAGGAAAGTATTGTACTTACCCAGAGTTTTACATGCAAATAGAGCCATGGCACTTTGCAATCTGTCTGGTCTGAGAGCCTGTACCACAAGAACCTTGAAATAAAGTGCAGAGTTATTTAAATTAAGTTCCCACAAGAGCGTTAACTAAAAAAATAGTTTATTATACAAATTTTTACTACAATATATGAACACTTATTACTGTTCCATATTTACTATGCTTTAAACTATCACTATAGGTATACACTAACATATATCTTTACTAGCCAAATAATTACAAAATCCACTTGTTTCTGCAACCTACCATCAAAAGTAAACAAACTACATATAATAGTCATTATGTTAGTTGACTTCAAGATCTAATAAAGGGCCAAAATAAATGGTGGGGGGAAAAAAGTTATGAAGGAAGGCCTTTTATATGACAGCAGAATGGAGGCCCAAAAATCTTGCCTAAGGAATCATGTATACCTCATTTCCAGATATTTAAATTTTCAAATGAATTTTTTCATAATTTTTGTTTTCTCTCTTTAAAAAAAAAAAAACACACTTGGTGAAATAGAATTCACTGTGTAAGTAGTTACAAAGGGAACAGAACCTCAGTCAGCAACCTAGCAAAGAGATAAAAACATATAAATGGGAGGGCCATTTAATGAAACATTAGATTCTAGAAAGTGCTCCAACTCCAAGTCTTTCACCAAAATTCAGTGGAACCTACAGGTAAGGTAGGCAATAGAATGGGGGGAAAATCCCCTATTCCTGATCATAAGATATTTTCTTAGAATCCTGAGAAATTAGTGACGAACCTGTATAATCTATACCTTAATTTCTTTCTGTAAGACACTTTCTCTATTGCAAAACCAACCTCGATTCAGAGCCAGAGGGATTGAGAAAAGCTACAATGGGAGACAACCTTCTGCTTAGAAACTGCCAGAGATTTCATTGTCTGATTAAGATGGAAAAGCAGAAAGCTCTTCCCTTATACAGGCCCCATTCAGGTGATATGATACTTTAAAGCAAAGCGATAATATAAATGCCTTCTGAATGACAAGAGAAATGTTGAAATATTTTTATGTGTTTAGATAATTTACCTGCTGAAATAAAGAAACTTTCTTTGAAAGAATAGATGGAAACTCTTGCTCACAAACTGAATTATGATAATAAGTACGCCACAGAGCCACATCTTCAAAGCAGAGGGTCTGATAAAGACTGGGGAGAGCAATCTAAAAAAAAAACAAAACAAACAAACAAAAACAAAAAACTGAGCTACAAGCAAATATAATCATGTGTTCATATGTAGTATACACTAAAAAGTAAATGGAAGCCAATTACTGATAGATGTTTAAGATTTGTTTTCTACTTTAATCATTTATAGCTCAGAAATAGTATGGTAGAATTATTCAATTAGAATTAAATAAAAAAAAAAGTATTTCTAAAAGTAGCACTAAATCAGTACTTGTAAGTTAACAAATCTTTTCTCGACATAAATATTTGTACCTATCTATCTCCCCCTTGTGGAGAAAATGCTTTCCTTAAAACCAAGTGCAAATTTTAAACACTACCACAGTAGAGGTGCATGTTAGATTGTAAAAATATGCTTATTGTCCTATTAATATCATACCTTAACAAGCATGTTTTCCCAAACCCTATTCATTTATACCTCTATTCATGAATGTTGCTTGCTTTATCCCTGAAATTTCTAAATTTTTACACATTTTGGGCCTCCCCTGGTGGCGCAGCGGTTGAGCACTGGGCTGCAAGGCTGCCCGCAGCCTGTGGCGCCAGTTCGTTCCCTGGCCGCTGGCGAGGGTCCCACAAAAAAAAAAAAAAAATTTTTTTACACATTTCTACTCAAGATTCCTCATAAATTTCTACTCAGCATTCACTGTTCACCTCAACGTTTTCTTTGAGGCTTTACTCAACAAAGTCATTCCCTCCACCTCAAAGAGTAGTTAGTCTCTCTTCCAAACTTTTTTGAATAGTGGGCTATAATGTCACAAATGTAAATTCTGTGTGGATGGAGATTTTTTATTGAAAATGATGAAAGGTTTGGAAGACTCCATCTTCAGTATTATGATTTCATGTACTACAAACATTAAATAAGTTCTTAAGGATGTTTTAACCAAATACCTATATTCATTTCTAAATATTTCATCATATTGTACAAATGTCATTATATATTAGCTAAAATTAAATAGCAGAAAATTGTCTTTGTACATTTCAAGCTAAGTATTTTTAACAAATGATCTAAGTCTGTTAGGGCAACACTTGGCGGTAGTCTCTTCACTTTAGTGGCAAGCAGTGTATAACGGGCCCACTGCTCCTCACTCATGGGTGCTACCCATCATATGTCACCATGTATCTGGCTAGCAATCTGAGGCAGGCTTTACTGCAGAACTTGGAAGATATTCAAATATTCAGATCAAATCATTAGAGCTATAGCTGTAGGGACACACTGATTATGTCACAAGGCAGTTATTTGCTAAATTCTCTGCAGAGTAAGTTTGTTTAGTACAGTCTTTGCATAGTACTATGCTACTCATTGCATAGTACAGTCTTTTTACATTAGAAAATATATGCCATTACATTAGAAAATATATGTACTATACTGACTAGAAGTTATGGAAGAAAACAATGAATGATATAAAGCAAATCCACTAATTTTATTCAAGTATTTTTGAAATAAAGGAAGTAAAGGATGGTGGTAAAAGCTCAGACTACAGTAAAGAGCCCAGTTTAACTCTACTTTCCAAGTGACAATAACAAGTGTCTTTATCATTCTGTGCCTTTGTTTCCTCATCTGTTAAATGAGGAAAATAACAAAAGCTATGTCATGTTGAAAATATTTAGTGAGATAACCCATTTTAAAATTCTGCATAATGCCTTGAACCAAAAGCAAGTCATCAATAATGCCAGCTATTCTTATTGTAGTTACCATGTACAGAGAGCAAGAAGAGGAGACAAAGAAAGAAAACACTGTATTTGGAGGCTCTACATATTAAAGACATGGACTTTGATGCCAGAATGTCCGAGTTGAAACTGTAGCTCCAGAACTTCACAACAGCTGATCTACACCATGGCTTCTTCTCTACAAGAGGCTGAATTGTGACCTCTTTAAAAGGTTATTGTGATGATAAACTAAGATAAAGCATCTGAAATATTTAACATGATGCTTGGTACATAATAGGTTCTCAAAATATGTATAAAATTAAAAAGAAACCTCAGATTCATGCATCTAACAACTCTGCATTGACTCATTTCCCATCTGTAAAATAAGAGTTATTAATACCCACTTAAGGGTTTGTGTGAGAATTAAAACACTAATTCATCTGAAAATGGTTTGTAAGCTATAATGTTAAAAAGCTAATATACGTTATGAACCTTATTTGAAATAGAAGCTGTCTTTCCCAAATGTTTTACATTTATTTACTTAAATAGGAATGAGTACGTGAAGTAAAAGCATCATGTCAATTTTTAGGTTGACACAGTGAGATAGTTTTCCCAAGTATAACCTCTTAGTAGATCAACTATTCAAAAGATAATTCTCTGTACCACATTATCATTATTTTTGCCATTAGAAGTCCATGAGATAGTTTAGAGATCCTGCCCAACAATCAAGAAATACCTTCAAATTCTATTTTGAATAACTACAGCTTTTTTGCGTTCTACTATAATTGTTTATTTTTTAAAATGTCATCAGTACTAGGTGATAAACTCTTGGAAAACAAGAACCAAGACTTTTAAATATTTGTATTATCCATCATAATCATATTATAAAAAAATTATTAAACATTTTAATGCTTAGTAAATTTTGTGTGTTCATATTTTCCTTATCTGGGTGTCATTGGCATGTTATAATTTGTTCAAGAATAAAATGATTAAGAAAATCTATCAGTGGCATATAACAGGTATTTACTGAATAAAGAGAGGAATGAAATAGTCAAGATTTATATTAAATATTAGGGAAATAAAATTATAAAAGTTAAGGATCCTAATCTCAATGAATCTGCAACCTAGGGGAAAAGGCAGACATAAATAAATATGAACGAGTAAGACATGTATTATAACAAAGGAATATTCAATATATATGCCAACAGAAAAAGTAGAATAGAGAAATCTGGGAAAGTCATAGCGAAGGTAATGCTTTGGGTTAAATCCTGAAAAATAAATATGCATTTAGCAGGTAAGAACAAAGGACATCCAAGCAGAGGCAAAAGTGGCACCCTAAGTACAAGAAACACTGAGGCAATAAACTGGAAGTAAAACTGAAGACATAGGCAAGAAGAAACCATGGATCATATACATGTTTTAAAAAGACTATGGCCTTTATGAATGACAAAATTCCACTAAGAGATTTAAAATAGGGCACTAACCACACAAAAGTAAACTTTAAAACCTTTATGTTTCATAATATAGAGAAGCAGGAGCACTATAGCAAATATCAGCAGAATAATGAAGACAAAATTAGGACAGTGATTGCAAGGATAAGAGATTTTTGAAAGATGAAAAGAAGTGAGAGAAAAAAGTCTAAATTTGGAACTCTTCAATATAAGTGTCAGACTGTATCTCATTATTGATCTTAAATATTAAGAAATACTATTTTATAAATAAGACACCAACAATCATATTAGAGGACTTATCTGTTTATTTCTGCATTACCTGTGTATGTACAGCACCAAACCTTGTACAACATAGAGACTCAGTATGTATATGTTGAATAAAAGATTTATAAGTTAATTGAATATTGATTAAAGGACTAATCAGAATTATCTGGTATCTTTTTATCCAGGAATTTTATGTCATATTCAAAGAAATATCAACTCTGAGTATGAGTAAGCAGCACATTAAAAAAATAACCTCAAATATAGAAAAAAACATAAACATCCCTCATAATATAAGAGGAATACCTTTAATGTTGCCACTGCCCAGCTTCTTTCTGAATCTATCCAAGAAGGAAGTTGATCACGGATTCTTGGTTGGGAGTCCTTTCAGTAAAACAATTATTTTCCTTTATATATTTGGTTAAGAATCATTACATAAAATATTAAAACTGACTAGTTATTGTTATGAACATCATTTTGGATAAAAGCTCATTCCATATATTATTACCTTATTTTTACATGGTTAAAAATAAACATGGTAAGTCAACAAGATAAAATTCAGTAACATAAGAATGATTTTAGATAACTATGCAACATGTATCGTATTCATTTTCATTGTACTTAATCTTTTGTGAAAACAAATGTAATAAGAAATGGCCATAAAAATTATATTGTTTTCAATTATTTTTGCATTTCAAGCAATCTAGGTTCTACATTATAGTTTGGTTGTACTGCTTTGAAGAATAGCATTACTATTACATGTTTAAATAAAAAATTTGAAGTTATCACAAGTTTTTAAAAGCAATTTGCAAATTTCAGTAATAAGAAAACTATCCAGTTAGAATACAAGATTTAATTGCCTTAGGATTATAAAAAAAAATTCTTGTAATTATATATGCATGTGCATCTGTTTGTGTATTGAAAAGAGAGATTACATTAACATTTTAATATTTAATGAATATTATTCTCAAAAATACATATATATCTTCAAGGACAAAAACAGAAATTTATTGACATTCTATATTACGGCAATATTGTAGAGGCAAGGACATATTTCTCTTATTAAAATATAATTTCAACAGTAATTTAAAGCTCCTCTGAAGTAAATTGCATTTCATGAAGTCAAAATCCCAAATAGTGAAGCAGTTTCATTATTTAAACTTACAGCTTTCCGCAACATGTCTCCAACAACCACTCCTGTGAATGTATCCCACTCCTGTTGAATAAGAATACAGAGAACAGACTTCTTAGGAGAGAAGGCAGATCAACATGGCAGCGAGGAAACGCTATGAGTAAGATCTCCCATTAAAAAAAAGTTAATAGGGAGGAAAAGCGGCAGGTCCCAGTGAGAACTGGAACATGGAAGATAAAAGGACGACTCCAGCAAACTACCCGAAGAAGAAAGTTGCCATAAAAGAGGACTAGAAGGAAGGAAAGCGCAGAACCCTGCTACCCTCTCCCACCCACAAAGTCGGCACTCTCCGACCAACAGAAAGGAGGAAAAAAACAAACTAAAATGACCAAAAAGAACCAACTACGCATCAAGCGGGACTGTGAGTGGAAAGGAACTATTTCAGCCACAACACCCAGTGAACTGGAGCTGTGGAGAACCCTGCAGGATTCGCAGCAGAGGTGAGCAAATGGCTCCAGGAGCCATTAGAGAAAAACAGAGACCCCCAGAGACCTGCACACAGCCCTGGGCAAGCCGGTAAGCTTGCATGGAAAAGCTGCGCGCTTGAAAAGCAAACACGGATCGCGGCTGCCCAGGTCCCCGCGCCTGCGACCTAGGCTTGTGGGAAGACGCACGGGGGCCCTCACTGAGGTGAAAGTCCCTCACTGAGTAATCAGGAACCAGGCGCCCAGGCACGGGAGCAGGGTGCAAAAGATGCCATTTCTGCGAACACTGACTAGGGTACAGCCCGCATCCTGAACCTGAGGGATTTGGAACTGAGACCCGGGGCAAGAAATTCAGGGCGTGGGGTCTCCACGACAGTGGAGCACAAGGCAGACACAGCACCCCAAAGCCGTTGAGGTTTACCCTACCATTCCCGCTTTGTTCCCTGTCCAACGGGGTGAAAAAAACAGCTCCCCAAGGACACTAGGAGAGAACTCTGGCACCACCTAGCGACCAGAAAAAAAGTCACTAACACTCCATAGAACAGGGACCTTTCTTCAGTAAAGACTGCTTGAAACCAGCAGAAGGCTCCCGGAGGAGCCAGTGGCCAGCTGGGAAGTTAGCCCATGCCATGCACCTTTGACCAGCAGTCTGAGCACACAGGGCGAGCGGGCACCCACGGCCGGGGCAGACCGGGTGTGCAGAAGAGTGTGCCTGAGACTGGACGCGCAGGGAGTGCGTCCCACATGGCCATTTTAGAACAGGGACATTTCTTCAGTAAAGACTGCATGAAACCAGCAGAAAGCTCGCTCAGGAGCCAGAGGTGAGTGGGGAAGTTCGCCCATGCCAGGCCCCTTCTGGCCTGCAGTCCAAGCCCAGAGGGGGAGTGGGAACCCACCGCAGGGGCAGACCAAGCACACAAGTGTGTCCCCACATAGGCATTTTTGAACAGGGACCTTTCTTCAGTAAAGACTGCTTGAAACGGACAGATGGCTCCCGGAGGAGCCAGAGGGGAGAGGAAAAGTTCACCCAAGGTGCCGGCCAGTCCCAGCAACACAGTGTCCCAATGCATACGACAAATTAGAAAACAGACAGTAGGGAGTAGAAGAACCACACGCAACCTAACAACTCCTCAGGAAAAAAGCACACCACAAAAAGAAAACCACTCCCCAGATTGCAACAACAGTAACTTGGAAGAATTTCTGAGCCTTCCAGAAAGAGAATTTAAAATTTCCATGATTAAAAAAGTGACAGAACTCATAAAGGAAAACTATGATATGACAAAAATAATCAACGATCAGAAGAATGAAATTGAGTCCCTGAAGGGGGAAGCAAAAGAAACACAGGAGATCAAAGAATTAATGGAGGAACTACAGAACTCTGGGAAAAGCAGTGAAAACAGAATAGATGAAATGGAAGAACGAATAAGTACTCTTGAAGACACAGAAATAAAAAGAACAAAAACAGAAAAAGAAAGAGAAGTACGAAGGAAAAAGACTGAAGAAAGACTTCGGGAACTATCTGACTCCATGAGGAAAGGAAATATAAGAGTTATAGGAATACCAGAAGGAGAGGAGAAAGATGTAGGAACAGAGAAAATATTCAAAGAGATAATTGAAGAGAACTTCCAAAATGTGAAGAAGGAGCTGAAAATTGATATACAAGAAACAAGAACACCAAACTTAAACGACGAAAGGAAAAATACAGCAAGACACATAATAGTAAAGTTCCCAAGAATCCAGGACAAGGAAAAAATAATGAAGCTGACAAGAGGGAAGAAACAGATAACATTCAAAGGAAAACCAATCAGGCTGACATCAGATTTCTCTGAAGAAACACTACGGGCAAGGAGAGAGTAGAGGGACATAGTCAACAGACACCAAGAAAACAGATGCCAACCAAGAATACTCTATGCCGCAAAGCTCTCCTTCCTCTATGAAGAAAGAATAAGGACCTTCCCAGACAAACAGAAACTCTGGAATTTCATTACGACTAAACCACCACTCCAAAAAATACTACAAGGAATCCTAAAGCCAGAACTTCAGAGGGACAAATAACAACGAAAGGTGGCCAAAAAAAAGGAAAAAAAAAAAAAGCTATTAAAAGAATACATAAAAAAATCAAAGGAAATACAAACACAATGGCAAATACAGATGCTAGCATATCAATATTAACTCTAAATGTAAATGGACTAAACTCTTCAATAAAAAGACACAGAGTTGCAGCCTGGATTGAGAAACAAAACCCAACCTTTTGCTGTCTCCAGGAAACACATTTAGCTACAAAAGATAAAAATAGACTCAAAGTTAAAGGATGGAAAACAATCCTACAAGCAAATGGACCAAAAAAAGAAAACAGGAATAGCTATACTTATATCAGATAAAACAGATTTCAAACTCAAGAAGATAAAAAGAGACCCCAATGGTCACTACATTATGATCAAGGGGACAATACTTCAAGAAGAAATAACACTCATTAACATATACTCGCCAAACGAAGGAGTACCAAAATATAATAAGACAGCCTTTGTCATCTCTGTAAACAGACATCAGAGAAAACACATACATAGTGGGAGACTTCAACACACCACTATCAACAATGGATAGATCAACAAGACAAAAAATAAGTAAAGAAACTAAAGCTCTAAATAAGGACCTAGAGCATTTGGGCTTAACAGACATCTATAGAACACCAAACCCCAAAAAAACGGAGTACACATTTTTCTCAGGCGCACACGGATCATTCTCCAGGATCAATCACATACGGGGACACAAGAAAAACATCAATAGATACACCAAGATTGAAATCATAACAACCATCTTTTCTGACCATGAAGGCATCCAACCAGAAATAAACCATAAAAAGAAGGCAAGGAACTCTCCTACCTCATGGAGATTAAAAACCACACTACTGGAAGACCACTGGACTAATGAGGAGATCAAAGAAGAAATTAAAAAATTCTTTGAATTGAATGACAAGGAGGACACCAATATCCTAAATGTATGGGATGCAGCAAAAGCAGTAATAAGAGGAAAATATATAGTAACAGAAGCTCACATCAAGAAACAAGAAAGAACTCAAGAAACAACCTAATCTCGAAGCTCAAAGATCTAGAAAAAGAACAACAAAAAAAACCCAAAACCAGTACAAGAAAAGAAATAATAAAAACCAAAGCAGAAATAAATGAAATTGAAACTAAAAAAACAATCCAAAAGTCAATGAAACCAAAAGCTGGTACTTCGAAAAAAATCAATAACATAGACAAACCCCTAGCCAGGCTCACAAAGGAAAAAAGGGGGAAAGCACAAATAAACAGGATCATAAATGAAAGAGGAGAAATCACAACGGACACAGCAGAAATCAAAAGAATAATCAGTAACTACTATGAACAGTTATATGGAAACAAGTTCACCAATCTAGAGGAGATGGACAAATTCCTACAACTCTACAAACACCCAAAGCTAAAGAAGAAATAGAACACCTAAACAGACCAATTACAAGCAGCGAAATTGAAATGGTAATCAAAAACCTCCCCAAAAACAAAAGCCCAGGACCTGATGGATTTACAAATGAATTCTACCAAACATTCAGAGACTAATTAGTGCCTATCCTTCACAAACTCTTCCAAAAAATTGAGAAGGAAGGGACAATACCAAACACGTTCTATGAAGCCAACATTACACTAATACCAAAACCAAACAAGGACAACACAAAAAAGGAAAACTACAGGCCAATCTCCCTAATGAACACTGATGCAAAAATCCTCAATAAAATTTTAGCTATTAGAATCCAACAATGAATCCATAAGATAATTCACCACGACCAAGTAGGATTCATTCCAGGGACACAGAGATGGTTCAACATCTGAAAATCAATCAACGTTATCCAACACATCAACGAAAAGAAATATAAAAACCATATGATAATATCAATAGATGCTGGGAAAGCTCTCGACAAAGTGCAACACCCATTCATGATAAAAGCCCTTGAAATTCTTGGGATACAAGGAACATACCTCAATATCATAAAGGCTATATATGACAAGCCAACAGCCAGTATCATTCTCAATGGTGAAAAGCTGAAAGCAATTCCATTAAGATCTGGAACAAGACAAGTATGTCCACTCTCACCACTGCTTTTCAATATAATACTGGAAGTCCTAGCCAGAGCAATAAGACAAGAGAAAGACATACAAGGAATCCAAATAGGAAAAGAAGAAGTAAAACTATCACTATTTGCAGATGATATGATAATATACACAGAGAACCCCAAAAACTACACAGAAAAACTAATTCAAATCATCAATCAATTCAGTAAAGTGGCAGGATACAAAATCAACACGCAAAAGTCAGTAGCCTTCCTATACACAAACAATAAATTTGAAGAAGAAGAAATAAAAAAAAAAAATCCCTTTTATTATCGAAACAAAAAAACCTCAAATATTTGGGAATAAATCTAACAAAAGAGGTAAAGGACCTATACAAAGAAAACTATAAAACACTGTTAAAAGAAATAGAAGAAAACAAAAAGAAATGGAAAAACATCCCCTGCTCGTGGATTGGAAGAATAAACATTAAAATGGCCATCCTACCAAAAGCAATATACAGATTCATTGCTATTCCAATCAAAATTTCAATGTCATTCTTCAAAGAAATAGAACAATTATTGATGAAATTCAGATGGAATCACCAAAAATCACGAATAGCCAAAGCTCTCCTGAAAAAAAAAGAAGGGAATGGAGGCATCACACTCCCAGACCTCAAACTATACTACAAAGCCATAATCATCAAAACTGCATGGTATTGGAACAAGAACAGACATACAGACCAATGGAATCGAATAGAAAATCCAGAAATAAACCCACAGATTTATGATCAACTAATCTTTGACAAAGGAGCAAAGACTATGCATGGAGCAAAGAAAGTTTGTTCAATAAATGGTGCTGGGAAAACTGGGTCGCTACATGCAAAAGAATGAAGCTTGACCACTACCTCACACCATACACAAAAATCAACTCAAAATGGATTAAAGAACTAGACATAAGACCTGAAACCTTAAAATACATAGAAGGAAATATAGGTGAAACACTACGTGATATTCACATCAAAGACATCTTTACAGACACATCACCCAAAGCAGTGATAGTGAAGGCAAAGATAAACACCTGGGACTACATCAAATTAAAGAGCTTCTGCACAGCAAAAGAGACAATAACAAAAACAAAGAGAAACCCCACCAACTGGGAGAACACTTTTGCACACAACACTCATGATAAAGGACTGATCACAAAAATCTGCAAAGAGCTGATGAGACTCAACAACAACAAAGAAAATAATCCAGTCAAAAAATGGGCAGAAAAGCTAAAAAGAAATTTCTCTGAAGAGGAAATGCAAATGGCCAACAGGCATATGAAAAAATGTTCAACATCACTTGTAATCAGGGAAATGCAAATCAAAACTACCATGAGATACCATCTTACACCAGTGAGAATGGCACATATTAAAAAAACTAGCAACAACAAATGTTGGCGAGGGTGTGGAGAAAAAGGAACTCTTCTGCACTGTTGGTGGGAGTACAAACTGGTTCAACCACTACGGAGAGCTGTGTGGAGATTTCTTGAACCATTAAACATAGAGCTTCCATATGATCCAGCAATTCCACTCCTAGGTATTTACCCAAAGGACACAGAAACATCAATTCCAAAGAGCACCTGCACCCCTATGTTTATAGCAGCACTGTTTACAATAGCTAAGCTTTGGAAACAGCCCAAATGCCCAAAAATAGATGACTGGATCAAGAAGATGTGGTACATATATACCATGGAATATTACTCAGCATTCAAAAAAGATAAACACATGCAATTTGCAGCAACATGGATGGCCCGGAAGGGATAATGCTCAGCGAAATAAGCCAGAAAGAAAAAAAAAAATACCGGATGGTCTCACTCATAGCAGGAATCTAGAAAACTTAAATAAGGGACCAGGAAAATGAATAACTATAAGAAAGTGAAAATCAAAATCAACCAAAAACTATGAACCAGAGACACTCTATGGGGAGTAGGGGGAGGGATGGGAGGGATTGGGGTCTTATTTTAGGGGATTGCAATTGTATGGGGAATATAAAAATAAAATTTATTATAAAAAATATATATAAATAAAAATATTTTAAAAATAAAAAAAAGAATACAGAGAACACAAAAACACATGAAAAAACTGACAAGGTTAAAAGTTTCTTCATTTCCTTATAAAATAGCTTTCAATGCAGCTTGCTCAGTACATAAAAGAAATAAACTATTTTTTATCTTCCCACTTCTACTATAACTTTAACATTGTAAGAATGAGTCATGTACCAACATAAAACATTAATACGAAATCTACTAGGAATAATTATAAAAATTCTAACTCTATATATGTAAGCCTCAACATCTAAAAATTCAAATTTAAGTTAGCATATGTAATTACCTGTTCATTTGTTCATTATATGCTCTTCCTCACTAGTAAACTAAGAATAACATCAGAAGTTTAAAAATTGTGTATGTTGGAAAAAAAATAAAGAAAAGCACTCCTCTTTTTCATTGATTTTGCGAAGACTACATTATTCCTTTTTTAATTAATCCATAAACCTGACATTGATCAAGTATTATGAAATGCTGTATGCTATAAAAATCTGTTTTCTCCCTGAGTACCTCCAATAAGATAATAATGGGCATACTGTATTACTTGTTACACATTTATCAGTAATGTATAGCAAAAACAAATGAAAATTTGAGAGAATATGGAAGTCATGACAGCAGAATACTTACTGCCTGCACCTACCAGACTACCCACTCTTTTCCTACTGAAATTGTACAGTCACAAATAAATAAAATAAGAATGATTACTACTACTACATTTGAGTCAGAGAAAAATGTCCTTTTCCAATGATAATTTGTACTGCAGGAGGGAAAAACAAGGAATATTAGGTTCTTATATACCAAGTAATACATTGATCATGGTGAAAAATTACATAGTAGGAGGGAAAGGGATCAAAATTAATAATATAAATTAAAGAAATAAAATTAATAAATTCAGGAGAAACTATACAAGTCCGCCAGAGAGAAAACTAAGAGACGAGAAAGGCAGAATTATGGGGTAGTTTGTATTACGTTAAGTATTCAAATGAGAGGAACCTAGAATGTGGTTAGAATTTGGGAAAAATCACTTAAATTGTTTCCAATTTGAGATGGGCTTATATGGCACACCAAAAATGAAGTCATAGATAAAATGCACATAAATTACACGTAAAAACAATAACATAATCCTGCAGGTACAAGGAGGCTTCTATGATTGGTCCTCTCTCACTTCATCTGCTGATTCTAAGAAAATTAGTGGAGGTAATAAATAATTTAATTACACAGCCACATTGTTTTACTCTTTACATTTATCAGTTCCATTGGTTAGACCTAGAAAATAAGAAGGCTGTCTCTTCTGCTGAATAAGTGGCCTGAATAAGTGGCTTTGGGCTCAGAATAAGTGGCCTTGGGGTCAGAAAAATCTAGGCAGTGAGCTTTTATTCCCCTGCTTTATTTCAGACTAGTGGGCTTAGCCGATGGTGAATAGAACTGGAAGTCAACATCTTACACTAAATTTCTAACTAGTAAAATAATAATAATAATAATAACAAGACCTCCCTGGTGGATCAGGGGGCTAAAGTCTCAGTGCTAACAAGCTATCACCGGCCACTGTGGCATGCATGAGTTGGATCTCAGGTCAGGGAGCTAACCCAGATGGCACAGCAGACCATCTCCTGTTGTGCCTGCTGTTCCCCGTCAGCAGTGTATTTCAGTGGATCTATCTATTCTGCTCCCCACTCTGTCGCTGGTGAATCCTCTCATGCCCTGAACCTCTGGCCTACACCCGGTTATCCATAAATAAATAAAAATAAATCTTAAAAAAATAACAAGTTGGGCCTCCCTGGTGGCACAACGGGTTAAGCGCAGCACTATGAGGCTGTCTGAAGCCTCTGCAGGGCAGGTTCGATCTCAGCCAGCAGTGGAGATATCCACATGGCGTGGCAGACCTCTCCTGTCTCTCCTGCTTCTCCCCTCAGCAGTGTATTTCAGTCAGTCTGCCTGATTTGTGCCCTGCTCTGTCTCAGGTGAATCTTCTCATCCTCCTGCACATCTGGCCTTTACCGGGGTTCTTGTATGCATAAATAAATCTTTTAAATAAATAATTAATTAAATGATTTTTAAAAAATTTAACAAGTTGACATGTCTAGCCTGAAGCAATTTCTATATAACCATAAACTCACCCATTATCAATTTGCTATCTAACAATAATACTTCCCTCCTTTACAACTACTTACATTTTCTTGGAAAAGTTCAGGATGCATGCCTCTAACAAAATGCAAGGCGAACATCAGCTGATCAGCCTGAAAAGAAAAATAGATGTTACCTTGATTTTTCTCAGTCGGTGTTTGTAGAAAAGACTGTCTTTAGACATTAGAATCTATTATTCTGTATTCACATTATCAACCATCAACGTAAGACATGACTGGTCACATGGCTTCTCGAAAGAACATTTCTAAATTGTGGTGGGAGGACAGTGAACCACTAAAATTTTTATAGGAAGTGCTAAATATTAAGCAGTATGTACATCTTATATTTTAAGAAATAGATTTATTTAACTAGCTGACACCCAACTGTGAGGTCTGAAATACTAACCAGATCACCCTCTCTCATTCGTAATCTTCAATTTGCCATCATGTATATTTATATGCTCCCAAACATTCTATATGCCCTTAAATCAAGAAATTTCATTTCTAGACATTTATGCAGAAGGCTATTGGAGTTTGGGGTATTAACAGTGACTTGCAAGATAAGCCACTAAAATGCTTATAATATAAATTAATGGATATTTAAAATGGTGTGAAGGCATGCATCTGAGGAGGTGTGATCCTATACCTCTGATTCACAATGTTGTAAACCAATGACATGTTGATAAAAAAAAAATAAGGTAAAGAAATAATAATTAAGACAATAAATACATTACTTTGGATACTTCATTACTTAATTTGAAATTTAGTACATATATGTTTACACATACACGCAGAAATTCACACACAGTATTTCTATAACTATTTAAGCACTTCTTTTAAATTGAGGAAGAATAATGTAGTCTCTAGTGTTAATGAAGAGAAGCAAAGACCCAACAATGATTCTCAGATTATCCACTACAGTCAGAAAGCTGTTATTTATTATGAGGCTAACCTCCTCTACAATATTAGCAAAAATTATACAGCTAATAAATGAGTAATTGTGGTTAGCCATCTCTCCATTTCCTGGTCACAAAAGACATCCTGTACTTAAGTACAAGCATATAATCATAGTTGGGCCAATGATATTACATTACTACACAGATAACAATAAAAAAGAGATGCCATATGACCTGAGCTAGGTCACCCAGGATCATCATCTATGATTCTCCAATATGGATATGAAAAATGCTGTATATGGCAGCTTTTTGATTTTCTAACAATAGCAGAGTCCCTTTAACAATAAGTAATAATAATATAATGAGGGGCAATGATGATTTAGGAATAAACCTAAAAATACAATTTATTGAGAAAGAGAGAAAACACATTATTTCCAATTAAACTGGAATAAAATCAAGAATGAATCTTTATGGTTTTATTCTATAGGAGTCCATAAAGTTTGAAACTTTCTGAAAATACTTTCAAAGCTTTGTTTGTATAATAAAACTTTCAAAGTATTACCTGAGAGATAATATAATACATTATTAAATGTAAGATATATCTTGAGCTCCATAACAGATGAAACAGATGATGTGTTATCCTTATATCTGTAGGCTTTAAGTGACACTGTAGGCTTTAAGCTCAGCTAAGCCAGAATTTGTTCTCCCTTGTTCAACTGTCACTCTCCTCCCTACTATTGATATATCCCAGAATTTAGTGAGACATTCTAGTTAGTAATGAATATTGATAGTCATAGGAAAATGTCAGAAAATCCAAATTCAATTTTCCTAGAGGGTAAAGAGTTACATAATACAGTTTAACTATACTATATTAAAAAGAAATTCAGATAGTTTTTAATGTTAATTATTTTTATTTTTTAATAAATTTTTACATCATTGTTCATTTTTAAACAATATTTGCTTCCCCACCCCCGGTATAGTCCCCACAGAATTTCCTTCACCAATGCACCTGTGCACCATCACCACAGTCCCCTGTGCTCCTCCCTCCCTCCTTCTGACCCCTCTCCCTCCTCCTCCCCTGCAGGACATCTCTGATTTATAATTATCTGTTTTTGTTTTGTTATGTTTTGTATTGTTATTATTTTTATAGGTGAAAAATAAGATGTTTCTTACCTTAAACAGGCAACGGCATATATATTCATATACCATATGTTTTAATGAGTTGATAAGAGATTGGATTCTCTGTTCTGTATTTTCAGAATCCTGCAGATTATAGTTTGAAAATTGAAAATTTATTAGGAAATTTATAAACTTTTAAAAGGTACACCACAGATTAATGTTTATAAATTGTTCTTCCAGACTCAAAGTTGATTCTGGAACAATTATCTTTGCTGATCAAACTCAAAGCACTGAACAATAAATGTATTAAACTTGTTAACCAATACAGCTGAAAAGCACTGATTTATTTTCATTATTCATTGAAAGCTGTCAATAAGTAAAAATCACAATTGATTTCCAGTAATACAATGTAAACTGAACTTGTACACTTTAATTTGTACTGGCATTATAAACACACTATCACTCTGGATTAAAGCCACTTCATTAATTGTATTATAATTACCAAGACAGCTTAAAACAGTATGATCAGAATCACCCCATAAAAAGTTTTCTTATGCTCAATGTAAGAACCTAAACAACCATGACTTCCAGGTTAAATGAGGATGAAAAATATCTTTGGGTTATAATAAGATTGGTGCTATAAAAATTCATACACACTTTGCTTTTATCTGCCCCTGTACTTCCAATAGCATGATTTGAAAAAATATGTACCATTAATAGCTATTGCCCTTGATTAACAAAAAATTACTTGGGGGCAAAATGATGGAGAAGGAGGTTATAAATGTGGGCCTTTTCCCTAAGTGTGATAGGAGTTTTATGTTTCACTTCAGGGAGCATTTGAAGAATACATGCCTTGCAAGGTTCAATTCTGGCATATTTAGACTATAGAGGCTTACTTTCGTATAGTTGTAACTGACTTCCCCCCGCCCAAAAAAAAAAAAAAAAAAACTGGTAAAATAATTTTAACAGTTTGGAAAAAATACATTCAGGTTCATTGGTGAAACTTGTGAAATTGATGCAAAACATAATGATAAATGGCACTCAGTGGCTTATTCTGGTCTTGACATTAGCATGTTTTAACCCAGAGAGCTCACTGTTCATAATTCATACAGGAAACACTCCTCTTCATTTCACTATTTATTAAAAAGGATCATATAAGAAGTAAACTTGAGTCTACTACAAAATATTCTATTGTGAGAGAAAAAATAGTACTTAGAATATCCAGTGGATTTTTAAAACACTGAAAAACAAGTTTTTTTTCTTTCAAATTTAAGATTGTTGTTTTTTAAAAAAAATTCAAAGGCACACACACACAAACGCACATAAATACACACATACACTAAGGTCAAAGTTACTTATGGATCATATTATCATACAACTATTGTTACTGAAGTGTTTCTGAGTTATACGTTTTTCTAAAAGGTACAATGTAATCAATATTCTTTTCAAGTTTAGTTAGAATATCTAACTTATTCATCAGCTTTCATGCCAAGGTTTATAGTTACTTTTAACATGAAAAAATTTTAATTTAAGGATTGAAAGGTTTTATAAATGACCTTATTACTGTGTACTTTCTAAGTAAATTATAGGAAATTTTTAATACAAAAAGATATGTATAAATGAGTAATTTTATCTACTAACACAGGGAATTAAAAAATGATCAATCATTACTTGAATCAACTCTCACAGAGTTCACACCATTCTGTCTTGTAAACATGCTTCTACCAGTACAATATTATAAATCATTTGATTGAATTTAAAACATTTTAAAATCCAAAAATATATTTTTAAAAATTAAGGACAGGGCCTCCCTGGTGGCACAAGAGGTTGAGCACAGCACTGTGAAACTGTCCACAGCTTCTGCAATGCCGGTTCGATCCCCGCCGGCCTCGGAGCAACCCACATGGCCAACAGACCTCTTTTGTCTTACCCGCTGTTCCTCTTGGTAGTCTATTTTGTCAGTCTGCCTGTTCTGTTCCCCACTTCCTCTCTGGTGAATCCTTTCACCCTCCCCCACATCTGGCCTGTACCTCAGCTCTTGTATAAATAAATCTTAAAAAAAAAAAATCAAGGACCAAAATCATAATTATTTATTCTTTAGTCTTTCCACTCCCTCTTAAAATCTAGTGTTTGTCTAAAGTACATTACATACATGAGAAATGCTTATTGTCTATCATAAGGTAGGGGCAGGAACAGCACAGTGCATGTTTTCTGATCCGGCAGATGGGTAACGGAGTCCTGGAGCCCTCAGTGGGTTTCTCAGGATTTTATTGAGCTTTACGTGCATTGCAGCAGCCAGGTACACAGCAGGTAGGGGGGCTGGGAGGCCAGGAAGCCAGCAGGCCTCCAGGCCCCCAGCAAATCTTCACTCTGGGCTTCTCAGGCCTTCTTTCTCCCCTTCTCTCTCCTGCTGCTTCTCCTGCTTCTGCTTCTCTCCCTGACCATCTCTATACCCCCACTCATAGCCCACAGAAGTAAACAAGACAGCTTACAACAATATAACAAGTGCAGGTGCCCCATCAGGCAGGGCAATCCTAATGGTGGGAGGGCAGAAAAGCCTGAAAAACCATTTACCCTAGAAATAACTAACAGATTTTTGAAAACAAAGCAAGTTCTTCATTATGTGCCTTTTTATTTCAAATAGAATATAAGAACAACTTCAAAAGAGGTATGTACGGTAAATGGTTTTCAGGTTGTTCTGCTCCCCCCCCCCCAATTAGGATTGCCCTGCCTGATGGGGCACCTGCAGTTGTTATATTGTTATAAACTGTCTTGTTTACTTCTGTGGGCCATGGGGGGCCTATTGATATAGTCACCAAGAGAAGCAGTAAATAAACAGAAGAGGCAAGAGAGAGAAGGGGAGAAAGAAGAAAGAAGCCTCAGAAGCCCAGAGTGAAGACTTGCTTGGGGGCTTGGAGGCCTCCCAGCCTCCTTTCCCCCCCCCACCCCTGCCTGCCATGTACCTGTTTGCCACACTGCATGTAAGCTCAATAAAAGCCTGAGAAAGCCACTGAGGGCTCCAGGACTCCTTCTTTTACCTGGTCTGCTTGGAAAGTAGATAACAGGCACTGTGCCCATCCTGGCACTATAGGTACCTTGGTGGATGGAAAATAAATCAATAAAACTTTTATAATTATAATCAAAGATTATCTGAAATAATGCATTCATGAAAACATTTGTAGTTGTCAATGAAGACAAGGATTTTTTCCCCTATCTTATTCCCCGCTTAAATCTAAGCACCTGAGAAAACACCTGATATATAATAAATCTACACTGTTAATTGAATAATTATTTTTCCTCAGAAAAACATATTTAAGTCAACCTACTGGAATATGAAACACTGTTCCTTTATTTAATAAAAGGATAAAAACACATCCTCCTGAAAATTGTTTTAAAGCATCCAAATTAATATACCAAATTGTGGGGGCAGGATGGGCCACTGCGCAGGTTATCTATGATCCAACAGATGGGTAAAGGAGTCTTGGAGCCCTCGGTGGCTTTCTTAGACTTTTATTGCACTTTACATGCATTGCAACAACCAGGTATAAGGCAGGCAGGGGTGCCAGGGGGCCAGGAAGGCCTCCAAGCCCCCGGCAAGTCTTCACTCTGGGCTTCTCTGGCTTCTTTCTCCCCTTCTCTCTCCTGCTTCTGCTTCTCTCTTGGTGACTCTCTCTCAATACTCCTCCCATGGCCCACAGACATAAATAAGAGTTTGCAACAATGTAACAACTATAGGTGCCCCATCAGGCAGGGGAAATCCTAACGGCCTGAGGGCAGAAAAGCCTGAAAAACCATTTACCCTGCACAAACACAAAAGCTATGAAGAATAATTTGCTATTGTTTCATAAAATATTTTTGAGACAAAGTGAAATGGCAGATAATAAACTCAAAATTGTACAACATATGACAGTTTAATGTCCTTATAAGGGAATCTCTTATAACTCAATATTTTAAATATTAATAACAAAGTGTACAAAAATTCACTAAAAAAAGAGATACAGGGGCCTCCCTGGTAGTGCACAGGTTAAAGTGTCAGTGCTATCCAGTTATCACCAGACACTGCTGCATGAATTTGATCCCCAGCCAAGGAGCTGATGCACATGGTACAACAGGCCTCTCCTGTCTTGCCCAGCTACTCTCCTTAAGCAGTGTATTTCATTAGGTCCACCTGTTCTGCTCCCCATTCTGTCTCTGGTGACTCTTCCCACCACGTACACCTCTGGTCTACACCCCAGTTCTTGTATGCATTAATAAAAATATAGGGCCTCCCCTGGTGGCGCAGCAGTTAAGCGCTGGGCTGCGAAGCTTCCTGCAGCCTCTGCAGCACTGGTTCAATCCCCAGTTGCCGGCGAGGGTCCCCTACGGTGCGCAGACCTCTCCTGCTGCACCCGCTGCTCCCCTCAGCAGTGTACTTCATCAGTCTGCCTGTTCTGTTCCCAGCTCTGGCTCTGGTGAATTCTCTTACCCTCCCGCGCCTCTGACTGTACCCAGTGCTTGTATAAATAAATAAATGAAAGGAAAGAAGGAAAGGAGGGAGGGGGGGGGGGGAAGGAAGGAAGGAAGGAAGGAAGGAAGGAAGGAAGGAAGGAAGGAAGGAAGGAAGGAAGGAAGGAAGGAAGGAAGGAAGGAAGGAAGGAAGGAAGGAAGGAAGGAAGGAAGGAAGGAAAATACAAATGTCAAATAATCCTATATCTTACAATTGATGCTTATATTAAAAACAAAAGCTTGCAAAAATGATGAAATATTTCAATTACCTAACAGGACAATTAGTAAATGATATATAATAGCTATTCTTGATAAGGTATAGAAAAAAAGGCATGATCAGTTCAATATACCCATAGGATATATTTCCAAAGGTTAATTAGACAGTCTTTGTCTAAAGACACAAATGTGTATTTTTGCCCTGACTATCCATGTCCAGGAACTGATAAGAAAATAACTGGAGAAGCAAAATAATTGGAGAATAAAATAACAGGAGAAGTGGGGGGGAACAAATTTCAATAGCTGCTTTAAACCTAACCACAGAATTCTTTGACATTCCATCTATCAAAAAGTGAAGTCCATTTCCCCTTTCCCTTCAATCTGGGAAGACTTGTGACTGCTTTAACCAATAGAACAGCAGAGACAATAATGACTCAAGGCTGAACTATAAATGATGATTTAGCTTCTGTCTTGTCACTGAAATATGCATAGTTGGTGCCCCAAGGTAATATAAGAAGCTAAGTACTCCATGGCAAATAAGTCTGTCTCATGCAGAGGTGCTACTACAAGTCAGCAGACATAGGCAAGTATTCCACCCAGGCACCAGACAAGCAGATGCAGCCTTACCCCTAACCCACCGCACTCCCAATTAGAGTCCCAGACAGTATGAAGCAGAGATGAGCCATCCTGCCCTGCCCTGCCAGGAATTCAGGAGCACAAGAAATTGGAACTCATGAGCACAAGAAAAACAGTTTTAATCTGCCAAATTTGGGAGGAATACAATATTCAGCAGAGATAACTAGAACAATGTCCATAAAGAGGTGCTAAATAAAGTATGGGACAGACTCAAAATCTCTCAGAATTATTGCATAAATACATACTTACTAACATTAAAGTTGTCCACATATTCTTTTTAAAAAGCACAGTATACGGCCTCCCCTGGTGGCGCAGTGGTTGAGCGCTGGGCTGCAAGGCTGCCAGTGGGTTCGATCCCCGGGCTGCCGCCAGCGAGGGCGTAACAGACCTCTCCACATGGCATGACAGACCTCTCCTGCCGCGCCCGCCTGCTCCCCTCAGCAGTGTGTTTCGTCAGTCTGCCTGTTCTGTTCCCTGCTCTGGCTCTGATGAATTCTCTCACCCTTCCATGCTTCTGACTGTACCCAGTGCTTGTATAAATAAATAATCTTTTTTTTTTTAAAGCACAGTATAATTCCTTTTAATTAAAGCAATCTGTCTCCTTTAATATACAATAGCCTCTGTTGGAATAGAAGTGTGATAAAGCAGTGCATACTGCTCTATCCCCACTATCTAAAACAATACTGTCATATATTACAGCCTCAAACAAGAATATACAATTAAATTTTAAATATTGTTTTCCCCCAGATAACGGGATGATATGGATCATTTCTTATCTTTGTAGTTTTCTGAATTATCTGGGTTTTTTAAATGCTTGTCTATTACTTTTCAATTTATATACAGAACATAAATTATTTCCTTTAAGAAAATTGTCACACTGGGAAAGTCTGCTAAGAAATAAAATGCAGTTAAAGACTTGTTTTTTTTTTAAATATAAAGTGTTACATGTGGTGTTTGGAAACATAATTCTAAGCACTTTTTTCCCAGGAAGTTAATATAAATTAAGGTCCTGATAAAGTCATCTCTATTATTCAGTCTTACCCAGGGATAAACAACAGCCTACCTGTTTGTTTTGCAGAGCTCGCTGGAATAGTCGAAGAAATGCAGCCAAACTAAAACGGTACATGTTATTAATTTTGGACAAGTCAGAGATAATGAAGTACATCTTGCTGGCACTCTCAGCCAGAGGGAGATAAGCATCCCGTTCCTGTGGAATATTGGGTGGGAGAGGGGTGAGTGAGGGGTGGGTGGGGAGGGTGTAAGAAGAAAAACACCTTAGTTCGTGCTTTCCTGCCACCTGCAGACTACTACACACAGACTACTACACACATTTACAATTGTCTCACTATTCTAAATACAACAAATGAAGATTATGAATTATATAATTTTGTAATGAAAAGGAATAACAATGTAGTTTTTTTTTTATTTTTATGAAATTGAGGGCAGTATATTTTAAATGCTTTTCTAAACCTCAGATTACAGAACTAAAAGCAATTCATGGGTTGGTCCTGATGAGAACCAAAGCACTAGTAGCCAGGAAAAGAGAGTCAAAATGCAAAGGCAAACATTTTGATCAGAGAATAAATGATGCAACTTTACATTCCAAAAAACAAAAAGTTTACATCATGTAGAAATAGAGAAAAGTCAGAGCTAAGGAATCTTATGTGTGGGATGGTGCACCCAGAACACCGACAGAACTAGAAATAGAAGTGTAGCAGATAGACATCCGCAATAAACAATAATGTACTCAGCACTGTTCAGTGTAAATAGGGAGAGCTGATAACCACAGGGCTTTCACTCTGGGTGAGGGCAAAGGATGATAAAGTGAGATCATAGCACCAAATAGCCTTAAAGTTCTGAATGAAACTCTGAGAAGGTCATTCTGGTTGAAGCACAGGGATTTTAAAATATGAATACTGGTAAAATTATGTGTGAGGCTCAGTGATGCGTATAAGAGAAGGCGCAATAAATTCAAAATCCTTTTGGTAGAGAATGATGGTTGTCATGTCAGCCAAGTTTAGTCCTGGTAGAGACAGTGGCAGTTGGATTGGAATCAGCTGTGAATTTGTTTTTGTTACGACTTCAACAAAGTATTTTCCAAATGAATAAAGTAATAATATATAAGTGTAGAATTTAAGCAAAGAATGAAAAATACTTAAGAAAAAGTCATTAAGGGGGCTGGGGAAGAACTAAAGGATATAAATGAGGGCCCAGGTCAGGGTGGAACCTGAGAATTCACAGTGGTGTTAATCTGCCTACTTATCTGATTTTCTTCAGCAAATCTCAATCACCGGAAGATAGGTGAAAAAAAGACACAGCATGTACTGATATAGAATTGGAATTTTGCTGAAGAAAATATCAAAATAATGAAGTGAAAAGGATTTTAACCATTTACAAGAAAATAATTCAGATCATCACATTCCTGGAGCTCAGAATGGATAGGTAACAAAATGGGCTTTTATTTATTTATTTAAATTCATTTATATATTTTTACATCATTGTTTATTTCTGTATAAGTTTCATTTCTCCTCTCAGGTATAACCTCCATAACTGGGGAAGATAGATTATAATTTTTAATTAATATATTTAACTTTATTAACATCAAAAATTCTAAGAAGGGCAAAGATGCCCTCTCACAATCATTTTCAATATGCTGTTTCAACTTTTAGATACAAAATAACTTCTGCCAGAACCCAGGACATACACACCAGCATCCTGACCCTTCATGTCCCCAGCATCTTATCACCCTCTCTATACTAATAACAATTAAATCCCAGGTGTTGATGTTTTTGAATAGCCTTTTTTTCACAATCATCATTCCCTGAAGTAATATTTCTAAATTTTTTAATTATTTTAACATCAAAGTTTAAGAAAGCATGATATAGTAATACAAAAAAGGAAAAAATTACTTGATCAAGGAAAATTTGGAGTTTGTAAGATTCTTTAAGTGATTCTTGAATAAGTGCACTGCTTGCTTTTGTCTGATTCAAAGATTCAATCAAATCCTTATTTTCCAAGATATTGCCTTGAGATGTGGCAAGTGTCTGCAGGAAAAATTATGAAAATAATATGAACATCATTAGTATATTAAAATAATAAATTTATGACTTCCATAAGAACTACCATTAATTAGATGATGTTTATGGAACTTAGGTTACTTTAAAAGAATTAAACATTTTATAGCTTTCCATATTCAGTGATACAGTATAGTTATATGATACTATACCATCAAACCATTGTATAGTCATGGAATAATTTCATGGAATTATTTATGGAATAAATGTCATGGAATAAATAATTTCATTCTCATTACCTTTGAATACTTCTCGAAATCCTGACTATATTAAAGAAAATTAAGCATTAACAAAATAATGCAGTATAAAGACAATATGACATAAAATTACTTGCTTTAAAAATTACTCCTTAAGATGATATAGTCCAAGATACCTTACTTTTTAGTTTGAATTCTCATTTTAAGATATGTGTCTCTATACTACTGAAGATATGCTGATATGTATAAAGCTTTTTTGAGGAAATGGTTCATTCATCAAAGAAAAAATACATAATACAAAAAGTATTCCGAATAACTAAGTTTTACCTCTAAAAGAGATTCTTCCAGTTTGGCTAACTGTATTTTCTTATCTTCTTCCTGCTGTAGTAGTTTTGTTTTCTGTTCCTCTAAATCAGGTTTCTCATGTTGAATAGTTAAAGCCAAAAGCTTAAGGGAAAAAAAAGTCAAGGGTATACAAGTTAAAAATTTCAAACAAACAAAAATATACTACAAAGAGGCCTCACACTAGAACAAATATTACAAGTATTATGTAACAGCTATCTACTTGGCTCTTTCTAATTAAACATATGAGACACCTTTACAATTATTTCTGGCCAATAAAAAGGCAAAACAAACTAATCAATATTAGTTAAATATTATAGGGTAGCTATAAGAAATTGGACTATTCAACATATCAGTACATATTTAGTTCTAAATTAGACTAAGTACATAAAAACTGTGGAAGCTAGAATTTTTCAACAGTAAATATTCATACAAGGAAATATTTTAATTAAAATACTGATCAGGGCCTCCCCGGTGGCGCAGCGGGTTGAGCACCATGCTGTGAAGCTGTCCACAGCCTCTGCACTGTGGGTTCGATTCCTGGCCAGCCAGGGAGATACCCACATGGCGGGGCAGACCTCTCCTGTCTCACCCGCTGTTCCCCTCAGCAATGTATTTCAGCCAGTCTGCCTGTTCTGCTCCCCACTCTATCTCTGGTGAATCCTCTCACCCACCCGTGACTCTGACCTGTACCCCAGCTCTTGTATGCATAAATAAATAAATATTTTTTAAAAAGAAATAAAATACTAATCATCAAAATCACAGTGAAATACCCCTTCATGCCCACTAAAATGGCTACAATTGAAAAGGCAGAAAATAACAAGTGTTGCCAAGGATGTAGAGAAAGTAGAAAACTTACACATTGTTGTCAGGAAAGTAATAGTGCAAAACTAGTTTGGAAAAATTTGTTGCTAAAAAAGTTACTATAAAACCTACCAATTTCATGAAGAAACCATTGAATTGTAAACTTTAAAAAGCTTAAGTGCATGGATGTATTTGAATCTTAATAAAGCTGTAATAAATGCTGCTAAATTCTGAATTTTGAAGTTTTAAAATAGGGAATAATATTGCCATGCCATAAAATCTAAATCTACTGTATAAGCAGCATCTTTACTTAGTTCAGCATAAAACCTAAAATAAATAATCACTTTTGGTAATTTGGAGTTCCTTAAGATAAGACAAGCAATTTTGTAAGTTAATTCTTCCAGGTTTTAAGTAATTTGTATAGTTTGTTTAACAAAGTAGTTTTACACCAAACTACCAAATAAGTTTACAAAGCTACAAAAGATTTTTAACATAAGTCATGATTACTTCTATATACCTGTCCTCGTAATCCACTTCTTGTTGTAGTAAAGTTAACCTCAGTAACGATGGAAGCTGCATCAGGTGGGATAAAGGGATTTGGGTTTCTTGTTGACAAAAAAAGGCGGAATTCTTCATTGTAGTCAATAACCTTGTCACCTATCTGTACCACATAACGTGGTCCTGTTTTTTAAAATGACACAATGAGTTGACCTGATTATTCTGTATTTCTTTACATGACATTAAAAATATATAATTGCCTAGTACTTCTAAGTAGTCTGTGTTACAGACTTTTCAACAGGGCCCACAAGACAGCAACCATTAGGCCACCCAAGAAACTATTAATCAGAATGCTCTATTAATCAGAACTTATGAAAGCAAAGATAAATGATACTCATTAAGATCCTGAGAGACTGAAGCAGCAAAGGAATATCTACCTATATTCAGTATGGCTTTAATGATACTGTATGTTTTATATTTCAAATTTCTCTAAAATGGTTGATTACTGATGACAAAACAAATTATTATATATTTTTCTACAGGTCTAAGTTCATCAATAAAAATATTTACTGTACTAGTACGTAAGATGCAATATTTATAAAACCATAGGATTATCAACAAATGAGTAATTACTAATAATTCATATTAATATTCAAAAGAATTCATTCAAACTGCCATATAGAGGTGATTTACAAGAAGTTAAAGAAAAAACAAGGCCCTTCTTATAAAGAACAATTTCCTAAAATAAAAAAAGATATTAATTATATAGTATGTACAGAAAACAGAATAACTTTAAACCGATAACAAATAATAATTGTTTAAATACATCACAAGAAATTTTTCAGAAACCAGGATAGATTTAACTTGAAAAGTTTTACTTGAAATTTTTTTTTTAAGCTTTCTGCAACTAAGCACATTATGAAAGAGGATACACAAAAGGCAAAAAACAACAATCAAGTAATGTTAAAATTTAATCACTAACAGCGAAATGCAAGTCAATTGTAATTCTGCTACACTACTAGAATGTTTTAAGAAATCTTAAGAATAAATAAAAAGGAAACCAACTGTAAGGACATCATAACATCTAAATACAATGACAAAAATTGCAAAGAATGCAGTGAAAACAAGAAAACCAGCAGGTGAATTCTCAACAGAAATACTATAAACTAAAAAATACCGGAACAAAAAATTTTAAGGGCGATAGGAAATAACTGCCAAGCAAGAATTCTATCAGGCAGGTGAAAATGTCTGTCAAAAATCTAAGAAAAAAAGGAAGTCTATTTCCAATGGATCTTCACTAAATGAAAACATTCAGACAGAAGAAAAATAATCCAGATGGACATGAGAATATAATGGAAATGCTAGAGAATTTAAGAGCATTAAAAAGGGTAATTATATATAGGGCCACCCTGGTGGCGAGGGAGTTAAAGTCTCAATGCTATCAAGCCAGCACCAGCACCAGCCACTGAGGCATGCGAATTGGATGCCCAGCCAGGGAACTAACCCACATGGTGCAGCAGACCTCTCCTGTCTCGCCTGCCATTCTTCTCAGCAGTGTATTTCATTAGCTCTGCCTGTTCTGCTCCCCACTCTGTCTCTGGTGAATCCTCTCACCCCCTCTGGCCTACACCCCAGTTCTTATATACCTAAGTAATTAAAATACATCTTAAAAAAAAAAAGATAATTACATATAAAGATTTTGAATTAGAACTTTATAAGGAGCATAACAATGGATCACAACAATAATGCAAAAGCAGGCAGGGGGCATATGGACCTGAAGTGCAGTACTGGACAAGTGATAAAGTATGTATTGCATTAAAAAAGTAATATACATTGACAAATATATGGTGAGCTTATCAATAATTTAAATAATTTGTTTATGATAATTTATGAATCAAAGAAGAAATAAAAACTTAGGAAGCTAAAGAAGGGGTTAGAGAGAAAACTATAAAGAGTATTTATATTAGGAAAAAAAGAAAAGACTGAACATCAATATTTTGAATTTCTACCATAAGAATCTAGAAAAAAGAAGACCCTCCCCCAAAAAAATCTAAGGATAGCAATAGGAATTAAACAGTGAAGAGGAAATGTCAGTTCAAAAACACAATAGAAGAAATCAAATTTAAAAGTTGGTATTTTGAAAAGATTAACAAAATAAAATTTTGTTGGAAAAAGAAAAATATATAAATATAAAGGAGTCATAATTACAAAACCAACAGAAATTTAAGTTAAATGATTATTATACAAAAAAATACACAAATACATTTGATAATTTGGATGAAATGAACAAATACCTTTAAAAACAAAAACTTAGCCAAAACTGACATGTAAACAAAAATAGGATAAATGAATTTTAGGACCCCAGAAATACCTTTTTTTTTGAGATTAAATGGGTTAAGGTGGGAATTTGGATAGGACATCATGCCTTGACACATGGCACTCAGATTATTATTATTACTGCTATTTTAATGTCACAATTTTTAATATTCAAAACCTTTTATTATTAAAAAACTCTGACTTTAAGAAAATGAGACTTTTAGGAGGAATTGTGCTTCGCTATTCTTTTTGATTAATGCAAATTTGAGGGGATTTTTGAACGGCATAAATTTTGGAGAAGAAATACATTTTATTCCTATTATCTGTGTCTGCTTTGACCTCTGTAGGTAGAAAGGCAGTTCATATTGCTTATACAAGGGCACTGGATTATAAACTTAGAAACTTTGTTTTATATGGTTCTAGGACAACAATTCTCTGTCCCCAGAGGAAATGCATGATGACAAAATGACAACTCATGAGGAACTCAACACTGTTGAGAAAGATAAATCTGAAGTTTACTCAAAGGGATAACTGACTTCAATGAATGGGACATGAAAACATCCAATCCTGGGAGGAAGATGGAAAAAATAAGTTAGAGATAAAGAGTCTCTTTCCCTAATGAAATGAATAGAAATGAATAAATGACCCAACTGTTTTGTAGAACTGTCTGGAATAGTGTTTAATGTTGTTAATAAATCATGGAATGGAATATATCACTTTTATCAGATCTAACTTCTAGGACTTCCATCAACACCCCATTCTCAGACAACACCAGTGACAGTTAAAATCTGATACCAATCAGAGATCATGGAGAGTAATAATTAATGAGTGATTGAAGGCCAGAATTTAGACTGTAGAGAATCAAACCTAGATGGCTTTACTGGTTCATTTCCATTTCCCTTTAAGATACCATAGCAACAGCCAGCTCAACAGATCTAAATTAGTTCCAGTAAAGAACAGACTGAGACTAAAGACTGAACTCTGAGAGAGAACTCCAGATTACAAAGGCAAAAAAATCCCACTAATAGGGTTCTGTTCATAACACATCAACTACTGCCAGGCCAAGTATACCTGATTGTGGCACAGCATGTGATCAATGAAAAATGCATACTTTGCTATTTCTTCTTTGTCCACAATACTACAAATTTTTATAAAAACCTCATGATGCTAGCTAGCAACTTGTGTGGTGCATATGTCACATATGTATGCATGTGTATAGACTTTGCATGACATACTCTCACAGTTTACCAGCACTACTTTCTAGTTATCACTGTTTGGTTAAAAGCCTGTGCAGAAGAAGTAATATTGCAGTTCATTCCCTAGAAAGGCCCACTTGCAAGGCTGGCCCATAGCAAGCCATCTGGGAATTTGGTGTTTGGGAGGGTTCTCACCATTCCCAGAACACATTAAGAATAGGTCACTGTACTTAAGCTGTTTGTACAATGTGGTTTATGCTGAACACCTGCTTACACCATGAAGTCTGGAATTTTGCTACATGCTAAGCAGAATATGATTACATATAAAAGCTCTGGGCACTGAGTCTAATAATCTTCCTTGTAGACAACATTTCAAACAAGTTGACACAACTCATCCCTAGGGGGAATTAAGTACATCCTGTGCATCTCTAATGGAACAGGAATTTCAAAAACTCATTCCTGGTTTCTTGATTCATGACTTTACCCAATATGCCTTTTCTCTTTGTTAACTTTCCTTTGTATCCTCTCTCTCTCTTTGCAATAAATATTAGCCATGATTGCGACTCTATGGTGAATTCTGCAAGACTTCCTAGTAAAGCACTGAGACTGGGAGTGGTTTTGGAAACTCCTGATAACAGAGGCACATAAAAGAATTTGCTTATTTGCTATTAGACTCCGATGACATTACCAACATCAATCCAAAAAATTTTCTATTTCCTTAGATTCAGTAGCAAGACATACATCTAAGGAGGTATGAACCTAGTCCCTTCAATCATATACAGTGTTGTAAACCAACGTTTCCTCCATTAAGAAAAAAAAAGTCAAAGTTAATTATAAAGTTAATTTCTTTGGAAATTTTAAAAAGTTACTCTCTGGAAAACGTAAATACTTATTTACCTTGAGCCACCAGGTCTCGTCTCAATAATGGATAAAGAACAGGTTCTACACCATCCATTTCTTGTATAATAAGGGTCTTCCCAAACCGTACTGCCAATTCAAGAGCTGTGATAAAGTTACTATCCTAAGAGAATAAGAAAGAATACATATTAATTCTTTTATTACCTTAATATTTACAAAGATCCTTACAGATAATGAATAAGGATATTAATAGGAATAATATGAATATTTTAAATTTAATATGCATGTTAGTAATTCAAATTATTCATGATTGTTTTTCTAGTTATAAGTACTTTGTAATGAATCATTTGGGTTGAATAAATTATAAGATAAATTTCATAAATAATTTAAATAGACATAAGTAAAGATTTTTACAATAACAATAAAGGTCCTTCAACTTCCCACTATAATTTCAAAATGATGTAGAAACATTTTCAGATTCTGAATGTTGTAAGTTACTTGCCCAGCTAACAATAAGAACTATTTTGTTTACATTCAAAAACCAAATATTGAATGAAAGAAGAAAGACTAAAAGATGAATTCTCGTAAGCTTTTCTTGGTATGACAGGTGTAATTGCTGCGAAAAGAACCTTTAGACAATATTCTCTAAGTATGCAACAACTGTGAAGCTTTCTGGCTAGGAAAACCATATTTTCAAATATCACCTCAGGCTTCCAACTATGGTAAAAATAAAATTGTCTTTAATTTGGAGTAATAACTTTAAAAAAAGATTTATTTATGCATACAAGAACTGTGGTATAGGCCTGAGGTGTCGGGGATGAGAGGATTCACCAGAGACATACTGGGGAGCAGAACAGGCAGACTGACTGAAATACACTGCTGAGGGGAGCAGCAGGCAAGGCAGGAGAGGTCTGCTGCACTATGTGGGTAGCTCCCTAGCCGGGGATTGAACTCGTGCTGCACTGGCTGCGGATAGCTTCACAGGTTGCATCTTAACCCCTTGCACCATCAGGGAGGCCCCTGGGGTAATAACTATTAAGATCACTTACTATAAACCGTAGTGGCATTAAAGTAGTTTATATGTTAAATAACTTGTAATAATTATGGACACACATAAATGAGATAGATATCCCCATTTTATAAAGGAAGTACTTTTGCAAGAGGTAATTTTTCAAGATCCTAAAGAATATCTAAGTACATTAATCATACACTGGGCCTTCTTCAAAAAAAAAAAAATACCAAAAACAATTTCCTTACCAAGATAAGTATGATAGTAAGAAATTACTACTTAAAAGATATGATTGCATTGTACTGATCAGTATTCAAATACTGGAGACAACAAAGATGCTTACTGGTAGTTAAAAGAATATGGAATTATAAAAGGCACAAGAGAGAAATTACAAGTGTGCCGACAGTGGCCTTCCTGATTCTCTAAGCTGTTAGTAACTTTCATTCCACAGTTCCACAGTATCTTATACTTGAGTCTTTATTACGACATAGTATAAATTTGATGAGGGCAGGAACTGTGACTGCTCATATTAAGCTCCCAGGATTCAGATTAATGTCTAGCACATAGAAGATATCAAACAAATATTTTTATTTCATTTTATTTTATATTTTTACAAATTAGAAAACTAAAGCTAAGAAAGTTACATTTCTTTTCCCAGGTTTGGACTCAGATTTGAATCCATATTTTCTGATAACAGATTGAGAGTTCTTTTCACCATAACATGCCACTACTAGTTGGTATCTAAATTATAAGTAATACACACCTGCTGGTTAATAACTTCCAAATGCGAATCTTTCAAATGGGTCTTTAACCACTCTGTAGCTTGGGAAGAAGGGTCTATAAGAAATGGGCACACTCGACTCTAGCACAAATAAAAACAGATTATAAGCTTCCATTAAATACAAATAATTACTTAAAAGTTATGACTCAGTTAGTAGGTGACTGTTTCTCAGGCTTTGGAGAACACAAATAAATAATTAAAATAAGGAAATAAATGCACAGTTTTCAGCTACACCAGTGGCCACATTAATAAATTTTACATTGAATAGGAGTTAATATTAGGTCACTGAATTTAACCTATTAAAGTAGGTAAAGGCCTCTTTCCTACATAGAAAATTTACATTAATAATAAACATGAGTTCTAGTCCTAAGCTGATACCACTTGCACATCTCTATTTGGCTTTTAAAATACACAATCAAGCCATCTCCGAACTTCATACATTCTTTACTTAAATAAACCTTACAAGAGAAATATGAGCTGGTTATAAAAGTATTCTGAAATAATTATCAATAAGTGCTTATATTCTAACACACTAATGCTTCTAAAGCAGTTCGTAGTTAATATTAAAAAGGAATCTCCTAAAAGAGAATATTACATAGGCTGTAAGTTAAGAACTAATGAACTAGCAACCAAATTCATTACAGAATGCCCTGTACTAATTAAAATCTAAAAATAGTAGTTATAATGAATAGTTATAAACCAGTGAAAATACCACTTATCACATGAATATATGACAATTTAATAAACATGTAGCTATGTATGACAAATTTAAATATATGAATAAATACCTATGAAATGTGAAAGGTCATCTAATCACTGTTACCTCATATACCAGATTTAAATAGTAAAAACAATTGACCTAATTTTCTTAACTTTTCAAATTTATCTGAGAACAATAATACAAATAGCTACTATAGGGATAAGATGACATGGGAAAGCAAAAGTGAAATGGAGACTTGGAACTGGCACTGGGAACATCTACTGAGAACATCAATGTATCTCTGTGGCACAACTGTACTTTGGAGAGGTGGTAAGAATCACCTGTTCTGGGGACAATAGTACTTTACCAGCAACACCGTGTAAATACCACACATGAGGATAATAAAGAGATGGCTATTCCATTGTTCTAAAATTCTCTCCAGACAACATACCCCCTTTTTACTTGCCCCAAATGGACTACTCTCAACACAGCTGACCACAAATGTTATATTTCTGTATTATCTTCACCAAGCATCTATATCTACAGGCTGCATCATAAACACATGTTGTTCCTAGCAAATGTGACAGCAAATAGCCTTTAAATATTACTATGGTACCACACCTAGGTTTTAGATATAATTTTATGCTAACATTCAATAACAAATATTACACAAGTCCACTAGATTATGCCTAATCACAAAAAAAATTAAAAATTAAAAAAATTCTTACCCATGACTTCAAACCAACGATCTGATGCATTAAAAAAAAAAAAAAAAAAGATGTTGAAAACAAATGTTTTTAGCAAAGGAAATATGCCTAAGAATTGCAAAGCATATTTAGAAGTTTGTGTTCATCTTATTTTATTCTTTGCAAGACATTCTAAATGTCTTCATTTAGACAAGAACTCTTAACACATATTTCATACATAATTATGCACCTTAATTCTACATTTAACAACTTACAAAAGCTGCAAAAATGTTGTTTTCATCCATCAATGCATTCATTCATTTGTGATATGCTGAATTAACTACTACAGTGGGAAAATGTAAGGGATATAGAAATTATAAAATACATTATTTTATCTTGATTTCAGTCAATAAAGTAGCAAAACAGAAAATTCTATAATCAAGAAACAAACAGATTCTACAGGAGGATGGCAGGAAGAGTAGAGGAAGCTCCTAGGTAGCAATTCAAGTCAAACTAAGTTGAGAAAGGTAAACTGGACTTCAGGCAAAGACAACAGCATGATGGAGAGAGGAATAAAAAGTCAGTAGTTGGAAAACTAATAGTGTTTTGGGATAGTTAGACATAGATGATGCCTATAAAATGGCAGGTATAACTATTTTATGCCATGTTTAAGGACAATGAAACTTTAATATATTTCAGTGACTTTTCATCACCTGCAATATAAATCAAGGGATAGTCATAATCAGATTAATATTTTTAGAAAGATTACTCAAAAAGCAGTGATACTGGGGGCAAGGGATTAACTGGAATAATAAAGTATTTATCCAGGAGTAAAATGATGAAGACCTAAAAGAAGCCACTGGCAGTGGCTGTAGTGAGAATACGATGAATTCCTGACTCATTTGAGAAATGTATTTAGCAAGACTTGTTGAATAACTAACCAAATGTAAAATTAAAGAGACAATGTGAGAATGATTTGCAGATTTGCAGCTTACGTTACTGGGTCAAACTTCTACTGGTAAGAAGTAAGGTTATAAGGAATATGAGAGGAAGAGAAACAGGTATGAGAGTCAGTGTATTTCTTTGGGATTATTAATCACCTAGCACTGCACCTAAGGGGCAAGCAGGTGACACAAGCTAGTAAATCATATCTAATCAAGACAAAGGCTTCAGTTTTACTTAGAAAGTATGTTACTATTCTTATGTGTGTTTCTATTTCTTATTCTATTCTTATAGGTTAAAAAAGTGACAAATGCTGGAAGGGAGCAGAAGACAAACCTGAAGTCTGGGGATATAAACAGAACAATGGCAAGCCGAGAGTCACCATAGGTCATCTTTCACACAGGGTGGAGAGAACCTATCTGAGAAGGAAGCTATCACGTAGGAGGGAGAGAAAGAGGTATCCTGGTAACATCACTTGAATCCAGAAGCTAGTCCTGACCTTTTGAACATTTCACTTACTTAAAAGCGTAAAAACTTTTTAAAAGATTCCTCAATAAAAAAGTGATAAGCACTGACTAATTTAAAGACAGACCTTGATGTACCTGGGAAGCTCCAGACAACAGTATCTAACTGGAAGTTGGAACTGTATATAAGCAGCTCAGAACAGGTCAAAGGCTAAAGATATATGATCTCAATGTTAATTCATCTCTCCTTGGTGGTAAAAAGATTGGGCAGAATACATTGTTTAAAGAGATTATTTTTAAAACATATAGGACAGTCTTAAACTTCATTTTTATTTTTTGTAACTATAAGTGGCATAAGAAAAGAAATACACTTTAGAAATAAAATTGAAGTCTATCTCTTGATTAGTTAAAGAGAATTCCATTAATAGGAATAACACAAAATAAATAAATTTAAATATACACAGAAACGCGTACACTTTCTGAGAGGCAATTTTATAGCGCAGACCAGCTGGAGGGCAGTGCTTGAATCTTGGTTCTGCACTTGACAGCTATGTGACCTTGGACAAGTGACCCCTCTCTGCTTCAACTTCCTTATCTATAAAAAGGATAATGCATGTACCTACAAGATAAGGCTGATTTGAAAATTTAATGAGTTAATTGTTTAAATGTTTCTCCTGCATTAATTAAATAGTAATTTATGCACAACATAGTGAATACCACATAAGTGCTGATTATCATTAATTTTGGGTTTATTTTTAAAAGAATTTTCCCGATACAATTTACCTTTGTAATTCTATATTTTTTTTGCTGCTGACTGAATTAATTTGCATTTCTTCAGCATATACTGAATGGCAGAGAGGAAAAAAACTCAGAAATTTTGAGTGGTTTAAAGAAATAAAAATTAAAGTTGACCTGTACGAAATCAATAAAAAACAAATATTCCACACATGTCTTCACAAGATTTATAATATTGTAAAATTAAATTAAGAGAAATATGTAAGTGTGAAAGTTAATCACCTTTCCATCTAATTTCTTGATGTTTCTCATTCACTTTCCCCAGTTTCTCATACTCCCCATTTTATACTGACCCCACAACATTAGAAATGTGAAAAAATATACCACCAAGAATTGGGGTGGTAAATTTTGAGAGTAAAGGGAAGACTATTAATAATTACATCAGAAAACAGGAACTTCAGTTTAGAATGTTTTGCCATCAAAATAATGCCACTTCAGTTTATACTTTTATATTAAGGTAAAAAATTACATTGAAAATTATAGACACACTAAGTGAATCATAAATGGATTTTCATTAGCAAAATATTTTAAGAAAATCAAAGTTTTTGAAGAAGGTATTTCCTCTAGCAAGCTTCAAAAGAAACAGTCGCCATAAGAAATTTTAATAGATTAATTACCTGTAAGATAACAATAGCATTTTCTATGGAAAGGTCATCTGATGGCAGACCTTCACTTTTCCAAATTAACTGTTCACTTTCAGTACAAAGAAATCTCCTCAGGTCAAATTCTGAAAAGTTAAAGATATTGAAATATTTTAATACAGTGATCCTGCTCTTGATGAAGGGAAGGAATAAAACTATTTTAATTACACTGACACAAAAGTCCTGTAACCACAGTTAGCACCAGAAGCTAAGGAGGGAAAAGTTAAAAAAAAATAAAAGTACAAAGGAATAAAATAGAACTCAGTTAAATTATACTTCTTGTATTAAGTGAATATTTTACAACTATAATAGTTTATGAGAACCACAAAATTCACAAGGAATCTTGGTATTCCTACATCTCATGTGATGATTTGAAATTATTATAAAATTAAAACATTTAATTGTATTCATGTAATATCAAAAATAATCCAGTAGTCTTGGTTAAGGAATGATTTCAGGAATAAACAATAAATAAATTCTCAGAATATTTGTAGAATTCAGGAAATATAAAGTAGCTATGGTATCCTAAGATTACAGAAAAATTTCCTCATTAAAAAAAGTATGGATTTCATGGGTATATACACATGTCAAAACTTATCAAATACTACACTTTAAATATATGCAGCCTATTATGTCAATTACAAAAAAAAAAATAAAACTTTTTTATGGCTAAAAAAAAAAAAGTAAAATGAAATCAAAAGATGCAATATTATACTAAAATTTCAAATTCATGAATAACCAAACACTAACTTTCAAGACCAGCTGACTTTGTCCACTCTTCCAAACAGGTTTTCCTCAGACCCTCAGGAGCAGCAGAAAGATAGGTAATAAATGCAGCAGCTAGTTGAGCTCTTTTAGGAAGTGTAGCTAATTCCTCTGTTATCTCTGCAACCTGGAAAAAAGAGAAAGACACTTAGTGATGTTCTAACAGGGGAAACAATGACAGCTTCACAAATGAGTTTTGACTGTAGAGAAATCATTTATTGATTTAAGTAATAACCTGTCTTAAATACAATTGTCAAATCATAAAAATGACAAGCCTCTGCTGTGATCTTTAAAAAATGTATGTGATCTCAATACATTTGTAGAAACATTTTGTCATTGAAAATTTGTAATGATTCTAATAAAAGTAGGTCTTTCATCTTAATCCCAATACTGTAAACCAGCATCACTTTATAAAATAAAATAAAGATACAGAATGAGCAAAGACACAAAACAAAGAAAAAGCATGGACATCATTAGCGAAAAGGACAGACCAAACAAAAAGAATAAAAATATAGAAGGGATGAAAGGAGAGCAGGAAAGGCTGACTGGAAAGAGAGACTGAAAGGTTGCCCAGAGGCTCTTCTGCTTTAATCAGTGTAATAATGAACCACTGGAAGTGTTCAAACATGATAGTGAGAAATGCAATGAGACTGGGTTTTAGAAAAAAAAAAGAAAAAGATCATGCAGCTGACAAGTGAAGAATGAAGTAACCAAAAGGTCAGATAGTAAGGTGAAAAGTTTGGAAAAATCCATTAGGAAAGAAAAGGATTGGCTTTAAGGATGGATGACAAATAATAGGAACATTTGTAAATGGCTATGACAAGTTAAAAGAAAGGGTCTAAGACAGCCACATGTTTACAGTTTGAATGCTTAAAAGAAAGATGTTTTACAAAGGACAGGAAATAAAATAGCTGTAAGAGATGAGAAAAATATAACAAGCTGATTAGACATAATGCATTTAAGTTCCTGAGAAAGTTAAATATAAGTATCTGAAGTGTACTTGGGAATATGAATTTGACACTCAACAATCTAGATATTAATTTCTGGCCATCATGATACAGAGGATATTCTTAAGGCTGGATGAGAAAAACCTTGGAGTAGTTGCAGAAAAAGGTGCTGAGGAAGTGAATACAAAAGACAAGCAACAGTGCATAAGCTATGAGAATCAGTGAGGAAAGAAATCTCATTTGTTAAAGAAGAAAAAAGGCTTTAATAAAGTTGAGATAACAAAGAATTTCAGGAAAGAATTGACCAACAGTGTGACAACTTAAGACTGGTATCCTGGTCAAGGTTTAAGTTTAAAAAATATTAAGAGAGGGGGATCCAGCCACACCAGGGGCAGGCCCAAGGGGCAGGGAAGCGACTGGCAGACATGTCATATTTAGACAGGGAGTTCTGGCGCTTCATCAAAGCTGTTGTGTGGAACTGAGAAGGACTGTCACCACAGTCAGAGGTGAGCTGAAGGCCCCCACAAGCCAGGCCCCGCCAGGCAGCCAGTCGGAGTCCAGAGGGGGATCCAGCAATTTGGAACCCAGCAGGCAATCCAGCCACCATCAGGGCAGTCTGTGGGATCTCTAAACCTACCTCAGGAATTAAACAAACACAGAAGGAGGAGATTTTCAGGGTCAGCAACCATTACATATCCATAATACCACTGCCCTACTGGACTTCTGGCATAACAGTATTGGACTTGATTGGACCATCAGTTCCCAACATCCCAGAAAGAGCACGCCAAAAAGATGCTGGCCAGTACCAGCGACACAGTGTCCCAGCACATAGGACAAATTAGAAAACAAGCAGCTGGAGTAAGAAAAATTACAAGCAGGGTCTCCCCAGTGGCGCAGCGGTTGAGCGTTGGGCTGCGAATCTGCCTGCAGCCTCTGCAGCACCAGTTCGATCCCCAGCTGCCGGCTAGGGTCCCACATGGCACGCAGACCTCTCCTACCGCGCCCGCTGCTCCCCTCAGCAGTGTGCTTCGTCAATCTGCCTGTTCTGCTCCCCGCTCTGCCTCTGGTGAATTCTCTCACCCTCCCGCACTTCTGACTGTTCTCAGTGCTTGTATAAATAAATAAACAAACCTTAAAAAAAAAAAAAAAGACTGAAAGTAAAAGGATGGAAAATGATCCCACAAGTAAATGGATCAAAAAAGAAGGCAGGAACGGCTATACTTCTATCAGATGAAACAGAATTCAAACTCAAAAAGGTAAAAAGAGACCCAGACAGTCACTACATTATGATCAAGGGAACAATACATCAAGAAGACATAACACTCATTAACATATACTCACCAAATGGAGGAGCACCAAAATATATCCGACAACTATGATCATCTCTGCAAACGGACATCAGAGTAAATATATGTAGTAGGAGAGTTCAACACACCACTATCAACAGTGGATAGATCAACAAGACAAAAAATAAGTAAGGACATTAAAGCTCTAAACAAGGATCCAGACCTCATGGGCTTAACAGACATCTATAGAACACTAAACCCAAAAAATCTGAGTATACATTTTTCTCAAGCACACATGGATCATTCTCCAGGATCGATCACATACTGGAACAGAAGACAAACATCAACAGATACCTCAAGATTGAAATCATACCAACCATCTTCGTTGACCATGAAGGCATCAAACTAGAAATAAACCATAAAAAGAAAGCAAGGAACCCTCCAACTTCATGGAGATTGAAACCCACACTACTGGAAGGCCACTGGACTAATGAGGAGATCAAAAAAGAAATTAAAAAATACTTTGAGTTGAATGACAAGGACACCAATTTCCTAAATGTATGGGATGCAGCAAAAGCAGCAACAAGAGAAAAATATATAGCAATACAGGCTCACATCAAGAAATAAGAGAGAACTCAAAGAAACAACCTAATCTCACATCTCAAAGAACTAGAAAAAGAACAACAACAATAAAAAAAACCCTAAAACCAGTAGAAGAAAGGAAATAATAAAAATCAAAGCAGAAATAAATGAAATTAAAACTAAAAAACAATCCAAAAGATCATTGAAACCAAAAGTTGGTTCTTCAGAAAAATAAATAGACAAACCCCTAGCCAGGCTCACAAAGGAAAAACTGGAGAAAGCACAAATAAATGGGATCACAAATGAAAGAGTAAAAGAGGAAAAATCACAACAGACACTGCAGAAATCAAAAGAATAATCAGAAACAACTATGAACAGTTATATGCAAACAAGTTCAACAATCTAGAAGACATGGACAAATTCCTACAACTTTACAATCACCCAAAGTTAGATAAAGAAGAAATAGAACACTTAAACAGGCCAATTACAAGCAGTGAAATTAAAATGATAATCAAAATCCTCCCCAAAAACAAAAGGCCAGGACCAGATGGATTTACAAATGAATTCTACCAAACATTCAGAAATGAACTAGTGCCTATCCTTCATAAACTCCTTCAAAAAATTGAGTAAGAAGGGATAATACCAAACACGTTCTATGAAGCCAACATCACACTAATACCAAAACCAAACAAGGACAACACAATAAAAGAAAACTACAGGCCAATCTCTCTAATGAACATGGATGCAAAAATCCTCAACATGGATGGAGCTAGAAGGGATCATGCTCAGCGAAATAAGTCAGAAAGAAAAATAAAAATACCAGATGGTCTCACTCATAGCAGGAATTTAGAAAACCTAAATAAGATATCAGGAAAAAGACTAATCAATACAAAGTAAAAATCAAAAGCAACAAGCAAGTATAAACCAGAGACACACTACAGGGGTTGGTGGGGAGGGCCAGGGAAAGGAAGGACTAGAGTCAAAATAAGGGGGTGGGTGCATTGTATGGGGAATATAACCAAAATGAAAATGCATACATTGTGCAAAGATGAAAAAAGATGCAAGAATTATATAAAAATATTTATTTATTTATTTATTTATTTATTTATTTATTTATTTTTAATAGAGGCATTTTATTTATATATTTGTTTGTACAAGCACTAGGCACAGTCAGAAGCGCGGGAGGGTGAGAGAACTCACCAGAGCCAGAGCAGGGAGCAGAGCAGGCAGAAGGACCAAGGCACACCGCTGAGGGGAGCAGCGGGCGGCAGGAGAGGTCCGCGCGCCATGCGGGACCCTCCTCCGGTGGCCAGGGAGCAGCCGGGGATCGAACCGGCACCGCAGAAGCCGCGGGCAGCTTCGCAACCCAGCGCTCAACAGCTGCGCCACCGGGGAGGCCCCTAAAATAAAATATTTAAATAAAAAAAATCCTCAGTAAAATTTTAGCTATCAGAATCCAACAATGTATCCATAAGAGATAATTTACCCCGACCAGGTAGGATTTATTCCAGGGACATAAGGATGGTTTAACATCCAAAAATCAACCAAAAACCCCAAATAGCCAAAGCTCTCCTGAAAAAAAAAGAAGGGAATGGAGGCATCACACTCCCAGATTTCAAACTATACTATAAAGCCATAATAATCAAAACTTCATGCAAAACTGCAAGAACAGACACATGGACCAACGCAACCAAATAGAAAATCCAGAAATAAACCCACAGACTTATAGTCAACTAATCTTTGACAAAGGAGCAAAGAATATGCAATGGAGCAAAGAAAGTTTGTTCAATAAATGGTGCTGGGAAAACTGGGTTGCTACATGCAAAAGAATGAAGCTTGACTACTACCTAATAACATGCACAAAAACCAACTCAAAATGGATTAAAGAACTAGACAAAAGAACTGAAACCATAAAACATATTGAAGGAAATATAGGCGAAACACTACATGACATATACCTCAGTAACATCTTTAAAGACACATCACCTAAAGATGTGCAGCAAAAGAGACAGTGACCAAAACAAAGAGAAACCTCCCTGATTGGGAGAAAATTTTTGCACACAACACTAATGATAAAGGACTGATCACAAAAATCTATAAAGAGCTGACGAGACTCAACAAAAACAAATAACCCAGACACAAAATGAGCAGAAGAGCTAAAAAGAAACTTCTCCAAAGAGGAAATGCAAATGGCCAACAGGCATATGAAAAAATGTCCAACATCACTTGTAATGAGGGAAATGCAATTCAAAACTACAATGAGATACCATCTTATACCCGTGAGAATGGCACATACTGAAAAAACTAGCAACAACAAATGTTGGCGAGGATGTGGAGAAAAAGGAACTCTCCTGCACTGCTAATGGGAGTGCAAACTGGTCCAACCACTATGGAAAGCTCTGTGGAGATTCCTCAACCTGCTAAAGATGGAGCTTCCATAGGATTCAGCAATTTCAATACCTAGGAGTGCACCCCTATGTTTATAACAACACTATTTACAATAGATAGGCTATGGAAACAACCCAAATGCCCAAAAATAGATGACTGGATCAAGAAGATGTGGTGCATATACACAACGGAATATTACTCAGCAACCAAAAAAGATAAATTCATGCCATTTGCAGCAACATAGATGGAGCTGGAAGGGATCATGCTCAGCACAATAAGCCAGAGAGAAAAAGAAAAATACTGGATGGTCTCACTCGTAGCAGGAATTTAGAAAACCTAAATAAGGCACCAGAAAAAAATCCAATTATAATAAAGAATCAAAATCAACATGCAACTATACACCAGAGACACAATACGGAGGGGCAGGAAGGGAGGAGGGAGGAGGGTTAAACAAGGCGGGGTGGGAATTGTATGGGGACTATAACCAAGATGAAAATGCATACATTGTGCAAAAAAGAAAAATGATGTAAAAAATGTATAAAATAAAAAAAATATTAAAACGAGGGCAGGAAGAGCACAAGGGACTATGGTGATGGTGCATGGGTGAATTGGTGGTTGAAATTCTATGGGGACTATACCTGAGAAAAGAAAGCAAACACTTTAAAAAAAAAAATGAACAACAATGTAAAATATATATTAAAAAAAACTAAATATAAAAATCTTGTAATAGAGAACTAAATTTTCTATTAATTCCTTTCTGTCACTGACTTCCCCTCAATAATATAGGTAACTAAAAGAGAATTAGATTGCTTTGTCCAAAACTCATTCATATAAAGATACTTTGCTTAAAGATTAATTCATTTAATGGGCATTAAAATCTAGTGAACTAAAAGTTAATGGATATTTCTCTCCTTTAAATGTTTCTTTAACAAACATAATACATTTGCTTTCCTGTGTTTTAAAGGAAGCCTCTTTATGACCTCTCTCTCAAACAAACCTGTGCATTCCATCTCTTGTGTTCTCTATCAAGCTGATTAATTAAGACTTCTGCAGCTTTAATTGTTTCCTGTGCTTTGCTTACTTCAGCTTCAAGTTTAGCAGCTTCTGAAGTCCTGCTCTGAAATCTATAAAAACATTAAATTTTAATTCAAGGCAAAGAAATTTAAGAGAAATTCAATTATTCTTAGGTAATAAAGTGAATCTTTATATGAGAGTTTAACTGATGATAATATAATCTGTACACAGATTATATCTGTGTACAAAACATCATTAACAGAGCAATGCCACACATATACCAAAGCACATATTTAATACGCAGAATTTTCAGAGGTCCTGATGCCCTACCATACTATACACAAATTTCTCAATATGACATTCAAGGTTCTATTACAGGATTGATCTCATCTATGTTTTCAATTTTATTTCATACTATTCCAGTCCAACAAAGCAAAATGTCAACATCTTAAAAAAAATTATATTCTTGGGTCTCCCTGGTGGCACAGGTGGTTGAGTGTGCTCACAGGTGGTTGAGTGTGCTTCACAGGTGGCTGAGTGTGCTTCACAGTGCTGTGAAGCTGTGTCCAGGCTCTGCAGCACAGGTTCGATCCTGGCCAGCCGGGGAGATACCCACATGGCGTGGCGGACCTCTCTTGTCTCCCCATGCTGATCCCCTAAGCAGTGTATTTCGGTCAGTCTGCCTGTTCTGTTCCCAGATAATGGCCTACCCTACTCTCCTACTGTGATATTTTTTAATTAATCAATAAAATTAATCATACCCTTCATCAGGATGTTCCATTTGCCTAAAATCCCTTCCAGCACCTTCCTGATCACAACCTCACACTTTAACTACCTCAAACATCTACCTATCAAAAAAATAAATAGGGCCACCCTGGTGGCTTAGGGGTTAAGTCTCTCAGCACTATCACCAGGATGGCCCACTAAGGGTGCCTGAGTTCAATCCCAGGGCAGGGAGCTAACCCACATATGGTGCAACAGACCTCTCCTGTCTCACCTGCTGCTCCCCTTAGCAGTGTATTTCAGTAAGTTCACCTACTCTGCTCCCACTCTATATCTGGTGAATCCTTTTACCCCTCACTCCTCTGGCCTACACCACAGTTCTTCTATGAAAAAATAAATAAAATTCACATATATATAAATTTAAACTCACCTAAAAAATCTAGTCTATTGTATACTTGCCCTTCCTATGTACCCATTTGCCAAAGTTTATATATCTTTTTGAAATTATTTTCCTTTAAAAATACTTGTTTTATTAGTTATGGCCTATGTCAATATTTAACCCTTCAACAAATATGTTTGGACCTACAAAATGCCCAGGTTTGTGTTAAGTATCAAAATAATAAAAAAAAAAAAAATAAGGTGTCATTTAATTCTCAGAACAATTCAAAATTAGTGACATACTTCTAATTTTTTTATTTGAAAAAAAAATTTATTGCGGTAACTGGTTTACCACATTGTATATGATTCAGAGTTACTAAACACACACTTCAGGTGTCTATAAAAACAGAGTCCTTGATGTTATTGCACAAAATCTAACCAATAATCAGTAGAGGACTTAAAATTCATGACATTTCTGATAATAAATTCCACACTCTTTACAGAACATTTCTTTGCCAAGTGCTCAACTCCTTCCTCAAGAAGTAGGTCTCTAGGAGTCAGTTGTGCAGTAGTCTCACTTATGACTATTTAATTGTCAATTAATTAGAATGGAATAAAATTAATATTTCAATCCTTCAGTCATGTTATCCACATTTCAAAGTCTTAGTAGTCATAGATTACTAGTGGCAGCCATACTGTTAGTGCAGTTTATATTAATAAAATACAACCATCATCTCAAAGTACTGTTCAACAGCACCACTCTAGAACCTGGAGAGACTACAACTCAAATATTTGCACTACATCTTGTACATGCTTTGTGATACATATTTGGATTAAATTGACTTGCATATTTCTGTACACATTTATTAAAAATGGAAAGTATCTCCTTAATTTTGTCAAATTACAATTTAAAATAGATTGGGCTTATTTTTAAATTTCCTTATTATTTACTGATACACAAGAAAATGAGTCACAATCTACAGTAAACTAAATCTTAATTAAGGATAGTGAGATTTAATACTATATTAACCAGAATTCATTGATTCTTGATAGTAACTAAAATGTACGGTCATTCTGTTTTAATAAAAATTAAAAAATCATATCAAAAATTCTTATAACACTTCTTCCAATTATTCCATTCAATGGTCACTCAATTTATGCAGATTAACCTTACATATCTTTAATTACCTAAAATTTGAAAAATCTGCAAAGTGCTTAGCACAACACCTGACACATTTGCAAGTAATTAACAGAGTTAAAACACTGCTATCATGATCTAATTACTCAAATATTTGACAATTAGCTGACTGTTAAGTACTAAGTCTAGGCATAGGACACTGAAAAGAACATATTTTCCTTATACTTCTCTAGTTACATCTAGAATAAAATGATCTGATTTCTTTCCGACATGTCTAACAAAAATTTTCAGGAGTATTGAAAGCAATGGATTAATAGATTTGATGTTTTCTTCTTGATTTTTTTCTTTATAACTAAATACATATAAAAAAATAACTAAATACATATAAATATAAACAGAGATAATGATTTCCTAGCTAAATATTCATAGGAAGAAACTCAGTTTTAGTCTCATAAAACTGAAAGCAAACTGTAACATATATGATACTTAATCCCAACTTCTCCAATTTTCCAAACTTCTTAATTTTTAAAGGAACATGCTCTCACATTTATAGTAATTCCCCTGCCAATATTTACGATGTTATACTAAATAGCAACTACAGGAACATGAATCCAAGGAGGTACATAAAGCATTTTAAAATGAATCATATTAATAACTGGTACTTAAGTTTAAATATAATATTTGCATGAGGGAATATTTCTTCAACACCAAAAAGAAACACATTACAGGATACACACATTTTAATGTAATTGTGTACCCTTGGGAAAATTGTAGAATAGCATCATCTGATAATAATGAGTCTAAATTTTTAGTTAAAGTATCAAATGGAAATTGCAAATACAACGCTCCCACATTAGTGCATTACTTTCAGTTCAAGCTCAATTTTCCAAATTGTGAGACTATGTAAAGGAATGGCTAAACACATCAGGTAAAATATTTTTGTTACTATATTATTTTCCACTCCTGTCATTTTAAGCTGATAATCTACAAAAAGAAGTAAAGATAGTAATTATAACTAAGCTTTTCAAAATTTAAAAATCAGCTCAGGTACTATTTTTCATATGCCCAAAATACACTTCAAAAACTTAACTTACCTCTCTTTGAGTTCTGAAACTTTTTGACCAACTGAATTAAGAAGCTCCTCCAGTTTCCTTTTTCTGTCTTCAGTTTTCTTCAAATTCCTGAAATATATCTCAATTTTATTAGCCATTCTACTTAAGATATCAAAAATCAGCAACAGCACCTGAAAAACGTATTATTGCATAAATACTGACAATACAAAGTGTCAACAATTCAGAAGTGCCTTTACTTGGAATTTGATTTGAAAAGCAATTAAAAGAGTATCCTGTCATCTAACTACACCACTTTCAGGAGTCTGCATTAAAGAACACTTATACCTGCATGTGAATTTTTTTTTTTTTTTTTTTTTTTGCATGTGAATTTTTGGGTGAAAATGATAGAGGAAATATATTGCAAGGGAAAAAATTTAATAAAATTTTGAAACGTGGTAACTAATATACCAGTATGTTAAAAGCAAAAAGCCAAAAGTACTCCAAAATGTCAAGAAGCATGTCAGATAACATATACCTCTGAAAATAATAAACAAAGGTAGACACAAAAGATGGTTTAGTGGTCAATAGTATGAAGTTTGGCATCAGATTGCTTTCCTCATTGATAATGGATGTCTGAAACATCCCTGAAAGCCCAATTTATATTGGGCTTCCACCCCTACCAAGACCCTCCAAGGGGAGATGATTTGAGGTTTCATATACAAATGACTGACCTCTCCCCACCAAAACAAAACAATAAAAACAAATTTTGAGAGGTTGCCATCAAATGGTCAGTTCATGTTACTGTATACTACTAGAAATTCATGCATTGCCAACATCACCTGTTGGGTGTGTCAAAGCACACAAGCCTCACCTCCATCATTCAGTAAATGTGGATAAAAAAATTTCCACCCTTTTTTATAACATTTTTATTAAGGCACTTTGGTTTACAAATTTGTATTTCATTGACTTTTTTATGTTTTAATATTATCAACTGATAGCTTAAACATAGACAAGAAATAAATCCTAATAAGTCATCAAATTGATGAAAACAAAGAGGTTTATATTTTATATTGTACTTACGATTCTAATCCTGCCTGTTCAGTTTCCAGTGGTTGAATTCGTTCCAAGACGTGGGAATACTGGACATTGGCTTTAACCCAGGCAGCCAAAGGAGCAGCTGCAGTACTTGCACGCTTAGCATTCTAAAAAAATTCACCAGAAATTAGCCAGCTTCCTCACTTAATCTTAAAGCAAAGTTAATTCTAGTATATTTTAATTAGGCATTTGTTTAATATCAAATAATGAAGTTGTTGGCTTATAGCTAAAGTAAAAATGAATTAAATAGACTTTTGATTGGGAGAAATATATATATTTCACTTTTGCTTAAAAATCTTTCTGAAATATATAATCTTTAATATTTTTAATTTAGTAATTACTAGTCACATTTATAATAAACATATATGCTGTCTACAACAATGTTCAAGCATCAATTCTTAGTCTTTTATACATAGGAGAAATCTTTATTTAGCTATAAGCAATTTTAAAATGATTGCTATTGGTGTCAAAGAATATGCACATAACATTTTGAGTAAAAGAAAATACAGGAATTGTGGAGTTTTAATCCTAATACAGACACCAGTTATTATGTGACAAATACACAGGAAGAAAGAAAAGCATACCAAACAAGTTGAAAGTTAAGTAAGGGCAAGTGAGAAACTCACCATTGATAGCAAATAGTTAAGATTCCAAAACCACTTAAGAAAATAAATCTGGCTCTTCATTCTAGTTTACCTAATTCTGCTGCAAAATATTTCCCAGATATTATACAGTTTATTTAACTTTTAATTTTTAGGCAATGTAAACAATCAATAATGATGAGTCAACATATTTTAACAAGCAAATTATAACAGAGTGTGGAAATAGAATTTATGATTTAACTTAAAAATTACCTTTGGATCAAAAGATCCCTTATTTTTAAACAGAAGTTCTTCAACACTCTCTCTTATTTCTTTTGGAATATTTCGTGCATCAAAGGTTGCTATGTCTTCTCTCACACCTCTTTTTGCAAGGAAACTAAAATGAAAGCACATCACCTCAAATGAAGCTAAATAAAAATTTCTTTCTATGATAAAAATATCAATTGACCAAAATAGTGTATTAAAACTTTTATTAGTTGACAAAAAAAAGGATTATAAAGTATCCAACTTTCTACTGTACTATTGTTACATTTTATAGAAAACAGGGAAGAACATCAGAGGGATGCTCAACAGTTTTTCTAATATTCTGTGAATAAACTGCAGCACTGAAATGAAGGCAAGGTAGTCCTGTTACCCACTCTATCCCTTTATGTCAACTACTGGGTACTCTGATCTTTTGGGATGATAAAACAAAAGTGTGCTTCCTCAACCTAAATCTCTCATCTCCAGATATTAAAAGGACTCTATTATTGACCTAAATCATAAATTGGAAATGAACAACTGTAAAAATCACAAAAGCAGTGTTATTTATAATGTGAAACCCAAAGCTGCATTGGTTACATACTTAGTAAATACTCAGTCTTTTCCAGTTTATATCTCTTTTGGATAAATTATGGGGTTCTCACTGTCTATCTCTGTCAGGAGTACAGGAATCTGAGAAAAGGGATTATAAATTCTTCATCAGTAAATTACAGGAAACACAATTACTGTCTGAGGCCCATATAAATGATATTTTTTAAGATGTTCTTACAGGTTTCAAGCCATTCCTTTTCTCCTCTTTTGAGACTTTTAACAATCACTTGCAGAGAAAGGAAAATAAAAGTCTTAATATATGATTACACAGAATTTCTTGAAATACCAGGGAAAAAATACATACAACCTGGAAGAAATTCAGTTTGAGAAACTACATAAAAAATATTTTAAAACATGGAAGAGGTCAGCTGATCAACATGGCAGTGAAGAAATGCTACAAGTAAATTCTCCCATAAAAACAATTAATAGGGTGAAAAAGAGGCAGGTCCCTGCGAGAACTAGGACATGTAAGATAAATGGGCGACACTGGCAAACTGCCTGTAGAGGAAAGTTCCAATAACGGAGAAGAGAGGAAAGCATCAGAATCCTGCTACCTTCTCCCACTCATAAAGCCAGCACACTTCTACCAATAGCAAGGAGAAAAAAACAAGAACAAACTAGAGATCAAGCAGAATAGTGAGTGAAAAGGAACTACTGCAGACACCACACCCCATGACCAGGAACTGTGGGGAATGGCATGGGAATTGCCAGAGAGGTGAGCGAACAGCACTGGGTAATCACAAACTTAGTGTGATATGGGGAAGATAGGGACTCCACGAAGAGACCTGCAAATAGCCAAAGGCCAGCCAGTAAGCTTGTGGCGAAAAGCAAGTATGCACATAAGGGGATTGCAGCTGCCCAGGTTTCTGTGTCTGTGACCTATGATTGTGGGGAGACTCTCAGGAGCCATCACTGAAGTGAATGACCCTCACTGGGTAATCAAAAACCAGGGACCCAGGCACAGGATTGGGGTGCAAAAGGCGCAAAATCTGCGGGCAGTGAACTGGGCTAACGGCCGTGTTCCAGATGTGACAGCTTTGGAACTGAGAACTGGGGCATGAAATTCAGGGTGTGGGATCCCCATGATAGTGGGGCACAGGGCAGACACAGCACCCCACGCCATTGAGGCACTCCACTCCACCCCTCCTCAGCTCCCAGGAGACCTAAGAGACAAAGCACAGTTCTGGAAGGATACTAGGAAAGGTCTCTGGTGCCACCTAGTGATAAGAACAAAAGTGAATCATAACAAAAGTGATCACCAAACACCTGATAATTGGAAGCCAGGAATTCTAAAACCACCATAGGGCTCTGAGAGGGAGTGGGCCATGCAAATGGAGGGTGAGAAGGGAAACGAGGTACTGAGCAAGACTGCTGAAGGCCCCACATGACAGCTGGCATTCTGGAACTGAGAGCCAGGGGCAGGATCCGGGGCATGGGACATGCCATAACAGTGGGTACCACACAGGGTGACAGCCAGAGTTTTGGATCTGACAGCCCTGGAACTGAGAGCTAGGGCACAGAATTCAGGACAGGACACAGGATCTACACAGCTGCGAGCACAGTACCAGTTGAACATGGGGAAGACACAGCACCCAGGTTAGCAATAGCCCCAGTGTTGAGGTGCTCCCCTCTCCCCCTCTTTTCCCAGAGAACTACTGGGAAAAAGCACAAGCCAGAAAGTACAGGTCTCTGGCGCCACCTAGTGACCAGAAAAAAATCACCAACTAGCTTATATTGGAAGGCAGGGAATCCAAGACTCCCTTATGGAACTGAGTAAACAAAGAGGGAGGAAACTAACTATAAGGGGACATGCCCAGCAACACAGCCACAGCATCACTATCCTGGTGGAGTTTTGGCCTAACAGTACTGGACTCAGTCTGGTAAACAGTTTCTGACATTCCTGAAAGAGCACCCCAAAGAGTTGCCCGCCAACACCTGTGGCACGACGTCCCAATGCACAGAACTAATTAAAAAGCAAACAGCAGGGAGAAAGAAAAATATAAATAACCAAGCAAGACTGCAGGAGAACAACACACCACAAAAAGAAAATCAGTCACCAGAACTCAACAATGACATGGAAGAACTTCTCTGCCTGTCAGATAGAGAATTTAGAATCAGCATGATTAAAAAGCATAAAGAAAACAAAACAAAACAAAATGAAATGAGACAAATAATCAATGAACTGAAGAACAAAAATGAGACCTTAAGAAAGCAAATAAAAGAAACACAGGAGATTAAAAGATTATTGGAGGAGCTGGTAGGAAGTGCAAACTGGTCCAATCACTATGGAAAGCTGTCTGGAGGTTCCTCAATCTACTAAAAATGGAGCTACCATATTGACCCAGCAATTCCACTTCTAGGGATCTACCCAAAGGACACAAAAACATTGACTCAAAAGAACATCTGTACTACTATGTTTATTGCAGCACTATTTATAATATGTAAAACCTGGAAACAACCCAAATGCCCAAAAATAGATGACTGGATCAAGAAGAAGTGGTATATATACACAGTGGAATACTACTCGGCAATCAAAAAAGATAAACTAATGCCATTTGCAGCAACATGGATGGAGCTAGAAGGAATTATGCTCGGTGAAATAAGTCAGAAGGAGAAGGAAAAAGAAAAACATAGGATTGTTTCATTTATAAGTGGAATATAGGGGAACCAAATAAGACATCACGGGAAAAAAATAACAATACAAAACACAACAAAACAAAACATAAACTAACAGACAATTATAAATGAGAGACATCCTGCAGGGGAGGAGGAGGGAGAGGGATCAGCGGGAGGGAGGGAGGAGCACAGGGGACTGTGGTGATGGTGCCACAGGAAATTCATTGGGGACTACACCTGAGAAAAGGGGTAGGAAGCAAACATTGTTTAAAAATGAACCATGATGTAAAATATATATAAATAAAAGTTTATAAAAAAATAAACATGAAAGAATGTGTAATTCATTGCTGAAGTAACATTTTTCACAAATTCAAATACTTACCTTTTCATGCTCACCCAAGAAGTATCAAAAATACCCATCAACCTCAAAACTCCTTCAAGGATGTCTCTGATGACATCAGGTGGCATACGCAGTGAGCGTATTTCTGAAAGAGATTCTGGTTTAATGTTTCCAACTGCAAGTTTAGCTTCATTGACTAGAGGCTAAAAGACAAAAAAGACACTTTCATTTGCAAAAATATGTATATAAAAATCCTTAGCTATCACAAATTTTATCTAATATTTTTTTCATTTTATTTAAAAGAACTCTTAACAAAGGTAACTAATTACCATCATTAAATTTGCTTACATTTCCTAGAAGACTTTCTTGCTTGATTTTTCTTTTATAAATAATATTCTGGTTGAAGTCACATTTGATAGTATTTTTAGGAAATAACTTGAACAAATAATGTTTAAACTTAGATATGCTATTGGCAGTCCAAAAAAGTAGATATTGCCATGTTTCCTTTTTTTTTAAACTTACCCTCACTTCTTTTAATTCATCATCAATTTTGTTTTTTCTTTCTTCAATTTTAATGACTTCTTCTGCTATCTTATGTTTTAGTCTTTCAAGTTCTGTCTTTTGCTCACTAGCATCCTAGAAGAAATTGAAATGGGACTGCAATCAATTTTAATGCACTCAATATTTAAAAGTCTGATGATAAAAACATTAGCTATTTAAAAGTAACATTTTCTATTAAATGCTTTTCTAATATAATTGATATCAGGTTCTAAAATGTCTGTGGAACAGATAATATAATCCGTAGTTACTACTGTGAAGTTTCTGTGCTTTATTTAGAATTTGTTGAATAGCAAAGCAATAAATGCTTATGATATAAAAATTAAACAAGTAGGAAATGCATAATTTAGAAAATTATAATATACATGTTTCATACTTGTAACAACCAAGAGAGGACAGTATTATTATGCTCATTTTATAAAAAGGAAACTGAAAATAAAGACATTCATAATACTAATAGTAAAGACTAACAACTCTTAGATGCTAACAGTAGTATGTTAGAAGTTTTTGTTTCTATACTTTATTTTGGACAAAAAAAATTAAAAGTCATAACACTGTAATGTAATTTCAAATATATTAGTAAACTTAGAAAGATTCAAAAAACACTAAATTATGTATTAATAGCACATGGCCCTCTTTGTTCATGCATGTGAAAATCAAGGATTCCACATAAACAAAAGTACTTGATTATTATGAACATTTGTATTTGGTTTATTTATACTAATTAAAAAACCTTAAGATGAAATTTATCAAGAAACCTTTTACGAGTCATTACAACAGTGGCTTCCAGTCATATTATAATCATCAGGGAGCTTAAAAACCAATGTCTGGTGCCTGGATGGTATGCCAAATATTTTGATAAAATTAATCTGGATGCAGCTTGGGCACAGAACTCACATTTCCTTGTATCCCATTTTTACCTTCAGGTACCTTATACATGGCTCAAATGGAACTTTTTTACATTCCATAAGCACTTCTATATGTGTATCTCTACTACCACTCCTAAATAGGAAATGTTATTTTCTCCATTTCCACCTTCAAAATTCTCTCTTTAAGGCTCAACTCATGTATTCCTTCTTTTACTAATTGGCTCTTCCAAATGTAATTTATTCCTATTCTGAGTACCTCAAACATTTAATTTGTACTTTTCTCATAACCTAGAGTTATAAGCTTTAAAAATTGCAGTTTGATATTTAAGCTGTGTTTTTAGATAAATACTGAGAATATTAAAAGTGAAGAAAACTGAAACCTAAAGGCAATAATTTTCAGAAAAAAATAAAAGGACAAATCAATTTAACTAGCAGAGGGTAAACAAAGAAAATCAATTATAGACAAATCCATACTAATTTTACTTTATATTTATAAGGGTTAAGATAAATTAGTTCATGGTCAACTGATGCAAGTGTAATTATGATTCTAAACAATATGGAAAATACCATGCTCTTCCACAAAGACTCAAGGGCATACCTCTATAAAATCTGACTCAGTATAGAAAAGCAATATCCACTTAACTGAAAATTTTACCTTTAACACAATGAGGCATCAAGGTGTTTGTATTTAGGGGCTCACTTTAAATATTACCTGCATTGATATGGTGATTTCTTGGAGGGCAGCATCTGCTTCATCTTGCTTAGTTTTAAGTAATACACTTTGTTCTCCAGCTTTTCTGTTCAATTCATCCACAAGAGCTTTAGCTTCATTTAGTTTAGAAACACCAGCCTATGTCAATAGAAAAAAAATGTGTTGGCAACATTTTTTTAAGGAAATTTCACAGACATACAGTAAACAAAGGCTATAAGAACAAATCAAACAAAATGTAAATGTGTATATATAAAACATTTGCAAGTAGACTTAGGTTTATTTTTATTGCTAATTATAATGATTTACTCAACTGTATTCCCATTAAGATGTTGCAAAATACTCCACAGGGGTTTACAACAAAAACAAATTTAAAAGATTCAGAGTAAACATATACTTTAAACTATGTTATATAGGAGAGAAAATAGAAAACAAGAAAAAGCTCAGTAAGCCTTTTCCACTTTTCACTTATTGACCTAATGAAAGAAACCAAAACGTACTCTTCTCACTCTGGACATAAATTAGTTTTACCTGCATAGTACATAAACCTTTTTCACAAGGCATCGCCACATATATGGTGTTGGTGGGCTGTCATTCTAAATGCTTTACCTACATTTGAGTGGTCTTTGACCCTGGCCAAAGCCTCTAGACATAATCCAACACAGATATGAAAAAACATACCCTCTCTTACATTAAAAATTTGTAAGCTTTTTTTCCCCCCTCTAACAAATCAGGAAACTGTGGGAGATAATAATGGCAAAATAAGGAATGCAACCAATGTTTACTGCACCCTCCAAATAGAAAACAGGCATTATGCTCATTTAATACATATGTATTTTCTCTAATATGCTTACACACAACTAGCATTAATCCAATTAAGTTGCAATTCTGTAGGTTAAGTAATTTACCCACAGCAACACAGAGAACTAAATCAGGAAGTTAACTTTCCCCAATCATGTATAGTTAATGGCTTAATATAAATGAAAGCTAATCATAAAAAAAGATAATGATAACTTTGTCCATTTAAAATGGCTCTCAGTTTATTACCCTAACAAAGAAAAGCCAGAACTTTGGGGCTGGTATGCTCACTGACAGTTTCTGAGGTTGGCATTTTAATGCCACATTTAAGTTCTATAATTAGGAAAATAGAAAAAAAAAGTTCACAAAATACTACATAAAGTGACATGGAGAAGAATATCACTTTATATGATTTTAATTGCATTATTATTACAAAGCATAATTTTGGATATTTTAATAGGCATTTCTAAATTTCTAAAAAAGCTTTAAGGTGAAAGAAACTTTAAAGACAGCACCATAAGCTATCAAAAGCAAATCAACACCATCCAGCGAAGAAAAGGAACAATTATTGAATAAAAAAATGAAATCATTAATATATTCCAGTGGGTAATATATTTAGATAAGACATTTTCCATGGTATTTACTACAGCCCAATATTTATTTATATTAAGTATATGCCATAGGGAACATGGCATTGTGTTATACATAATTAATGTTTTCTGCATATAGATAAAATAACTCAGGACTACCAACATTGTACCTGCAAATGACTTTGTCTCTTTAATAATTCCTTTTTCTTGCTGCTGCTAATGGCAGAATACACATGCAAAAAGGTCATATATCTGCTTGGAGTAGCACCATATGTTTTACAAGACTCATGAATTAATAAAAAGGATTTTAGAAAATCAGGATCAACTAGAAAGAGATGGAAAACAAAAATTATTAATATATACATGATCCATGAAAAGTTGAAGAAAATAAACCTAACGATATGTATTTTCTACCAAATATTATCACATATGAAATCATGAACATGAGCTACATCTTTGCTTACAGGGACATAGGTATTTCTAGACATCTACTCACAGCTCCCGTTTCCTTACGAATTTTGAATTCTTTACTTCAGTGCTATCTATCTTAACGGTTATAAATCTCCACTAAACATTTTGAGAACAATAAATCTATGGGCTATCATAACATACAAATTAATTGAAACTATAAAACATAGTAATTCAGAAGTAAATTTAATAAAAGCTACTTGAATGAAAAGATACCAAAACTAGTAACATTTATCGACTCCCATTTGACATAGGGAGAAAAAACTTCAAAAGGCAAAGAGTTAAGAATAAATTCATGTAGATTCAACATACCTATGACCAAACATAGTATCTTTCTCTCATGGCCTCAACCTATTTCTCTCTCTATTCCCTACCTCAGTGAATAAAACCAACTTGTAAAGGATTTTGCAGGTCAGAACCCTGAGTAACATTCTTGACTCCTATTTCTTTTAATGCCAAACTCATTTTATAACTAACTCCTTTTTGTCCCTCCTAATATGTCCCCAAGTCCATTACTTCCTCCCAGATTACTAAAACAGCTTCTATAGCGGTCTGTCAGGTTTCTCCCTACACCAATCTATTTTCTAATAACTGAATAAGGGATGAACTCTGAGATTTGTTTCTAAAACAAGACTTGGATTATATCTCTAATAAAATCTCTTAGTTATCCCAGATCACCCATGAGGTAAAATCCAAATTCCTTACCATGACATGAAAAACACTTCACTATCTGATGTGTCCATCATTTTCTATTTACTCAGGACTATACTACTTATGCATCTATGTTTCAGTAGCATAAAAAATGCCTGTTCTATTTTTTAAGACTTTTTTATGCTTAGTCACTCTGACCAGAACGCACCTCCTCAAGCTGCAGATCTTAGAAAATTCCATATGCTAAGCTATGAGAGGTTTCATTTTCAATGTAGTTTACATAAACTATTACCACCATTAATCTTGCTTTATCAGAATTTTATGTTTTTATACAACATAAATCTTGACCTTACTAGACTAAGTCTTCTCTAGTAACCAGCTCAATACTCAGTGGATGGAATAAAGTTCAGTAATTATTTGATGGTTAGATGGTTAGAAAAATAAATGAATGGATATACTATGACCCAAAGGAAAAATGAAGACAATATAAAAATTATTTTGGAACTGCAGAAAATAATGAGAATATGATAGTTAAAAATACATTACATTTATACTCAAAAAATTGAGCACTATGATATATATATATGTAATAAACTAATATAAAAAATTTAGACTACTAGAGAAGGATCCCCAAAAATATAAGTATGTCTTTCAGATCATTTAGGTCCAAAATATAATTCCATCATTTGGAAGATGATAATTATTTCACACATAAAAATACTACCTGAAATTTTTTTCTTTTCTTCTTTTCTTCTTTTGTTGCTGTGTTTTTCTTCACTGTATGTTTCACTGAACAACATTTCAGGAATCTAAAACAGGAAAAACATTTTATTAAACCTCAAATCAACATGAAAATGTTTAAGTAAACCAGTATTCAAGGTTTAAAACTTCTAACATGCAAACAAAAAAATTACCAACAGTACTATTTTTCTAGGATTCATTCTAAACTAAGAAAAAATTGCGTCAATATATCTCAACCTTTAGAAGACATTATTTCTTCAATGAGGTTTTGACAACTATAACCCATTAATTGATTGCAAGTTAATGGTACACAGAAAAAGTTCCAACATCTCATAAAAAGATAACAAAGATCCATTTTTATAAAATTACTAAAGTAAGTTAGAAATAATTTCTTAATAATAAAATAATCGATTATTAACAATTTCATATTTGGTAATTCTAAAAGCTATTGATAGTTTAACTATAGTTAAGTTTTTGCCACTATCACAAATGAGTTTTATAAACCTGTATTATTTTTTAAATATATATAAATTTGTAAGATTTTATTTTTAAACATATAAAAGTAAAACCATTTATTTTTCAGCAGGGAAAAACTTGTAGTGAAAGTCTGAAACTTTAAAATTAAAAAAGTCAACATCTTTCACTTGATATAGTTGATATTAATAGCAATAGGAAACAAGTCATCCATGTAATTAGGTCAAAAAGCCATTTTCTAAATTTCTCAGAGTGAATAAAATATAAGCAAAAAGATCCCTTAATTAATGGAGAGTTTGAAAAGTGACATTCTTCTTGGGTCAAAGTGTATGCTCTTTTCTCAAATATATTTACTGACTTATGCCAAAACGCTCAAGCCCCTGTAAGACAATTGTAAATTTACACTTTAAATCAGTGGAAATTTGTTTCCTTGGAAACTTACTATTTTAAAAACAGCCTATCCTTTGGATCATTAGCTTGATTGTGGCAAACATTTCATGTATCTATATATAGACATATACACATATATTAAAACATTGTATTTGTCAAATAGTCTACCCGTAAATAATATTCCACGTAGGCAAGTTTTCCTGTCTGGATTTGTCCACATTTCTTTGCCTCTACTTTCTCCCCTTGGAGAATAAAAATGGCACTTTTTAAAAAGAACTGAATGGGTATTACCTCTATTAACTTCCATTACTATGCTTACCCCTCAGCTTCTTAAACCCCTCTCCAGTTATCTTCTCTACATACCTTTTTCTCAGTCACTCATCCTCACCCATGGTGACATCCTAAGACCATATCATTAACAACAATAAATCATTCCATAATTTCACTTTCAAATGTCCCTTTCTTGTACCATCACATTCATGTGTTCCCAATTCATTCCCTCAACAAGGTTAATAATCCTCAGATTTAATTAAGATCTAAAATCTTTTAATTCAATCACATTTTCAAAGACATTCACCATATTTCTATCACATCTTTTCTATTCCCTTGTCCCTTGTCATACTCAAGTAGCAAAGCAAGCCCCCAAATGTGGTCAAATGCAAGTCACCAACTATTGCAGGTCTGCACCTAGAAGTACACATCATGACCAGAAAAAAAAAAAAACAATAACCTAGAGCATCCTTCATGCTATCTATCATAATCCATCCTTCTAACCCTTCACTCTTTCACATCCCCACACTATTTTGCATATCTTCTTATATTCAGGCATCCAAAATCCTTTTCCCTCAACCTTCCTCTCAACTGATATCCTAGTTCCTATTTCACTGGAAAAAAAACCAGAAATGATAGGACTCTTCAAAAAGTCCAAATAATGATAGGACTCTTCAAAAAGTCCAAATAACACACAGGTTCACCTCTCTGTACCTTTGCCTCTGTACCATGTCTTCTCATTTCTCTAAAAGCCTATATTAATTCTTTCATTTAGGCACTAGACCCACTGCTGCCCACTACCCAGCAATATTCCTCTAGCAACTTTCCTATTTGTCCTGTAACATATATTTCTGGATTCCCTTTTGCATTCCCAACAGCATCAGTATGTGAACATGAGAGGTTTATCCCATCTTAAAAACAACGACAAACATTATTTTCACCTCCACTTCCTTTAGCTACTGATTCATTTCTCCTTTACTTATAACAAAATTTTTCAAAAGAGTTGACCATATTTGCACTCCATTATTCTCTTGTCATTCTTTCTCAAATACACTCCAAAAAACGCTTTGCCAGGGCCTTCCTGGTGGCTAGGGGTTAAATCTTAGCACCATCACTACTGCAGCCTAAGTTCGATCCCCAGCCAGGGAGCTAACCCACACATAGCACAGCAGACCTCTGCTGTCTCACCTCAGCAGTGTATTTCAGTAAATTTGCCTGTTCTGTTCCCCAGTCTGTCTCTAGTGGATTATCTTGCCCCACCGCACACACCTCTGGCCTACACCCCAGTTCCTACAAACACACACACACACACACACAAAATAAATAAAAAAAAAATGGCTTTTCCCACTACTAACTGAAAGGGCTTTAGCAAAGTCACCAATGTTACTTCCCATCCTCCTCTACTTTCAAGTTACAATGCTGCCTTCTAGGCCATCACGCTCTCCTACTTTTCCTCCTAATTCCCTACCAGCTACTTCTCAGTATGTTTTGCTGTTTCCTCCTCTGAATTTCTTCAACTTCTTAATGAAGTACTCAGTGTTCAGTCCTTTTGTAAACACACACACCCTAGGTGAGATCATTCATTTTTCACAGATTTCAGTGCCAGCCACCAGGAACGGGGCAGATGCTCTATCAATTTAGGAGACAGGTAGAGTCCTAAAGCTCTTACTGTCTTCTCCAGGATTTTAATGATCTTTCTACACCATTTATAGTGAGGCAACCAGATGCAGGGCAGGGAGGGGGACTGGGTACAAGGAGGCTGGCAGGCCTCCTAGCCCCTGGTGGGATCGTTACTCTCTCTTTGGGCTCTCTCTGGCATTCTCTCCTGGTCTCAACCACTCTCTGCCATTCCTTGCAGTGCAATGTCCTCTGTGTAATGCTGCCCTTATAGCCTCAGGCTCAGGTGTGCCCATTACTCATGATCACACCATAATCCAGGTGTCCACCATCAGGCAGGTGTGCCCCGCACCCATGCTCCCAAGCACCTTCTGCATTCAAGGCCACAGATGATAGTCAGAGAGGCCAATGGTAAACACCTGTTTTGCTTACCCTACACACTTATACTCTGATAATTCCCAAAGTTTTATCCACATGCCAGACCTTTTCCCTGAACTGCAGACTGGTGTTATATAAATGCCTTCTCAACCTTGAAACTAAGGACAACTGCCATGTCATTTAACACATCTAAAACTGAAAGATTTGATGGTTATTATATCCTTCTAGTCACTTGACCCAACTTACTTGACTCTTGACTCCTCACTTTTTCTTACAACTTATTACAATCTGTCATCAAATTCTATTTATACTAGCAAATATATGCAGAATACAGTCACTTCCCACCGCCTTCACCACTATTTCACTAGTGCCTGTCAGTCTTTTCTCTGACAATAGCCTTGTAATTGTTTCTACTGTTGCCCTCTAGAGTCTATTTTCAAACCAGAAGCCAATGTAAGCCTATTAAAACTTTAGTCAGAAGCTGTTGGTTCAAAAACCATTAGAGGTTCCCTTATTCCCAGGAAAAACTAAAATCCTTAGAATGGTTTACAAAGCCCTACCCTAACTGCTCTCCTCTTGCTGCTCCAATCTCATCTCCAGTTAGTCTCTCCCTCAGTCACTCTGCTACAAGTGAGCTGGCCACTTGTTGATGCTCAAAATCATCAGGAATGCTATCATCTCGGGTTCTTCACCCAGAAAGCTTTTCACCCAGCTATCCTCCAAAGAATATAAACTCCCTGATGACAGAGATTTTTGTCCATTTTTTTCTCTGATATATCCCAAACATATAGAGTAGTGACACATATTAAGCTCTCAATAATTCTATATAAAAGCCTCAGACTACAATAGTTTTCCTTTCCTTTATCTACCTAAGTGAAATATAACTAAAATATTTCATCTATAAAACCTTCCTATTATTCCAAATTTCATTCTTTCCTGAGTCATTATTTTTAGAAAAATAAGTTAACATGTGAAAAAGGCTTATATCATTCAAACAGACAATACTGAAAGTTACTAATTCAAATGAAGCAAAATAAGATGCTTCCAGTTAAGATAATGTTATGGGTTTGCACTTCAACCCCTTGCAGACACATAGCTTACAAATGATATTTTTTTACTTTAAAATATTTGCTAAAATTATAACGATGATGCTTTTATTATAGTCTTATCCTGTGTTAGATTAGCTAATTAAAGCATAAAAATTTTAAAGTATGATAAATCTTTCTGCAGTCCTTACTTAAGACCATAATGTTCAATCTAAAATACTATACCAAAAGTAAAACAATCACTATTCGCAGATGATATGATAATATACAGAGACCCCCAATAACTCCTCAGAAAAGCTAATCAAACTAATCAACCAGTTTAGTAAAGTTGCAGGATACAAAATCAACACACAAAAATCAGTAGCCTTCCTATACACAAATAATAAATCTGAAGAAGAAATCAAGAAAACCATCCCTTTTATTACTGAAACAAAAAAAAATCAAATAATTGGGAATAAACTTAACAAAAGAGGTAAAGGACCTATACAAAGAAAACTATAAAACAATGTTAAAAGAAATAAAAGAAGACACAAAGAAATGGAAAGACATCCCCTGCTCATAGGTTGGAAGAATTAACATTATCAAATGGCCATCCTACCAAAAGCAATTTGCAAATTCAATGCTATTCCAATAAAAATGTCAATGACTTTCTTCAAAGAAAGAGAAAAAATATTGATGAAATTCATATAGAGCCACCAAAAACCCCAAATAGCCAAAGTGCTCCTGAAAAAAAAGAGAAGGGAATGGAGGTATTACACACCCAGACTTCAAACTATACAACAAAGCCATAATAATCAAAACTGCATGGTACTGGAACAAGAACAGACACACAGACTAATGGAACCGAATAGAAAATCCAGAAATAGGGCCTCCCTGGTGGCACAGTGGTTGAGCACCGTGCTGCGAAGCTGTCCACAGCCTCTGCAGCACCAGTTCGATTTCCCACCAGCTAGGGAGAACCCCACATAGCACAGCAGACCTCTCCTGTCTCACCCGCTGCTCCCCTCAGCAGTGTCTTCACTCCGTCTGTCTGTTCTGCTCCCTGCTCTGGCTCTGGTGAATTCTCTCACCCTCCCGCACTTTTGACCTGCACCCCAGTTCTTGTATAAAATAAATAAATCTTAAAAAAAAAAAAGAAAGAAAAAAGAAAATCCAGAAATAAACCCACAGATTTGTGGTCATCTACTCTTTGACAAAGGAGCAAAGACTATGCAATGGAGCAAAGAGAGTTTGTTCAATAAATGGTGCCGGGAAAACTGGGTTGCTACATGCAAAAGAATGTAGCTTGGCTACTACCTAACTCCATGCACCAAAACCAACTCAAAATGGATTAAAGAACTAGATATAAGACCTGAAACCATAAAACATATTGAAGGAAATACAGGCAAAACACTACATGACATACACCTCAGTAACATCTTTAAAGATACATCACCCAAAGCAGTAATGGTGAAGAAAAAGATAAACAGCTGGGACTACATCAAATTAAAGAGCTTCTGTCAGTAAAAGAGACAGTCACCAAAACAAAGAGAGACCCCACCGACTGGGAGAACATTTTTGCACATAACACTAATGATAAAGGACTAATCACAAAAATCTACAAAGAACTGATGAGACTCTACAAAAACAAAGTAAAAAACCCAGTCACAAAATGGGCAGAAGAGCTAAAAAGAAACTTCTCCAAACAGGAAATGCAAATGGCCAACAGGCCTATGAAAAAAATGTTCAACATTACTTGTAATCAGGGAAATGCAGTTCAAAACTACAATGAGATACCATCTTATACCCATGAGAATGGCACATATTAAAAAAACTAGCAACAACAAATGTTGGCGAAGATGTGGAGAAAAAGGAACTCCCCTGCACTGCTGGTGGGAATACAAACTGGTCCAAACACCATGGAAAGCTGTGTGGAGGTTCCTCAATCTGCT